TAAGCTAAAGGGCAAAGAATAAGGATCTAGAGGTTATCTTAGAGTAGTTTACACTAGTTCAAAACATAATAGTCTTCTATAGAATTACAGAGCACGATATATACAACTTTAATAAGAGCGGATATAGGCTTAGACACTATTAGAATACTATAGTTATTACTGCTACCGAGCGGAAGTAGCGACCTAAGGCCTTAGTTTCTAATTCAACGCAGTAGTAGACTATTATCGCCTATATTAATACAGAAGGCTAGTTAGTGCCTCTATATATTATCTTCTTAGGCAAGGAAATAAACAGGGCCTAGTTCTACTGCCTACTACTAATATAGAAGCTTAGAGTTAGTCTAAAAGGCTAGACATCCTATAAGCATATAGTCTAGTAGATTTAGCACTTTAATAAATTTACTAAGTATAGGACTATTAGTTAGAAGAGGCTCTTGATTCTAGATAGCTATAACAGCTATATAACTCTAGAGTTTAAGTTATTCTATAAGGAACAAGGCATTATTACCCTCTATATACTACTATATTCCTCTTACCTGTTATAGCCTTTAGATATTAGCTGTTTTAGTCTATTAAAGAAGGCATATTTAGCTAGAATCTAAAGGCTTAGCATAGTTGGATATTACTACCTAATTAAAGAAAACTTCCTTCCTAAGTTCTAGCAAGCATATTAAGCTATATTTACTCTAAATACGATTAAAGGTACCTTTAGAGGCTTAGGCTTATTACTACTAGATCTAGAGGCTATATTGTCTAAGCTAATACTACGTTATAAAACACTAACTCTACTACTACTACCTTGTTTATTAGATATATAGAATACCCCTTAGAATCTAAGGCAGATTAAGAAGCAAATAAGCAAGATTAAGGATAGGGTTATTAACTACTAGAACAGCTTACTAACCTTAATCCTTAAGGCAGTAGACAGGTTATTAAGAGGGTTCAAAAGGTTATAGGCTGCTATAATATTACTCTAGGCTAAACATAACAATATAAAGACTATAATTAAAGAATTATAGTCTTATAGGGCACTAAGGAAGAAAATCAAGCTAATACTTAGCCTTAACACTAATAAATTAGCTGCCAGAGACATAGTATAGTTACAGGCTCAAATAGCAATAGAATTAGTTAGTCAGATTAAGAGACAGCTAAGAGCTAAACCAACCTGCAGCAAGTATAGTATCTAAGGACACAACTCAAGAGGTTGTCTATTAGATAGAGTAACTTCTGAGCATTTAATTAATCTATCTTTAAGGTAGTTCTGACACCTATAGCATAAGATATTAAGAATCAAAGTTATCCACCTCGTAAAGTTGATGCACATGCCTATCTGATTCACATGCTTATCAAACACGTTAGTGGAGCTGGTGTTGCTTACGTAAGCTTCGAGCTTGCCTATGGGGAAACTGTCATCGTCATAGACACTTCTGCATTCTATGAGCCCCAAAACTCAGCCAAAAGATAACACGTCAACCATGCGGTACTCCTTATAGGGCATAGCCCTAATACCATGTGAAACGTTCACTAACAGTACGTCTACATTTACCCTCAAGAGACATGGAAGCCTTCCCAATTCTTCTCCAATTTCTCGGCAATAGTGTCATTATAGAGCTTCAAACCGCCAGCATAATTGAGTGCTTGTCGCGGTTTCCCAGGAATGTTCGCGCCTGACATGTCTTCGTTAGCGATATGCTTTCAACACGGTGTAACATTTTCTTGATCAATGACATACCCATATACCACGAATCGACCTTGTCACGAAGCGTCATAGCATGGAGGGTGTTGACTGTATTCTTCCAGTCTTGTTCGGCTTGAGCATCAGCAACAATCTTCGTTTGTCCATTCTTGTTCATCCGCTTCATGGTCTCCAAGATCCATTCGCATTGTGGCTCGACGATGCTCGGACCATTTCCGTAAGCTGTCGGGGAATGAGGTCCGTAAGTGTAGAACATATTCTGTCGTGACAAGGTTAGCATCAATGCAGTCAATCTGCTTGGAATTCGGCAGACTCACCGGAAATCCATTCACTGTCAGCCCCAAATAACTTAGCGCACCCTGATCTCCGCTCCAGTATTTCTTCAATTCTCGCCCTTCTTCACCTCGAATGTCAATCTGCATGAAACTCCCAGTCAAACTATCAAATCCAGTCGCCATAGCCACAATATCCAACTCATGCAACTTGCCATCCTTCGTCACAATACCCTCGGGAACAAATTTCTCAATCGGCGTCTTCTTCACATTCACAACGTTCACATGCGGCTTGTCCAGTTGTTCGTAGTAGTCCACTTCCAAGCTCGGTCTCTTGCCGCCCCACACATGTGGTGGTTCAAGCGGGGCGAGCAGGTCTCGTTTGACGGGATCGGAAATTCGAGCGCGGACTTTGGAGGCCCAGAAGTCGTAAACATATCGATTCGAAACTTCATCCGTTGCCAGATCAGTGAATGTGAAGAGGATGCGAAAGCCGCCTAGTCTCCACGCTTCTTCTAAAATGGCGTCGCGTTCTTCCTTGGGTGTCTCCGATAGACTTTTGACTGGGTCTGCAAAGAGAAATCCGCCCGAGGTGCCATAGCGACGGGTCATCTCCTTACGGAGTAAAGTGCTGTTTTCGGCGAGGTAGTTTTTGGATTCCTCGGGATCGACCAACTTTTGATTCATGGGGATACACGTGTTGGGTGTGCGGATGAAAACTGTCAGATGTTCAGCAGTCTTTGCAGACTCCTGAGCGATCTGAATTCCTGTAGCTCCCGAACCGATGCATGCCACTCTCTTGCCACGCATATCGACACCTTCCTTAGGCCAAAAGGAAGAGTGACAGATGTAGCCTTTGAAATCATCGATACCAGGCCAGTCGGGGAAATGGCGCTTTGCTGCGAAGCCTAGGCAACAGTTCAAGTAGCGAGCCTTGACTTTCAGCCCAGTGTGGCATGTTAGGCTCCATTGTCTCTGGCTCTCGTCCCAGGTTGCACTTTGAACACGCGTGTTGTATATCGTGTCCTTGCTGATATCAAGCACTTTGTCTGCGTGTTCGAAGTATCGCTGCAGCTCCGAAGACGATGGATAGATCTCTTTGAATGCGAAGCTCTCGAAGACTTCTGGAATGTTCAACTGATATACTGGCCATGGAGAGTCGACACGAGCGCCAGGATAATTGTTCCAGTGCCAAATGCCTCCAGCGGCGGAGCCTGCTTCGATGATCTTCACCTTGAAGCCGTTTTGACGTAGACGATGAAGCAGATAAACGCCAGCAAAGCCGGCACCGATGATCACAGCATCAAGCTCGAGAACATCTTGATCGACCCCATTAGTGCCATTGGTATTAGTCTGGAAGGTGCGTTGCATCGTGTGGTCCTGATGCTAATTGTCTCAACTTGCGTACAAATCACAGGAATATGTCTTCTTAAAGCACATATTGTGCACATGATCTGGCATAAGGCGGGCCACAGCTACGATCCTCCATTCGCGACTCGGTGCACCTCGGTCCAGAATAAGGCGGAGAGCTGTGGGCTGTGGGCCAGCTCAAGCTGGCCCGCCTACGTTGCTAGTTTTCCACGTCTTCTCACATCACAAGACGTCCGGCTTGCAATCCTGCTGACCTGTGAGTGCCAACGCTGCCTTGCAGGAGATTGCACGAAAGGAATCTAGTCCCGGCATACCCCATTTTGGGAAGCCGCGAGCCGGTAGCTGTCCAAAACGAGGTACTCAAGGCACACCTGCCTTTGCTGTGCACTTTTGATAGCGTGTTGGGCCAGGCGAGACCTCGTGAAATACCCACAGCGCCTCAACATCATCGTCAAAGTAAAGTGCGCCGAGTGACACGACCGGGTGGTGTGGGGTTTGGACAAAGAAATGGAGAAAGCAAAGCGATATGAAACAATGGGACTGTGCCAAGCAACTTCCTCGCCAAACTTACTTGCGGACACTTCACCTGCCAACGCAGGTCAGTATGTCTTTATCTTTCACTAATCATTCACGAACCATTGATGTACCGTCCAGCTTCTACATCACCTCTTCTGAGTTCCCGCTTGAATTCTCGCATCATCTCCATGGCCTGCGGGGTTTCCTGCCACTGATAAATCGCCTGGCGGGCAGGCGTGATGTTGGCCTGCTCCTTCTCTACTGCATCCCTGCTGTAATACTCTCTGCCACCATGGGTATGATACACTTTGCTATGGCCAGCGCACTCGCAAACTCTGAGCGACAGGAACTGCAGCATGCGATTCAGATTCCTGAGATAGGTATCGTACCAAGCTTTTCGCAAGATCTTCCTCATAAAGTCGTGCCGTCTCATGTTGCTCTGCTCGCTAGGCGATAACGAGCTACCAAGCCCAGCCTTGAGGAACTCACGGCGGAAGCGGATGAAGACTCGTCGTTTGATCCAACGTTCGAACATCCAGATAGCCGTTCTCACGCCCTCAAGACTGGTCAGCTGACTATCAATCTCCCACTCTAGCAACACATATTCATCTGATCTGTCGTGGTGTAAGTGCTCTGGTATGGACGCCTCAACACCAGCGTCGACAAATTTCTGCCAAAGATCAATCATGAAGTCGCGACTGATAGTAATGTGGGTTTCGTTGGTGGCCGCCCGCGTACTGTCGAGGTCGGAACACGATTTCTCAAAGTTCTCCCAACGAGTGTAGCGGTCGTCAATGTAGAAGATGCCATCTTCGTGGATGTTGTACTTCAGCTTGTTGACATCTTCTGGGTCTTGAAAAACACCTTCATGACATATACCGCAGCCAAGTTTGTCTGCTTCGACGTGATCGCAGACGTCCATCAAGCAATCCCAATGTATGACATGCTTAGCCGAGCAAGGCAGAGATACTCCTTTGCTGCAGTCATTCTTGCAGTGCATACACTTGGGAGTTCGTTGCATGATGGAGCTCTTGTAAGGCACAACGCGATGCGCTAGGAACTCTTCGTAGTCTTCGAGCCACCTGGGCTTGCGCTCAAAGCTCTTCAAGAACTTTGGATAGACTTCGAACAGATCTTCGCGAGGCCTGCCAGTTTGCTTGAAACGAACCAGCATGAGCGCGATGAAACGTGCTGCCCTATCGCTCTCGATGCCAATGAGGTGAACCAGATCTCGGTACCACGCTGGTCTGCCCCTGGCAGCCATGAATTCTCTCATCGATAGGTCGTAAGTACATTCGTTGTAATCAACAACATCCTTCCAGCGAAAACGAGTTGAGCGACGAATCCGGATAAGTGGTCCCAGGTCTGGTCGCTGAGTATTCCGAAACACCACAGCACTGAGATGTGTAAGCCCGTGAAATTCTATCGCCTCTTCCAAGTCAGCGAAGACATCTTTGCCAGTCAATTGCCGGGTGCTGATATCAGGCTCTTGCTGGTGGCATCTGTAAACAGAGTAAAAAGCATTGTCAGCAAGACCATCACGAGCGGCTATTCTCTGAATCTCACCATCTCGTATGAGAGGAAAAGGCGCATAGCGTCGGTGTGCATTCTGTGGCTTGTTCAGCAAGAACTCTTCGTTTGGTTCAAGCAAGAGATCGAGAGATGGATACTGTATGTCAATCGTGTGATGCTGCTTGAAAGCGTCAGCTCGTCCATCCCAGGTGTCGTGATCATCGTCTGAATTGAGCTCCACAATTTCGTTCGCGTCAAAAGCAGTCGTGTCGTTCTCGTCAAGGAAAAAGGTTCTGGCTTCGTTCGGGTCCAGCCCGAACGTTTCCATAATGTTTTTGAACAAATGCTTGTTCTGGACCATGGTTGAAACTGTTCGATCGAATGCGTGCTGCTTGGGGGATTGAGCGGCCAAGGGTAGTGATATATACTGGCATTGTTAGGAGCTCACAATGCCATGCAGGCCTTTGTTTCAGAATGATATTCCACCCTTTCTCGAAGGATCACAGGCTATTCTTAGATATCGGTCTTTGTTTAAAGGGCGACTCAATGGTATTGTAGTTGCAGTATGAATGAAATGGGAGTGGAGGCGAGCCTCAGCAGAAGTGAGATGAAATAATTGAGCGAGGTTGCATTTTGTATGTTAGTTTTGATGATGTTCTGCCATAGAGTTGTCAGTTGCTACTACCAACTTAGAAACCGCGCACGCATGCAGTACAGAAGCGAAGCATTGCCATGCGAAAGATTCACAAATGGTAATACCTATCTGTAATGTCAGCTTCATATCTGCTAGTAGTCTTTACCTTTTCAGCCATCCGGATCATTCTTGGAACGATACTTGCGCTTGAAGCTGCGAGCCTTTTCCTTGAAACTGTCACTCACGTCCTGCCAAATGTTCTTGCCGCAGTGAGCCACTTCTGATGTCATGAAGAGAGCTGCATCGAACTTACTAGCGAATCCCTCGTACTCAACCAAGAAAGCGAAAGAATCTCTGGGCTCAGATGCAGGACTGTTGTCTGGAGACCAAGCTGAGACGAGTTCGCGGTCAGCAGGCAAGAGAAATCCTCGGAGACGGAGGTCATCTCGCTGTTGGGCTTCTTCGAGAGGTAGCAAAGTACCTTGATAAGGTACCACCGGTCCCGTAGAGTTGTCGAAACCGTGCAGATTGTGTTCCATATCGGCCGACATATCTGGCCGTCCGTTAGTCTGAATCGACAGCATTGGTCGAAGGACAGTAGTAGAGTGGTAGTGGTCTATGGGAACAGTTCTGGCGTGTAAGAAGTGGGGCCTGAAGTCGTCCAAATGTTGTCCTCTACGCGCGGCAAGCGTGGATTGGGAAGAAGACATCATCGAAGCAGCGCCGTGGGTTGTCATTGAGTCCGAAAGTGTGTAATTGGGTGCCTTTCCGCTCCGCTGACGACAAAGACAATTGCTGAAGACCAGTGTCTGTTATCTATCACCCGTCGTAAATCACCAGGTGGAGGAGGGCTCTCAACACCAGCTAAAGCATGAACTCCGAAGGGCTTTATAAGATTAGCATTGGCGTTCGTGACAATGCCTTTGTTCACAATTGTCTTCTCCCATCATCACAACAGGATTGTCCTTCAAGTCTTTGTTTCTGCGCTGCCACGGCATGCTGTCGTGCACAAAGGCAGTCGTTAGCACTGACGAGTTTCATTCCTCGTGGTCGCTGGCGCTGTTTGCCCTTTCCTTGTCATGACTTGACCCAGTTGCCAGTGAAGCGCATCCCGCCGGGTCATCAACAGCGCCCGGGTCTCGGGCTCTTTCCTCGCGCCTTTGTTTTACCCACTGTCCAAATGGCAGCCATATTTCTTCTTTCTCGTGAGGCTTGAGGTTTGCAGCAAGTCCAGAAGTGGCAGTTGCCACAAACACCTTTGCTCCGGACCAGTCGTCCGATTTTCCCATGCTCTCCTTCTCGTCCTGCCATCCATATCTGAATTCGTCTTTCTTGATAGCTCGCTTGTAACGCCACCTCCATATGGATTCCCAGATACCCTTTCCCACGATGCAAACAGCCTCAGGACGGAACTGGCGAATTTTCTCCTCGAGAATGGGCGTGCCCGCTGCCGACTCCTCTTTGCTGAGTTCAGCAGCATTTTTGCTAGGTCTTGCAACAATGTTCGTGTTTCCCATGCTGTATAATCTGGGTAGATCGACATCCTGTTCAGGTTTGAGTCGGACATCTGTGCATCCAGAACTATGTAACAGCTTCCAAAAGGAATTGGAAGGATGGGCATATGCATGGCCACTTGTAGAAGTCATCACGCCAGGGTTAAAGCCTACGAAGACGCAAATCAAGTTGGGCGCCAAGATGTCGGTCAGAGGAGACAGATGAGCGTATTTGGAGGGCGGCGCATACTGGCTGGACTTTCGCTGTTTTTTTGCTGGAGACTGGGACTGCGAGCGTTCTGGGTTCGATTGACCGGAGCCTGCAACAGACTTGCGCTTGAGGGTTCGTTCTATCACATTGTCGTGGCCAGCTTTCGTGGAGTTTCTTGTTGATCTGCTCGGGCTACTGCTCGTGAGTCGAAAGCGCTCGAGATCGTTCTTGAATTTGTGGACAGAAGTCTGCGACGTGGGGATTCCATTGTGAGCATCGTCATGAGCCACTGAATCTGCCTGATCAGCCTCGGTATCTTTGATGGCGGGCATTCTACTCTGTCACGTCGCGATGAATGGTGGAGTGGCGAGCAGCGAGCAGCTGAGGCGACAAGATGGATACCTGAGCTTGCTGATGAGGCGTGACATTGTGCTACCGTCAAGTAAATTTTGACTCGACTTCCCCGGATTTCTGCTGGAGAATTGATTGCTTGATTGCTTAGCGAGTGCTTATCCGGCGAAACTGCGGGCCGATCAGTGGCAGCACGTCAGAGCATCACATGCGTGTGCTGTCTCGTGTGAACCACGCACATCGCCTGCCCATCGTTTGCCTTCGCTTTCATTGCCAGTACATACAAACATTTCGCTGGACTTCAGACTGACCTGCGCCTTCTAGAACACCTATGCCACTCGCGCAGTGAACGATGCGACCACAGCACCGCGGCCTAAGGCACGCGAGGCGACAACCGCAGCAACCTTCAGGCAGACGAGCCACACTTTGGTAGCAGGGCGCCGCGCTTTGGCAGAATTCCTCTGAGACACACCAGACACCGATCAACATGGCGTGGTGGCAGAAGAGGTTGCTGCGCTACGGCCTACGCTACGGCCTATCGAGAACGGGCCTGCTGGACGACTCCGCCATCGATCTCGATTCACTGGACATCACCGTCGGACGACAGAACGTGATAGAGCTGAGGGATGTCGGCTTGAACATTGAGAGCATCAGTCAGCTGGCACGGCTTCCAGCAGCAATAAGACTTGAGACGGCCAAGGTTGCACATCTGAAGTTGACAATACCGGCCGACTTCTACCAGAGCAGCATCGTGGTCGAGGTCGATGGAGTGGAGGTTGCTGCAATTCTTGAGGATGACTCAGGTGCAAATCTGCCTAAGAAAGAGCAGGGAAGTCGAGCACGTAGCCCGGAAACGGCTAGGGCGCCACGGCACAGGAAGACCAACAGACGGATACACTCGCCTCCACCACACCATACCAGTGCTGCAGGTGATGATACGAGGCTGCCGAACGTACAAGATGTGGCGAAGTCTTTCTTACTGGAGGAGCCTTTGGACGAGCGACGAGATCTTGAGGCACTGGCTTATGGCTCCAGAGGCATGGAGGAGTCCTTTGCTAGTGAGAGCAGCGAAAGCGAGGTTGGCACAGGAACTGGCGTCGGAGTGCCTGGCTTCCTGGCCAACTTCCTACAGGGTATTGTGGAGAGGCTTCAGCTAGAAGTCAGGAACGTGGAAGTGAGGCTTCAAACCGGTGTCCCAAATGGCAGCCCCGAACCCACGTCTGTGACACTGAGGCTGCGGATGGCCTCTGCCAACGTCGAGAGAGTGGATCCCGCCAAGCCAGACAAGCGCCGTGAAGTGAATCTGGCAGCGATTACTATGGATATCCTATTGAAGGATGAAGTGACAGCTGAGCTTTCGACCCTACGATCGCATACTTCCGCAATACGGGACCCATCGATGCCAGCCAGCCGAAATACATCTGAGCGGGCTGCTAGTTCCGTTGTGTCGCCCTTGGCTAACAGCACGACAACAGAGCATGACACTACATCGATTCTAGAAGAGGAGGACAGACGAGAAGCCACGATTCCAGACAACCGTCTTGCATCTAGCAGCACTGATTCACTGCAGAGACTCATGCAATCAGCGATGGAGCCTGCGGAACCCAGCGTGCAGATAGCTAACATGGCAGAATCTGCATCATTGTCGAACGATGGGAACTTTGCGGATGCCCAAGACGGCGAGACCTTCGGAACGGAGCAGCAACCTCACGAGCTCGATATTCACCCTGGCGATGACAATATAAGCTGGGGTTCACGAAGAAGTAGAACAAGCCCACAGTCTCAGGATTTATGGAACTCGATGATCAGTGAGGATGATCTGCCGGGTTCGCTGCATATGGCGTCGCGCGCTCAAGTTGCAGCCCCTCATGCGCAGTCTTCGCGCAGCAGCAGCCCTCTAGCTCTTCGGCATCGCCGTGCCGTGTCTCCCTACGACCGAGCCATAACCAGCCCCGGGTCGTGGCCCAGGCCCGATATCAGCCCCCCTCGACAGCGACAACCAGGCCTTCAGTCATGGCCATCACTGGAACAGGGAATACGCGGTGTATCTGAACCCCTCGATCGTTTGCTGTCGCAGTCATCCGGAAATGCGGTCGATAACAAGGTCACAGCGCTCGGACAAGCGCGATCAGCATCACCAGCATCTGCAACAGGGAGTCTTTCAGACGAGACAGCCGCAATGGACGAAAGCATGCTTGAGTCTCAAGTCTTCAGTCACGAAGAAGCACAGAGCATGTATATGAGCGCTATGACTGGCAGTAAAACGCTGGATATGCCCGGTGGCTGGGGATCCGACACCCAAAGCGCCCAGTCTGTAGCGCCCGAAGCGCTAGCCTCTTCCGACCGCGATCAGGCAGCTCAAACAGTACCTGCTGTTGAGCATGATCTTTCACAACTTGACGGAGCAAGACCTAGCATTGAAGCTGCATCAGCCAATGCAACACCACGTGCGCAGACGCCCATAGCTCACGACAGGCCGTCAAAAGACATCTCACCAGACGCTAGCATTGTAGTGATCGAGCTGCTACATATCGATCAGATCACAGTCTCCATTCCATCACCACAAGATTCAGAGAATCATGGCAAACAGCAGGTGCCCGCAGATAGCAGCCCTGTTCGTCGGCCAACAAGTGGGGTCCGTGGTATGCCGGGTACATTCTCCGCATACTCTGAAATGAGTGCTTCTAGACGTCGGGAAACAGACTCCACATATACCGATACCAGTAATATCTTCTGGGCTCCGGAGTCTGCCAAAGGCCCCGAGGTTTCTGATGGGCGTGTCGGCATTGTGGTGGGAGTTATCACTATCCAGGCAGGAATTCCCACCTGTCAACTGCTACACAAAGTATCGATGAACTTAGCCAGCACTTTGCAACACAAAGATGCTGGTAACGAGGTCCTGAACAGCAGTGGAAGCAAGCAGACTCCACCCCCAGTCTCCCTGCTTTTGCGGCAATTGCGAGTCTCCCTGACGGAAAATGCCAAGAGTATGGATGCGCAAAGCGGTCCTACTCGGCACGGACTGGTTGATTTGTTTTGTGAGGATATTGAAGTTAAGCTCGCTGAGACACAGACGAGATTGAGCATTCAGGATCTGGTACTTTCACTGGGCGGCCAGGACCTGTTGAGATTCGACCACAAAGCAGATGCGATGACCGAGTCGGTAACTCTCACAGAACAAGCGCCAGCTGTCGCTATCGACATAGCAAAGAAGACCCTTGCTGCCGACAGAAGGTCAATAACAGAACTCTCGGTGCAGATCAAGCCTGTCCAGCTCACAATCGATCTCAGCCTTTTCGACGAGGTATTCGACTCTTTCGGTGGCCTGAGCGGGATTCTTGAGCTTGGCAATTCAGCTCTCTCAGAGAGTGGCATGAGGTCGCCAGTCACACCGCCGCCCACCAAGGGAGTGCGTTTCGTAGGCGAGCAGCAACCTGCGTTAGTTGAACCTGAAGTCAAAGTCAATGCGCGCATCGGCGGCTTCACAACGAATTTGCGCAGTAGTGCCTGTGCGGTTGTTCTACGAACAAGCGCTATCAAGTCAGTGTACCGTGAGCACGGTATGGTCGCCACCATCTCACGCCTCGTGCTGAGCGGACCATTCAATCACTCGCAGACGCAAGAACCACCCCTGACGATCGATGTTGCCACCGTGCGGATCGAATATCTCTTGACCCCCCAGGACAACGACCTTGAGCGTCTGCTAACACTGCTGACACCCTCGCGAGACCAATACGATGATGACGGCGACATCTTGATCGACACACTTCTGCGACAGCGTCGCAAGGGAGCCCTCCTCAGAATTGTCGTGGGCGATGTGAAAGCTAAGATTGATAATCTCGACTGCCTTGCTGTGCTCAATAGTCTTGGCGACGACCTCGCGAAACTGTCTGCTGTCACCAAGTACTTGCCAGAAGACGATAAGCCTGGGCTGCTAACCCTCTTGCGGATCAAAGATGCAGAGGCACGCGTTCCTGTCAATGACCGTTTTGGCAAGCTCCTATTCGCTTTGCAAGATTTGCACCTTGCGCATGTGGGACTACCGGCCCTGCTCGCATTCTCGATTGGCGATGTCTTTGCTCAACAAGTAGAAGGCGCAGAATTGCTACACAGCCTGCTACCACTCACAGCCGTTGACAATCTTCCTGTCATCATGGCACGAATGATAGGTAACGAAATCGAACCGACAGTGAAGGTCAAACTCTTCAATCTTTGTGTGGAGTACAGTGTGCCCATCATACTTGCTCTCACGGGTATGGACAGACCACTGAATCCGGAAGAGATAGTCAACGAGATGGCTCAATCGATTGCAAATCTTGCCATGGCAGGTGATACTCAGGTCCTCAGGCGTAGTCCTGCAAGCGATGTTACGAGCACGCCGAAGAAAAAGACCGCCATTAGCCTTTTGGTGCATGATTCGGCTGCTAGGCTAAATCCTCAAAGATTGCCATCGAAAGCGCTTGTGGTCTTGAACAATGCCCATGTAACAACAAGTGTGCCGCCTGGAGATACCATGTCGGCCAGACTTGAACTCAGGAAAGCCGCCATCTTTCTCACCGACCGCGAACTGGAGGAACTGAATGTCGATGTGAAGGCAAGAAACGTGCAACGCCTTGATGATATTCTCAAACAGCGCGGATACGTATCGGTGGCCTCAGTCAGGTCTGCCGTTGTGCAATTTCACGCAACAGAGACAGGCACTGAAGACGCGAAAGCCGTTGAGATTGATGTCAAGAATGAGCTTTTCTTGCTCGAGACGTGCGCAGATTCCACTCAGACCCTTTTTGCAACACTCGGAGCCCTCGCTCCTCCTACTCCACCTAGCAAGGTCCCAAAGTACCTGACGCAGCCCATGCCTATCGAAGACATGATGGCATCTTTCTCCGGTGCCCCGTTCATCCAAGCAGAGGAGAAACCCGAAACTCTGTTCGATGTGGAGCACGATTTAGAAGACTTCAACGAAGAGCTAGATCTTGGCATCTCAACCTTCGACGATCCTGATGACCTGCTTGCTGAATCAGAAATGACGCCTAGTCTTTACGGCCCCGTGAGCGGCCTTCTCGACATGGGTTCTGATCCAGATGCCGAGAGCAATATTGGCGACGATCCCGAGACTGCAGAGAGTCTTCTGGAAGAGGACCCTTTCGAGATGACCATTTCACCAGAAGATGGACAACTTGGTGATGCAGCTTTGATGCGAGACCTGAATAGACCCAGTGCCGCTATCGACAGCGGCAAAGCCAATCCCGACTCCTACGAGATCGTAGACCTTGGATTTGACGCACTTGGAAGTGGCCAGCAAGCGCTCGGAGATCAGCATCGCTTCAACCCACCATTTGTCGGCAAGCATGGGCAGAGTAAGGATAAGCCCCATCAGGATGCTACTGTCAAGCTGCGCCTCCGTGATTTCCATCTCATCTGGCACCTTCACGATGGCTTTGATTGGCAGCGCACACGCGATGGCATCGTGGACGCTGTCGAGCAGGTGGAACAACGCGCTGAAGAGCGCAAGGCGAGGCGTCGCAGATCCCGACAAGATCCAGAAGATGATGAGTCCGTGATTGGTGACTTCTTGTTCAATTCAATCTACATTGGCGTTCCCGCTGATTTGGACGGCCAAGACCTACGACGCCAGATCAATCGGGGCATTGACCAGGAAATCAGCGAAACAGAGAGCGTGCCTGCATCCGGAATATCTAGGCCCACGATATATTCAGCAACTGGGCAGCCTCGAAATCGTCAGTCTCAACGCAGGAGACTCAAGCTCGGTCGCACTCGCAGTCATAAGATCGCTTTCGAATTGAGCGGTGTATCTGCCGACGTTCTGGTCTTTGGTTCCGAAAGCAGTGACGTGGTCAGCTCGGTGGACCTTCGCATCCAGGACTTCGAAATTTTTGATAAGGTGCCCACTTCGACCTGGCGAAAGTTCCTGACCCATCTGGAGAGCGATCCGGCCGCGCGCGAGAAGTCCAAGCCCATGTTCCATATCCAGCTCGACAATGTGAAGACTTTAGAAAGCCACTCTGCGTCTGAGATCATCTTGCACGTTGCAGTACAGCCACTTCGACTTCACGTTGATCAAGATGCGCTTGATTTCATCACACGATTCTTCGAGTTCAAGGATCCAGACATGGTTGACAGCCAAGACACTGGCGAGAAACCATTTATCCAGCGTGTCGAAGTTGAGACTGTGGATCTGTGCCTGGACTACAAACCCAAGAACGTCGACTATGCTGGCCTTCGATCCGGGCGGACCAAGGAGTTCATGAATTTCATCACTCTGGAAGGCTGCAACATTCGTCTTAAGCATGCGATTATCTACGGCCTCGGAGGGTTCGACCTACTTCATGACACGCTGAGCAACATATGGACGCCCGATGTGATCCGAAACCAATTGCCGCGTGTGCTTTCGGGCCTTGCACCGGTTCGAAGTTTGGTCAATCTTGGAGTTGGAGTACGTGATGTTGTTGCCATCCCTGTGCGCGAGTACAAGAAGGACGGCCGCATCGTACGCAGCATACAGAAGGGTGCCTTTCAGTTCGGGAAAACCACTGCGAGTGAGCTTGCACGACTTGGCGCAAAGGTGGCCTTGGGCACACAGACTATGCTTGCGAATGCAGAAGAATTTCTGGCACCTGGAAGCTCCACAGGCGGGCGCTCGAAACTTTCGTCTTCACCAGGCTGGCACGAAGGTGGACACTTGTCTGACGAGGATGATCCCGAGCGACAACGTGCTGTTTCTGCTTACGCAAATCAACCTCTTGGCGTCCTTTCCGGTCTGCGATCTGCGAGACGGCATCTTGAGCATGATTTGCTGACTGCCAAGGACGCTCTGATCGCTGTGCAGGGAGAAGTCTTTGAGAGTCGCGGGCCTGGAGAGGTAGCAGGCGCGGTCGTCAAGCACGCCCCGACAGTCATTCTCCGACCAGTGATTGGTGCGACTCGAGCAGTAGGCACAGCTCTACTTGGCGTAGGGAACGCAGTCGATCGTGGGAACCTGAGAAGGGTCGACGATGTAAGTTTTCTCCAGCCTTCCTCCATTGCAGAGCAAGTGCTAACGATTTGAACAGAAATACAAGAGAAGATGAGGAAACGCATCATAGCGTCAATGATCTGCTAGTGCGCATGCACTTGGTCACTTGGGCTGGAATGGCAATCAACGCCTATTAACTTAGATATCGGCAAAGTAGTTAGTTCTACGCATGACACGGTATTTCGAAAAGGAACTCCAGCCTCCCACTTCCAGACGTAGCATCATGCAATTGTAAAGCATGACATGATAGCCACGCGAACATCCGAAGATGGCAGTACCGTGTGATCATGACTGAAGTCATGCACAGGCTATACTTGAATTGATCTTGGAAGCACCTTCTTCCTTGGGCAGAGAACTTCAACACCCCGCTGTCAGATGTTTGCCTCGCTTGAACACTGCAGGCCGTGCGGAGTTGAGTCACCTGGACACGGCAGATTTTGGCAACGTTGTCACGCAGCTTCAAGGTTGACGACACGCTTAGATGCAGAGAGCCGGTGACATGTAGTATCCGTGTTGCTCGGCTAGCAGACTAGAGGATTCGCGGGAGTCGACATGCTCGCCTATTGAGGGTTCGTTGCGGGCACGTAGAAGTGTTCATCCTATAACTAGCTGGCTTGCGAGAGAGACTGGCGTGTCGTCAATGGGAGACGCCCTAATTAATCATTATGCTGAGTTCCGTTCAATATTGCCTAATGTTTTGAACAAGGAGATGTGGAGAAGACAGTGCCGCGTGCATGACGCTACGATCGCGCAACTTCAACATCGACATGGCCATCCACAGATGCTCCTCATCATGAGCAGACAGCCGGACATCGGTCGTGCTCTCTCGCAGCATGCACAAAGTGGCATGTGACGTGCTCAAAGGATGCGGGAAGGGAGCGGCGCATTTTAGAGTCGACGCCAGAACCGAGCAAGATTTCCCCTGAGGCCGAGCGTCGACTGAGAGGCCATCTCATTCTTGTCAGGACCTCCGTCGTGGCCTTCCGAGACTGCAGCAAGACTGACATGACGCTGTGCGAGCCTGCAAGGCGAGAACGACTCCGGCGCCGGGTCACAGCCTTCGTCGCGACTTCCCACCTTGCAACGCCGATGAAGAGCTCAGAATGAGGAGTCGCCGAGGCTGGCGCCGATTTATGCTTATACCAATTCACCTCCGATGCAAGTGAAGCATGTGACGCTCGCAGATCGCTACGCAAGCGGCAGACATGACTGCGGGCTAGCACGGTGCATATTTCTCCGACTAACTGCAAGGAGTCAGGAACAGGGAAGCCAAAAGTTGTGAAGACAGTGGGAACGCTGGCAATTGGCTGGAGCATCTCCCGTCCTGCACCTCCCTGGATGCTGATCTGGGAAACTCCACGAACTCACTGCGCTGCATCCACAGCACCGGCTGCAGAACGAGAACACCTCCAGGATGAATTCCGTCCTGCAGACGCCAGACGAATTCTCTCATTGGTTGCTCAGCTTGACAAGACGGCTCATGGGCTCCCTGCTGCTGTGCAGATCGTTCGCATGCAGCTTCCATGGAACTCGACGAGAATGCGGGCGACATCTGACTTATTAAACAAGCTCTGTGCCCGACTCTAGATGCAGACGCTTCTCGCTGCTCGCCTTTGCACGGTGCCTCCACGAGTCGGCCTCGTGCTTCTGAACCATTGATATTCAAGGCAAAGTTACGCTTCCGTTGCTGGCAATATCATATTCCTTGTTGTCAAAATTGCAGGAGCCGACCCGGCATTCCGGCACACATTCCAGGCAAAGTTCAAATCGCCTGTTTCAGCGGGCAACAACGAGTCGGCAAACCGCGACCTCTTTCCAAGCCTGTATACTGGCCGTGTTCCCTTGCCTTCTTACCTTTGGGTGCAACCAGTCCTAGGTCGCGGTCATCGCATTCGAGCATATTTGACTGGCAAGCATGTTGTTCAAAAACACACTTTTAGCTTTGTGTATCGCTGCAACAGCATCAGCTGCCCCGTGAGTTACGGACGCGACTTGAGCAATGAAAACTCGGCCTAACAGTCCCCCAGTAGCATCAACAAGCGAGCACCATCTGGTTTCAATTGGGGCAATGAGAAGGTCCGAGGGCTCAACATTGGAGGTTGGCTCTTATTGGAGCCATGGATCACACCATCTATCTTCGAAAATGTTGACCCGGATGGATCAAGAGGCATCGTTGACGAGTACACTTTGACGCGCTCTTTGGGCGCACAACAAGCATATGATCGCTACCTCAGACGCCATTGGGAGACATGGTGCACATGGCAGGATTTCAAGAAGATCAAGGATTCTGGCTTCAACCTGGTTCGGATACCAATTGGCTATTGGGCATACGATAACTCCGATTCCCCTTATGCATCCGGAGCGGCGGTCTTCATAGATGCGGCAATCGATTGGGCTCGATCACTTGGTCTCAAGGTGATGATCGACTTGCACGGTGCTCCGGGTAAGTGCAGTTGATGGGAGGCGTCTCAAGCCCACAAAGACTACCACAATTCTACACCTTCCAGTGACTGATTTTGGCGCAGGCTCTCAAAATGGATTCGACAACTCCGGTCAAAAGACGGCCACCCCAACTTGGACGCAAGGCAACACCGTAGCAAAGACGCTTAGAGTACTAAAGACGATTCAGTCGAAATACGGCGATAGCAAATACGATGATGTGCTTGCTGGCATTCAACTGCTCAACGAGCCTCTCACTCCAGCGCTGGATATCAATGTCGTAAGACAATTCACCTACGACGGATTCTACCAGCAAAGAGACTACAGCCCATCACGCGTGGTTGTCTTCCACGATGGATTCCAGCCAACAAACTACTGGAATGGCATGCTCACGCCGAACGACAACAATGCTCAGAATGTAGTGATCGATCACCACGAGTACCAAGTCTTCAGCCCAGAACTGAATGCTTTGAGCCCGGCGCAACACAGAAACTACGTCTGCAGCAATGCACCAGCGTGGAATGGGGCGGACAAGTGGACGGTAAGTGCAATCTTGAAAGACGCTCAGTCTGGAGAGCTTCGCTTCTCAAGTGACAGACCCTAACATCTTTCCTGCGTCTAGATCATCGGCGAATGGAGCGGCGCCATGACCGACTGCGCCAAATACCTCAACGGCTACCGAATCGGCGCCCGATACGATGGTTCATTCCCAGGCTCATACTATATCGGATCCTGCAACAATCAAAACATGAATGCGTGGTCCCAACAGCAACGGGACGACACCAGATCTTTCATCCAAGCTCAAATCGCAGCTTACGAGAAGTACACCCAAGGCTGGATTTTCTGGAACTTCAAGGCTGAAAATGCACCTGAATGGAATGCGTTCGCTTTGTTGGATGCAGGATTGTTTCCTCGGCCTGGAACTGAATTGTCGAGTTCATGTCCTTAGAAGGGAAATGTGACGACGACGATATTTGGAGGTTTCAGTACGAGCACGCCCACGCCGGCGCCGTGCAATATGACAGTCGATTGGATGAATACGACTAGTACAGGCAACGCGACGATTGCGAGCAAACGATGGTAGCCTTTGCTGACAAACAGAACCCATCGCCCATGATAATGAAGGCTTGACAGATACCCCCGAGTGCTCAAGTGTAACCAGCGCTGACGCTCACGACATTTTCTGTATACAGGAGCATCTAGGAAAATAGTGCAAGACAACAAATTTCGTAGTCTATATTTACTTGGAAAGTTGTCGATCACGATTGTCAGTCATAAAAGCCGCATCCCGTGCCTTTCCCATGCTGTACTGTCTTAAATTATCGATGAATTATGTAGGAGTAGCATCTGGAGCCTTGTGATAATATTCATCTAATCTATCTGCTAGTACATTGAATGCAGATACGTCGTCGTCCATGCGCGAGCTATGCATAGTCTGCTTTCAGCCCTAACGCAACGCGACTGGAGTCCACTCCGATGAGTCTGGTCTAGTTAGAACGGTCGATGTTTGGAAACCTGGTCCATCGCTGAGTTCTGCATCAGCGCGCCGGCAACCGAAGTCGTTACGACTTGTCCATCTGAAAATCATCTGGAAGCCTGTGCCTTGCAATCAGTTGTCCCGAATGCCGTAATGGTATTGACGTGCGTAGGTTTCTTCGTGAGTCCGGCGAAATATTGGCACGGAGCCGCTCTTGCGGATTCTGATCCGCTGCCGTAGGTACCAGGGCGTTGTTAGCATTTCGTGCGCTGTCAGGTACAAAGTTCCAAAGCACTGGGATGTTGGCGATCTTTTCGGCGCGTGTTGGTCTACCCTGGCTGTGTTCTAACTAGGCGCCCACTTGGACTTCGGCTGGTACCGAGTGTTGCGCGTCTTGTTGGATTTTGAGGTGATGGTGGTTGGGTTCCATTGACTATCAGCCTTTGCTTGCTCATCACGATCCAAATTATTGCCGGAAAAGTCTTGTACCACTGTCCGCAAAGAGAAGGTGGACCAGCCGCCCTCCGCGCTGTATTCCTCATTCGATCATACCGCTCCTTCGTACTCCTCGCACGCGCAGCGTTGTTGCATGAGAAAGATTGTTGCACAGAGATGATCGTAAATCGCTCAACAGGTCTGCAAAATCTGCGGAAGGGAGATCCATGTCGTGTACTTTCACATCAAGCACTGCGAACAGGCGGAATGCTTTTATCGCGTTGGAGACATGAGATAACAGCTCATCGTGTGCGTATCTCGATACTCTGATGCAGATATTCAAGTACCGTAGCCGGTGTCCAATCATGGAGTCACGGATGAAGTCCCAACGACATCGAAGTTCAAGCCCTTGATCAACGAGGTGGCTAAAGCCTTGTATTGTCTCCAAGTAGCCGAAGAAATCGCTCATAGTCATTTCGACTCGAAGACATGCTGATGTGAAGAGTGAGTCGCGAGCAATCCCCAGTAGCCGACGGTTTAGACCAAGAGCCAGATGTGTCTGGGCGGATTTGGCAGTCAATCTGGGGGGTGCGAGATAGCCAAAGATCTGCAAAAGAAGCTCGTCGGGCAGATCCAGCAACTGGAGATGAGAAATTTGCTGCATCGTTGGTCGCACAGGTATATTTTACTGAAATCGTGAACTTGCTGCATCGTATAAGTCAAGTAGGCAGATAAGAGATAGTGCCGTGTCATGTACAGATTCCCTGAAACGACGTGAACGATACGCTAGAAGGATCCGGATCAGCAGGTACTATCAGCTGTTTCTGTCGCCCACGTGTCGCTTGCCCGGTCGACGGTTTCGTATCTCGTGACGGTAGCGGGCCCGCGCTCGTCGCAGAGTGGACACTTCGATACGAGTGTGTGACATGATGCCAGACACTCGTCAAACCTGCTGACGTTAGCCTCATCTTGCCTCGACCCCTGCGCCACAAGGCGGCAGACGAGAGAGGCTGTTTTCGTGCTCTGTAACAGATGCTGTTGGTAGGCCGCCCGACGAGATGAGGCATCGGACCAGGAAGTGCAGGCTGAACAGGAGGAGGTCGTGGGAAAGAGGTCACTGGACATTGTCTGGGATGAGGCTAGCAGGCGTAGGGGCGGGAGTAGCCATCGCTCCAGAAATACAACATCTGTGGTCCCATCTCATTCGGCGCAGGAGACATGCGGACGTTTGACATCTGGGCGATCAAACGGCAGATGGGGGTGCGTTGGCTGGCAGGCGGCGACGCGACGGTTCGGAGTCGCGTTTCATCACACATGCACAAGTGCTGCTCCAACTCCCGCGACGTCACTCCAAAAGTAGCGGAGCGGACCCTGGCCGAATGGAAAGCAAAGGTGAACGTGATCGACAAGGGTTTCATGAAGACCAGCACCCACTCCAACACTCCTCCTCCGCGCCCCTCGTCCACGCCGGCACGCACGCAACACAGACAAATACCCTCTCATGGAGCTGCTGCACAGTTGACCATTGCGCCTCCACGAAACCACGCGCTCTCTCCGCAACACCCGCCTCGACTCTCGCTACCGGGGACACTTGGCCAGCTGCCGCCATATTGTGTAGGGATTCGTATCCGCCAACATCGCTTCCGTGACGCGCCCTTGCTCTGCCATTGCGCAAACCCAACGAGTGCTATGCTGCGTTCCTGTGCCAACTTGTGATGCTGTCGAACGACCTGCTTTCCGCCGCGCAACATCCAGCCATTTCACCACACAACTCGGCCTCGCCATTGATCTCCGAACAGCAGAGGACCGACCTGCACGACCGAGGGCACGAGCAGACGACTTCTGCGCAAGAAAAAGATTCGAAGAGCTTTAAGCAGAGACTTCTCCAGCTTGCGGGCAAGAAAAAGGACGAAAAGGTCAGAATGGAGGCCATGAATACTACTGCGTTCGAAAAAGCTGTCAATGCTGCTGGCACAGCAGAATCGCAAAGCACCACACAGCAGCGACAGCCGGACTTGAAGCCGCAACCGCGACGGACACCTGCATCTCCCTCGCGACTTCCCTACCATTCAGCCATGTCTGCGTCTCCATCGAGACTACGATCGAGTTCACCTCGACTGCACAGCCCGGCGTCTTCCGAGATCTTCGAACGCAATGTCCAAGAGCCGCTACCGATCTCAACATTGAGCAATGAACTTACCGACGCACACATCCCGGCCCATGTCATGACAGAAGACGACATTCCGCCTGCACTGGACGCTTCAGCAGAGGCAATAACAAGCAAGTCGCTGAATCCAGACGAGGTTGAGATTGTTACATCGACTTCTCACCAACCCGCAGCAGCCAGCGTCTTGGATGGCTCGACTAGTCAAGCAGACCTTATCTCACTAAATTCGCCATTGAGATTTGAGACACCGATCGACTCCGAGCCGGCCTCGAGCCTACAGGCATCTAGCGTACTGCAGAATCTCGACGACGAGGTCGCCAGTAGCTACGGCCAATTGGATCCAAACGATGTTCGACGGCTTAGCTTCATATCCTTCAAGGATATTGTGCAAAGTGAACTCCAGCAACAACACTTGGCAGAAATCGGGAATCGTGACTCACTTCACATTGGTGGGCACTCGTTCAGCAGCTCGATGAATGAGCGAGCTACCTCTCCCTTGCGGTCCCCACGATCCCCAACATCGTCTGCTGCAGCATCAGGAGGCGTCACCACACCTCCACCAGGACTCAACATCTCCTACCCTTTGGCTGAGCAATCACCTGGCAGGATCGGAAGCCCTGGAAGCATGCACGGATCTGCGCATGGACATGGAGAGCTGACCATCGAAACGATGAGTCAGAGTATTAGAAAGACCGCCAGTGGCGACCTCAGCAATGTCAGAATCCGCGACGGAAGTGATGGCATACGATCCGCTGGACTGAGCCCTGTCGGCGACGAGAACGAATTCACGAGGCAGATGCAGAGCAGAAGTCGCACGAACTCATAGCTTGGCGGCGGTATGGCGGCACCGCCGGACGCCAGAAAAGGAAAGAGTCTTAGCTGATCCGAGCTAAGACTCTGTTATCTGCCCAAGTGGCTGTTGGGTCGAGGAACTGTGGCTTGAGCACAGATGTGGGAATGAGCGGGAGAGTGCTGCCTGTTGCACATAATTTTATTTTGGATTATTTCTATTGTCTGGGTCTTGTGACACGACAGATTGAACACTCGATCTGATTTCTGCTGGGAGTATCATTACCTTTGGGAAGCTTCATGCGGACTTTCTCGAATGACTACTGAAACCGGCATGGATATACCTTGGAATGAACACTTCTTTAGGGTTTTGGAAGGAAGAATCGACTTTTGCTGCTCTTGGGAGAATGTAGAGATCCGGCTTGAGCCTTTCAACGTGCGGCCGCACCAGCGAGAACTGCTGTTCATGTGATCAATGTCAAAGTGCTGCCTATCCCTTTCAATCTCGTCTCTTTTCACCTTCAGATCCGCTCGCTTCGGGCGGCATTGAGGCGTAAATCCTTGATCGCCGCGATTGTTAGAGGACATGTGACTTCTCCCATCCTTCTAGCTACGCATTGGAAATCAGCTTGATGCCTCTGGGACAAAATGATCATCCTTCGTGAGCACAAGCTTGGCAACAACCGCCCAGAGTAGAGCAGATCACAGTTGGGCACACATGTGCGAACGCCACAAATTGAACGGACTTCGCCTTGCCAAGACGATGGCTGATTCAAGTTTTTCTCGTCGCTTCCAATGTGTGTTCGGAGAATTGGCTCTGTCACGATCTCTTCGGATCAAGCTGATCGAAATGATGCTCTCGAGGCAGCATGTTTCAAAACGCCGTTAGCTTCTCGAATGTCCTTCCCAGAGGAGATCGTGGATCGGTGTCCAGCATTGTGCAGTGCTACCCTTTCTATTGGACATCGCAGCATATGGCTAGTTGCTTCCACGAGACGAGCCGGTCGTGGCGAAGGGTGGTGTTTTCTCCCACCTGGCCTGTTGAATAATGCGGTGTGTTTGGGACTCAATCCAGATCCCTCACAACCTCATGGTGACGCACTAGTCCAATGAAACGCCTCTTATACCTGTGCCTCTGACTCGTAGGCGTGGAACTAGACGTTGAGAGAGAGGCCCAATTCGCTTCGAGATCATCCAGTCGGCGGTCGCAGAGCGCAAGACTGCCGGTACGTGATTACAACATGTCACATTTTGCAGTGCCGTATGCGTAGAGACAAAGAATGACGGCCATCTGCACGAGACTGCGTGTGTTATGTTTCATGCAGTACGAAGAACAGGAGAAAGCCTTGTGCAGTGCTGCGAGAGAGTCCCGACAGCGTGGCACGCTTGATAATGATCACCACAAGCACTTGGGCGCGTACCTGACCAGCTCGCCACGCCTCTGACATCAATAATGAACACGCGAACTCTCGTGGAGCATCAATGCGGGTATTGCATTGCTGTCGTTACTCGTCCCAGAGCTTGACAGCTGAAACATGGAAAAAGTATTGGCGAGGATGAGCGCTGCAGGTGAGAGTTTTCCAGTGACGCAGCAGAAGTACAGTTAAGAATCAAGCAGTTCTCAGCAGCAGCAGCGGGCCAGGTACGCGCTCGCCGTCCTTCGTCCTGGGCAGCGAGGGATTGGGCTACAAACTAGCGGTAACTAGTGCCCTGTCTCCCAACTCCATGCTCAATGGGCGACGGAGAAATTAACCTTGGGCGCGCACGCATCTGCTGTCAGCACTGTGAGAGAGGATGACAGCTGTATCGCGTGGACAAGGAGGTCCATGCTTGCGCAGCCATTCGCCGTTCCTGGTAGGTAATCCACCGCGGCAAGGAATCTTGATGGGAACGTGATTCTGCCGGCCAGCGTGTGTGGTGGAGGACGGAGGCCGGTGACCTCGTCGCGGTAGCAGTAGCAGTTGGAATGTGCAGATGAGATCGACAACGCTTAGCTCGCTGGTGGAGGGGAGGAAGCGCACGCACGCCCCACCGTCGACGGCCATAGAGGATCGTGCCGTGCTCTTCTCTCTCGTGTGCGCGAAGTGGCGCCGTCAGTCACCACCTCCATCCCCATACTTCCGACCGAGCACAGCTCACGACGCGAGCGGCGCCGACTGCCGATTGTGTGAATTGTCCTGACCGACCGCCTCCCTCCCCCGGCCTGTCGGACGACACTGGTAGCGACGTCCACCTCCACCTCCACCCTCGAAACAAAGCCGCTTCTTTGTGTCGTCCTCAGGCGCCCGCCAATGCTGGCGCTGAAGCACTAGCTCGGCCAACCAACCCATTGACTGCTGCTGGCGGCTTCTGCGATTTCCTTCGCTCGCTGTGTCGTGCCCTCGCAGCGCCCGCCGAACGAGAAATGCGAAACAGCCGCCGACAAGTGACCGCGGGCTTGCTAGGAGCACCTCGTCGAGCTGGTGCTGACCAGGCGCTGAGCACGTTGGAACGGTGACTTGGGCCTGGACGAGGAACCACCACCACCACCGCGGCGACAGACCATGAGTGACAAATCCTCCCGCCGCCGCAGCGGCGTGTGGCAGTCCAATGTGCACGACCAGGACAAGTCGCGCAGCAAAAATAGATGGGGGCAGGAGAAACAGTCCAAGGACCCGAGCATGTATGATGAGTATCTGACCGAGCGCCAACCGACGACGACCATGTCCACGAGCTCCACGCAGACTGAACCCAAGCCGAGATCAGTAAGCCGCCGCCCCTCCATGCCGCTGAGGCAAGGCTCGGGTAGCACAGCAGTGAACAGCAGTGGCACACAAACGACCATTCGGACGGTAACACCCGAAGACCAGCGCACGAGAAGGGGAAATTCCCTCGAGCACCATGATCGCAATGGCAATGGCAACCTGCCCGTAAACACCACCATGAACTTCGAGCAGGTCTTCATTCCGCACACCACTACCACCATCGTAGGCGGTGCTGCGGCGCGAGAAAGTTCTGGCGGATCGTCGAGCAGCAAGAGCAAACGACGCGACAAGGATCTCGACCGCGAGCGCAGCCATACGATCAGTCCCAGCGGCAGCAGAAACGGCAGCGTGAACCTGACCAACACCTCCTTCCTTGGGCGCAGTGAGAGTGCGGGCAATGGTCATCGTACGCACGGCGTCATGGCGGACAATGGGCACGCGCAGCGTCCGCGCACGAGTACCAACGATGAGCGGAGAAGAGGCCACGCCGATACGACCATAGGCACTCGATTCAAGAATCGAGTCGGCAGCGTGCAGTCGCCATCATCACCCATAGGCGGGGCCGAATATCTCGCCTCAGTACCAGCTGCCACGGAGCCGTTGACTGCGCCGTCTGTGTCGTCCGTCGGCTCGCCGGTCGTGTCACCTTCCCACACACCTCAGGGGCATCGCTCTATATCGCCAGTGTCTTCGAGCACGGCCGACTCAATAACATCCGCTCTGCCTAGCGCCAATGCGAGACGAATATTGCACCTCATGAAGACACTCAATGGCAGAATGAGCGGCAATGTCATATTTCGGCGAGGTTTTGGAAATCCGTGGAGCCAGAGTTATTGCTACATACACGAAGAGAGCGGGAGCCTCATGTACGAGTCGCGAGGGAGTGAAGGTGCTCACAAGACACTTGTCCCGGAACTTCGAGGCTCTTCCGTGAGGTCGAACCTGGATGGGGAAATGCCGTATCTGGAAGTCTCGTTCCCGGATCGAACTGAAGAAGTGCACATCAAATTGCAGACACAGTCTGACTTTGACGCCTGGTTTGCGGCTCTGCTGCACTGGACACCGAGAGACACGAGTTCCGTCAGCAGTAATGAGCCGCGCCCGGATCCGGACAACACCAAGTCATCGTCGATGTCCGAGCACAGCATGCGAAGAGCCTCAGTCAACAATCCTGTCAGTCCGCAGACCCGGGATCGCGCTTCAAGCAATAGAAGTCAGAGAAGCGATCGCCGAAAGTCAGTCATAGCGGCTCTACCCAAGGAGAACCCTGTCATCAAGATTGGCAAGATGATTTACTGGGATACCAACATTGGGTATAACAGCTCGAGCGCTTCCACTCTTGGCCAACCATCTTCGAGTAGGCCCTCCAACCATAGGATGCAAAGCGCGGGCTCGCGTAGATGGAGACGAATTAGCGGGCAACTTCGGGAGAATGGCGAGCTGAAACTACACTCCGACGCAGATAACTCGCTGATCTCGGTCGTACAACTTAGTCAACTAAGCCGATGTGCGATACAACGATTGGACTCGAGCGTCTTGGAAAACGAATTCTGCATTGCCATCTACCCGCAGTACACCGCGAGCTACACGACTACCCAACCTGGATTCATTCGACCGATTTTCCTCAGCCTGGAGAATCGCGTGCTCTACGAGGTCTGGTTCGTTCTGCTCCGGGCTTTCACGATGCCGTCGATATACGGTCCGCGGATAGACGCGGAGCAGGAGAATGGTCAAGGAAGCTCCAACCAGGATCTCGAAAGCATGATCGCTACCAGCACCACATATACTTTTCGGATGGAACGGAGCTTAAGTGTCAGGGTAGTCGAAGCCAAAATGCAACCCACCAACGCCAACGACCCCGGCTCGAGCCATGGCAAACAACATTCCAACGCCTCAACTGAAAAACATGGCTACTATGCCGAGGTCCTCCTCGACAACGAAACCAGAGGGAAGACCGTGGTCAAGTACGAGGGGCTCAATCCCCTGTGGGGTGAAAGCTTCGAGTTTCAGGACCTCCCGCCGGTGCTCAACAATGCTAGTGTCATTATCAAACGCCGTCCACCAGAGCATGAATCGACCAAGCAGGACAGCAAACACAAAGCTCACGACACGTACGGCGAGGAGCAAGGTGGCTTCACTGCCCTCGCCTTTGACCACAATTGTGGCAAAGTCGAGATTCAGATGGAAGAGCTGGAGCCAGAAAAGGAAGTTGAGAAATGGTGGCCTGTGACCAATATGCATGGGCAGCGAGTGGGTGAAGTTCTGATCAAGGTACGCGCGGACGAGGGCATCATTCTCATGGCGCGCGACTACCAGCAGCTCAGCGAGCTGCTGCACAAATTCTCGAATGGCTTGACATTGCAGATTGCACAAATGATACCCAGTGAGCTCAAAAGGCTCAGCGACAGCTTGTTGAACATTTATCAAGTTTCTGGCAAAGCGGGAGATTGGCTTATGGCATTGGTAGAGGAGGAGATTGACGGTATACACAAGGAAACACCCATCACAAGATTACGCTACAGCAGGAGAGTGGGCTCGGAGAGCAGTGGCGATCCCATGACGACTGGCGGACCGAACAGCGACCGTGAGCTTATTGTGCGCGACCTGAACAAGAATGCGACACTCGAAGCGAATTTACTATTCCGCGGCAACACGCTGCTGACGAAGAGCTTGGACTCTCACATGCGTCGCGTCGGCAAGGAATATCTCGAAGAGTCGCTGGCCCCCAAGTTACAAGAAATCAACGACAAAGATCTGGACTGCGAAGTCGATCCAAACCGTGTGGGGTCACCACAGGACGTGGACCGGAACTGGAGACGGCTGATGCTGTTCACGCAAGATGTCTGGAGGGGCATTGTCGCACAGAAGCACCGATGTCCAATCGAACTCAGGATCATCTTTCGACACATCCGTGCATGCGCGGAAGATCGCTATGGGGACTTCTTGCGAACTGTGAGCTACAGCAGCGTATCTGGTTTCCTGTTCCTGCGCTTCTTCTGTCCAGCGGTGCTCAACCCTAAGCTCTTCGGGCTTCTCAACGGTAAGGCAATTTGGGTGCGTCGAATGGAACACATACTGACATCGACGCAGATGACATCAAGCCACGGGCCCGTCGCACGTTTACTCTGATCGCAAAATCGCTCCAGACGATGGCAAACATGGCTTCCTTCGGCACCAAGGAGCCATGGATGGAGCCCATGAACGCTTTCCTCGTCCAGCATCGCGAGAGCTTCAAGACCTTTATCGACGATGTCTGTCACGTGCCCGCACCCATTGGTGGCAACAGCTTCCCCAACTCTGCCGCCTCTCCAACCTGGCCCTCCGATGTGGTAAGCGCTGAGCGCCATCTCAGCTACACGACGCCGATGACGATTATGCAACGACTCCCGCCTAGTAGTCGTGAGGGATTCCCAAGCTTGCCATACCTAATCGATCAAGCCAGATCTTTTGCCGATTTGATCCATCTATGGCTCGAGGCTCTGGCAGCGCTGTCCAGCAGCAATGATTCTGCGTCCCTTCCAGGCAAAACTCACACTGATATCATCAACGCCATCATTGCCTCCGAGGGTGATCTCAAGGAGTTCCATCAGCTCTGCGAAGAGCTCAACGCGCGGACACAGGAATGCCTCAATCGCGCAGAGAGAGCAGAGCGCCCAGACAGCCCTGGAAGCTTCCAATGGGAAGACGTTATCAACCAGCTACAGAAGGCGCACATCCGCGGACAGCCGGCGAAGCAAGGTCAGGACGCATTCGACATGGTTGCCGATAGAATCGCCAACGATCCTTCGATACTGCCCGACGACGCCAACCCTGCAATTGAGGCTACACTGGCACAGCTGCGCGGTGATACCGCCGGCACAGATATTGTCTCCGACGACGATCAAAACAGGCAGTACATGTCTTCACCTCCCGCTTCCACAGCTTACAGCTTGCCACGATCGCAGAGCGATTACCCCGCCCGGTCAGGAATCCGGAGTCTAGGTGGCAGCACTATGAGCGCCAGCACTTTTGTGGCGCGCGACTACTCACACACCATAGGCTCGCCTACTGCCTCAGCCAATGCAAGCATGAGCAACATATCTGGCATCTCGAGCGCTGTCAGCAGCGATACCGAACACCAGAGCACAACGGCGCTGCCAAGCTACGAAAAGGAGGTCCGCCACCGAGAGCGGCGAGAGGCTGCGAGAGTACAGATTCGATCTCAAATGGAAGCTGATCGAAATCGAGACAAGGAGAAGAAGGAGAGGAAAACTACCAAGCTGATACCACCTGGCTTGCGAAAGAAAAAGGACAAGGACGTGCCATCACGGAGTGCGAACAGTACCCCGCTCGACGCGCGATGGAAAGAGAACGGTGGAATGATTTGATTTGTTATGCGTTCCTTTGCGATGATCTACTCTTTTTGAGCGAGCATAGCTGTGTCCTGCAGGCAGAGTGTGAGCAGGATACCTACATTTCTTTGTTGGTATAGGCTGTAGAGGACGCCGGCTGGGACTGCGTCGGGATTGTTGGATGGCCAGAGGAACTGGGAAGGGATTTGCATGAAGAGGATGAGGTGGGAAGGAAGGATGGGAAAGCTATGGTGCCAGAGGCATTCTGCGATGCGGTCGACGTCTGATGTATGATGATATAGCAGCACCTAACCACCGAATGGGGATTTTCCGAGCTCTGTTTGGGCAAAGGTGAGGGCATTGGTACCACGGGACACAACATATCTATACCAGATGGAAAGGACGCTGCTGCAGGATGAGGGTTGCCATTGTTAGAAAATCAATCGCTAGCATCTACTTTTTTCTTTTCGAGTGGAAATGGATCAAGAATCATCTCGAATGGAGTTCTCAGTTTCTCAATGCTCTTACTGTTCAATGACTAAATGCATGGCATCACGACGATCATTCATGAACTCCTCGACCATGATACCGCATGCACTTTATAGCAAGGATCAGTGGAATTCCACCAAACGAGCTTGATCCTTGTTAATTCCTCCTGTTGACAGGCAGCGCTTTCCCTGCTAACTTTGATAGCTGTGCCTGGCTGTTGGGTCCGACAACGCACTGGTCTCCGCTCGCTTTGGTCGTACTCTCATCCAACCACGGCTCGACGCTTCGCCAGGACCTGGGAGCCCTCTGAAGATACTCGCACGGTTCATCCTCAGGTACGAATGCAAAAACATGTAGACTTGTACACTTGTACACACCATGTCAGTGTTCTGAAACGCACAAACCTGAACTCAGGAGAACGAAATCCGGCCTGTTTGGAGCCCGAATTTTTGAAGGGATGAGGTGCCAGGTCTGTGGGTGTTTAAACCCTCAGGATGAAGTGGATAGGTTTTTCGCAGTCGGGTTGTTGGGTATTGTCCGAATGTCCGCTAGGATATGGATCTTGGCTTACAGAGGAATTTTTTCCGTTGTTGGTTGATGAAGGCGCGTTTCATGGACCTGATATGGAATCGACCTGGTTGACTGGCTTGGCTTGCTTGGACGAAGAGTTCGTTTTCAATCCATGGTTCAGAACCATCTGTATGGTTCGTGGGAATATTGCGATCAGGTCTGGGAATAACCAGCAAGCTCACCTACCGCATGAACTGCATGACCCATGGAGAGAATCTTTGAGATGAGTGATCATCACATCGCCGGCTTCCTGTGAGGAGAAGGTGCATCTTGGAATGATTTGCTTTTACGGCCGGCATCGAGCGAATGAGCTGCGAGATGAAGTGGCTCGTGACGGAGTCAGTAATGCAGTGAGATGGTTTTCTGATAGAGCCATCCATGCATTGACAACCGTTCCGAGCTCCTGGCTACTGCAGAGCAAAATTTCTTGGAGGTTGTTAGAAGTGGTTGTATGCTGGCCCGGGATGTTGCTTCTCTGCTCAGCGACTATTGAAGTGTAAGTGAGTGCGCAGGGAATACTACGGCCGAGAATAAGTTTTGTTGCAGCATAAAAACGGGGCAGTGGCCTGTACGCCCAGATCTACAGAATTTGGCCGTTCAAATGGGATCCTGCACCGGGAAGGCCATCGTGATATAATGGTCGTACAAGCGATGGAATACTTGTATCTGTACTCAAAGGGTAGACGAGCATCGTTATCAACGTCGTTGCGGCTCAATGTGGTACATCAGCAAATAAAAGCATCGTATGCACCAGTCTGTAGACTTCTTTGTACCAGTATGAATCAAGTGAGGTCTGCGATCCGGCTGCGCAGTTGCGTCTAGTTCGGACTTGTCTCCCATATCGATGTTACAGACTCCATTAGCGAGCGTAGATGGCTTGTGTTTGCGTTCCACGAGACCGGATATAAAGAGCGGAAGAGCTCCGGGGCGGACAAAATAATGATCGGGCAGCTGCTGAAGTGTGCGCATCAGAGGCGCATCGAGTTGTGTGGTACTGTCCATCGATGAGAGTGGTTGTTCGTTCCTTCTGAGACGGCGTTAAGATAAGTCCGGCCATCCTTCAGAAAAGGCCATGCGTATTTACTTCAGCCACATGCTCTCGATGAACGACGGACTCATGGTTCGCTCACTGCAATGACATCTCGAACCCATATTCGCAACGTGGCCATTGTCGGTGCTGCTGGCAATAGCGGCAAGTACATGACTGCCGAACTTCTGGCAACCGGCAAGCACGTCGTCACAGCCATCACTCGAATCGACAGTAAGAGCAAATTCCCAGAAGATGTCAAAGTCGCTCGCGTGGACTATAAGAACCAAGCTTCACTGGGGGAAGCTCTGCAAGGCCAGGATGCACTGGTCATTACCATAAATGTCTTCGCGGATCAGGAAAATCAGCTGAAAGCGCTATTTGAAGCCGCTGGCCATGCCGGAGTCGAATGGATCTTGCCCAACGAATGGAGCCCAGATAACGCAGATGAGGGGTTGGTCAGAGATATCCCCATATTCCAAAAGAACGTGGCTGCGCGGAAATTGATCGAGGAATTGGGACATTCTTCCTACATTGGAGTCGTTACTGGATTCTGGTACGAGTGGTCTTTGGCGATTGGGCCTGCTTTTGGCATTGATATCGACAAGAGGGAGGCGACGTTGTTCGATGACGGTGAGACAAAGATTTCGACCTCCACTTGGCCCCAGGTAAGCTGCTTCCACTTTTATTCCAGAACTTGTTGCTAAGGCATCCAGGTTGGCCGGGCTGTAGCTGCTTTGCTCAGTCTACCGGTCCAAGCTGAAGAAGGCGCCGGAGCTTGTCTTGAGCGGTTTCGGAACCAGATGGTCTACGTCAAATCTTTCACAGTCAGCCAGAAAGAAATGCTCGAATCTGTCATGCGTGTCACTGGCACTGACGAGTTTGACTGGCACATTACGAAAGAGTCTAGCCGGGAGCGGTATGAAAGCGGCCTGAAGGCTATGCAGGAAGGAGATAGGAGTGGATTCGTGAGAATGATGTACACACGGGTGTTTTTCCCGGACGGAAGTGGTGATCACGAAAGCAGGAGAGGCGTGGCCAACCAGTTGCTCGGCTTACCCGAGGAAGGCTTCGATGAGGCTACACGTGCGGCCGTGAGGAGGACCAAAGAGTATGACTTCGGAGCAGAATATGTGCGAAAGTGACGAGTAGCTCAGGAAGATGTAGCTGAAGTCCGCGAATGTGGTCGAATGGGGTCAAAGAGACTCGGTCCAAGTGAGACTAGAAGAACGACACAGACGATCCCCTGCTGCCGAGTGAGTAGTTATAGCCAATCACCACTCCGTACCTGTTCTGTCCTTGCTTCGACAGCTCGGTGGGATGTGGCTATTGGCGAGCCCTGCATCCGCTTCGGAGCCTGCCACACCCTAGAGACATGACGAACGTTGCGCACTGGCGACGGCGCGCCCGTAGACCTAGACAGGTTCTCCCACGAGCATGTGTCCTCTTTCGCCATCGCCTCATCCGCCTCGCTGACACCTCTTTCCAACTTGCCAGTGAATCTTGGCCGACGCCGGAACTGACACGCTGAAGCGAGCACAGCGACCCCACTGTTGATCAACAAGTCGCGCGTGCTGCGCGTGACCTCGAGCCGGACCAGTCGATCCAGAAGAGAGGCGCTGCAGCAGGTCGCAGGAGGGGCGACGAGAAGGACTCGCGAGAGATGCACTTGTGTACAAGGCACCGCAACAACTCACGGCGGATCGTGTAGCAGAACTGGATCGACAAGAGATGGTGTCACATCACCCTCCCCCATACTCAGACACCGGTCGTGTTCCGCCTCCTCCAGCATCGATAGCAGCTGCACCACGAGCGTCCTCGGTCACGTCAGGCCGCTCACACACACGCCGACATCGACATGCGCGATCGCATCATGGTGGGGGAACTCATCTTCCACAGAACGAGTTCCCGGTATTCGCACACACTGGCGATGTAGAGATCATCATCAGCAGTGCGAATGGGAGGAAAGTGAACAGATATCTGCTGCATCGCTTGATCCTGAGTCAAGGATCTGGTTTCTTCGAGGCCGGCATGAGAGCAGAATGGAGCGGCCGGATGATAGAAGGCGGTCCAGTGACAGGTGGGGGACTTGCACGAATAAATGAGAACGAAAGCGTTACGGCAGGCAGCAGTTCGAGGGCAAGCAGCCAAGAACGGAGACCATCTTTCGAGCAAGGCAGGAAACGTTGGAAATACGAGCTGGACTGGAATGCTACGAGTGATGAAGACTTGCCTCCGATGCTTGTTCAAAGAGATCCTGGACCAGGTTCACTCTTCGGCGGGGACGCTCCGCCTGCGGTCCGCAACAAACCGCCCACGAGCAATGACAAGTTCTTTCGCAGCGTCTCCAACTTCTCGTCACTGAACTTGACCGATCGGGACCAGCCTAGTGAGCCAGCAGAGCCTGGGGACGAGGTACTGAAGGATTACGACAATCTATTCCGCGCCATGTATCAGTATCCTCCGATTCTGGACACAGTGAACATTGCCACAGCATATACCGAATGTAAGGCCTTCTTGCATCTGGCCGACATGTACGATGCGCTGGAAATTGCCGGATCGCGGGTTGATCACCACCTGTTGCGCTTTGGGGCCAGGCTTTTCAAGCAGATCGCCAAGTATCCGCCCTCTTATCTTAAACTCGGATATCTTGCTCGATCTCGCACGATCTTTACTGAGGCTCTCATTCATGTGGTCGGACAGTGGCCAATTGCAGCCCCACAGCTCCGAGGACAGGTCGACTCGAATGTTATGGAACTGCTAGAAGATAAGGTGGACGAGCTGAACGAGATTGAGGAGCGGGTGGAATCAAAGCTTTGGCGGGTCAATCTTACGACAAGCAGAGGCGAGAGGGTGACTCCAAGCAACGACTTCCTGAGCTGGCTTGCTGTCTCACTGTTCAGGCAGTGGTTCGCTGAGAATACCACCCCCGCTCCGACTGGCATACTCAAAGACACCTCGAGACCTGCTTCGAGCACAAATGGCGCGGTCAGCAGGACTAGCCACCACGCGGCTTCTCGGCGCACACAACCAGCTCCGCAACAGTCTCCACCACCAATCAATTTCGGAAGAGTGTATCGCCAGATTGGCTCTTCAGATTCCGCTGCTTACCTCACACGAGATGATTTGAAACGATTCCTCAAAAGTCCTGCTGCACAAGTGGGAGCCGACTTTTACAATCGCGACAATCTACGACGATTTGAGCGCCGAGTGGAAGAGGTCAAGAACCTTGCTCGGGATGTCGTGAAGCCACTGATGCGGAACTTCTTGGAGCTCGATTTGCGAGACTTTGGGCCAGCAGGACTGGGCTATTTGACGTGTACGAGAGTTGAGACGAGAGATTTGCCTTGGGATGAGTAATTCATGTGAACGGGACACGGGACAGGCGGTGCTGGTGCTGGTTGTTTGAGCGTGCGAGATACCCCTTGTTAATGTGTTGAAGCGTGTATGAAGATGTATGACAAACATGAACAAATATGTGCTTGCCTCGAGTTGCAAGCTACATAATTTCTGCCACCAAAGCTATGCCGGCTGTATTTCATGTCTTGATAGCCTTGTACTGCAGTGCCAACAGTACCATTTAAGTTTGGTTGTCCCACTCTCCCAGATCGAGTTCGTACTGGGTCTAATCTTGAATAAAGTTTAGCTGCGTCACACTACGCCATGAACGTGCACGTCTCCCTTGCGCGGGAACCCTGAAGTGTGGCACGTTATTGGTACTGATTGGCCGCGAGCATTGGCAGTCTGTCTTGACTGCATAATCAAGGAAGACGAGCTATGTGCAGTGTCTGGGCAGCAGCATAATGCTGGTTGAGCAGTACATGTGTGGCGAGCAACTCCGGAAGCTGCTGTGCGACTGTTGACCGAGACGCGAACCAGGAGCAGACGGCGAAGGAGGGAAGCAGCAGCCATGGCAGAGGCGGTGATGCCGCGCAAGAGGGAGGCCGACCTCGAACAGCAGTACTCGCCCAAGACCGCGACGGTCACGCACGATGAGCTCCACGGCAATGGCATGGCGAACGGCAGTCCGCTCCGCGCCGAGCAGCAGCAGCAACACGACACGATGGTCAACGGCAAGACGCTGCCTAAAGCCCCCACCGGCCCACTGCGAATAGATATCCTCCCATCCCCCTTCACTGCGACTGCGCAACCCGGCATCAACTTCGTGCCTCCATCTCCCGGCGGATTCCCTTTCACAACACCTCCCGGCGAGGCTGGGCCAGCGTCCACCACGAAAGAACTGCTCCCGAGCCCCATCACATACGGTCAGGCAGAAGGCAATGGCAGCGCGGCAGGGAAACGTAAAGTGGTGGCAGAATCAGCGACACCACCAGAAAGACGTAGTGTGTCATTCGCGCGACCGAACAATGAGGAGGGCGCTGCGGCGGTGAGCAAGAGCTCCACTTGGGAGACAGATGGCGAAGATGGAGAACATGGCGGGAAAGGGAGGCAGAACTCACTCTTTCTCAAACTGAAGTCTCTGGCAAACCCCTCCTCGGTACACCAACGAACACCCACGACAGGCAGTGGCACTGGTTTCAATACCCCAAACGCACTGTCTCCCCAGTCGGAGCGCAGTGAGCCCATGTATCCTGTGCCGGTGGAAGAGGCAGAGACAACTGATGCTGATGCCGACGAGGAGACGGACGATACTGAGCGACCGCAGGGTAGCCGTCCGCGGCATAAGAGAAGACGGAAGAGGCCATCTGCAGTCGGAGCGGAGTCTGCGCCGACAACACCCAGAACCTCTCGATTCGCCTCATTTGTGCGAGAACACATTCGTGACAGCTCCACAAATGCTGCAGGCGTGTCACGCAGGGGCACGTTGACGGATGTCGAAGATGTTGGCGAGGACAATGAGGAAGACAACAGAGCTGGCGTGTCGGAGGACGAGGGCAGAGATCGGATACGGAGTGCATGGAGGCGAGGCATCGAGGGTGCGCGAGGGCTGAGCTACGCTGCTCGCAAAGATCGCGATGGGGAGGTCCCAGAGAGCAGCAAGAAACCTGGCAATCTGCGCCGCCTGACTGGTTTTGGCGCTGGAGGGCTGGATGGGACGAGTACACCCTTCAGACAGCGCGCTGACCGGCATAACAGCACAAGTGCTCAGAAATGGCGGCAAGTCAAAGCTGGGCTGCGCATGCTGGGACAACGCAAGAGGGACGAGCGTGCCAAAGTCGATCACCAAAAGTCGGCGCAATTGATGGCAGAGCTAATAGCAGGAGCACCCGCTGCACTGATATTCGCCAGCATGTTCCAGCGCGATGAGCACCAACATCGGAAAGTGCCGGTTCTACTTGAACAGCTCAAGATCAGCATTCCTGAAGTGCAGAGCCGTACTGACAAGAAAGGAGATCGAGACTTCATCTACCGCGTTGATCTCGAGTACGGAAGTGGCACAGCACGAATGAAGTGGACAATCTACCGCTCTGTGAACGACTTCGTCAACCTACACGTCAAGTACAAGAGCCAAATTGCAACTGACAAGATTGTCCATCTTAGTCGTGCTGACAACAAGCTTGCGAAGATGCCGCGTTTCCCAAAGAGTGTGATCCCATACGCCCGCGGCATGCGTGGACTTTTTGAGAAGATCGAGGATGAACCGGAGGACGATCACGATGGTCACACTCCGGATACCCCCCGCCCAATGCAGTCGCCACGTGAAGAAAGCATCGAGCAGGCTGCCGCGGCATCTGGAGCGAAGTCGAAGGCTAAGGGCCATAAACGAAGACAATCCTCATTCGCCCTTGCACCGCCTAGGAGAACCAGCACGAGCGAGATCGGGAATACTTCCGCGGATCCGGACACTCTGAATGCTAAGCACAGACAGATCTATGCAGAGAGATCACGACAGAAGTTAGAAACCTACCTGCAGCAGATGATCAGATGGCTCATCTTCAGACCCGATAGCACACGATTGTGCAAATTCCTGGAACTCTCGGCCATGGCCATTCGACTTGCTGCAGAGAATGGCTATCAAGGAAAGCAAGGTTTGCTTCAGATCGCATCGAGACGCCATCGCGACTTCCACCGCAAGACTATACAGACGCTAGGGCCGCAAGCGCTCAAGGAGCGACATAAGCGGAGGTGGTTCTTGGTACGACACAGCTATATTGTTTGTGTCGACGGACCAGAATCCCTCGTCCCGTACGATGTCTTCCTCGTGGATTCTGATTTCGCCATGGACAATCAACGGCAGCGAATTCTTGACCAGAAGACTCCGCAGCAGATGGCAAAGGTTGCCCAGGAGAATGCGACACCCACGACCAAGGCGCATCTCATTCAACTCTACAATTCGGAGCGCAAATTCAAACTCTACGCAAGGAATGAGAAGCAGTATCTACAGTTCCGAGAGTCGCTCAGCCATATGATGGAGCAGACGCCATGGTCGAAGAAGCAGCGTTTCGCCAGTTTCGCACCAGTGCGAAGCAACGTGTGGGCTCGCTGGCTTGTCGACGGCAGAGACCACATGTGGCAAGTCTCTCGCGCAATAGACAATGCAAAGGACTTTATCTACATTCACGACTGGTGGTTAAGTCCCGAGCTCTACTTGCGAAGACCGGCAGCGATCAGCCAGAAGTGGCGCCTGGATCGACTACTTCAACGCAAGGCGCAGGAGGGTGTCAAGATATTCGTCATTGTCTATCGCAACATCGAATCTGCCATTCCCATCGACTCGGAATATACGAAATGGAGCCTGCTCGACTTGCACCCAAACATTTGTGTTCAACGCTCACCGCATCAGTTCAGACAGAATCAATTCTTTTGGGCTCACCACGAGAAATTGGTCGTTGTCGACAACATGATGGCTTTCGTTGGTGGTGTTGACCTATGTTTTGGGCGATGGGATGATCCATGTCACTCATTGACAGACGACAAGCTCACTGGCTTCGAGATCGACCACGACTTGCCCCGAGACTCGGAACATTGCCAGGTTTGGCCGGGTAAGGACTACTCAAACCCGAGAGTACAGGACTTTTACAACCTGGATCGGCCGTATGAGGAGATGTATGACCGAACGAAGGTGCCTCGTATGCCATGGCATGATATCGCTATGCAGCTTGTTGGACAACCCGCGCGGGATGTCGGCCGTCATTTCGTGCAACGATGGAACTTTGTCCTGCGTTCGCGTGTCGCCACGAGACCGACGCCTGTTCTTATTCCGCCTCCTGAGTTTGATCAGGAAGAGTTGGAGCATTTGGGAATGACTGGTACATGTCAGGTCCAAATTCTACGATCCTGCGGTCCCTGGTCCATCGGCACACCAGGCAAAGTCGAACACAGCATCATGAACGCCTACTGCTCTCTGATTAAGAACTCAGATCACTTTGTCTACGTCGAGAACCAGTTCTTCATCACAAGTTGCAAGGTGGAGGCCACTGTGATTCACAACAAGATAGGCGATGCACTCGTCGAGCGTGCCATTCGCGCTCACCAGAATGGCGAGAAATGGCTGGCGTGTCTGGTCATTCCATTGATGCCAGGCTTTCAAAACAGCGTGGATGCCCAGGACGGCACTAGTGTGCGTTTGATTATGCAATGTCAGTTTAGAAGCATCTGTCGTGGCGAGACATCCATTTTCGGCCGACTCCGCGCTGCTGGCATCGATCCCGAAGATTACATCCGCTTTTACTCGCTTCGACAATGGGGTAAGATTGGTCCGCGGAAATGTCTGACCACAGAGCAGCTATACATCCACGCCAAGTGCATGATTGTAGACGACCGTTCGGTCATCATTGGCTCTGCGAACATCAACGAGCGGTCCATGCTTGGCAATCGAGACTCGGAAGTGGCATCCATCGTCACTGACGCCCGCATGATACAAAGCACAATGGCTGGACAGCCTTACGAAGTGGGAGAATTTGCTCACACTTTACGAAAGCGGCTGATGCGCGAGCACCTGGGCATTGATGTGGACGCCGTCTATCGACGAGAACAGGCTGCTGCACACAGGGAAGAACAAGATGCCGAGATGGAAAGAATCTACCGAGACGATTTTGCCACTCCGGCGAGCGAGATGATGCACTTTGAGACACCGCCTCAGACTCCTCCGGCCCACGCCATTCACCCGCAAAGCCTTGAACAGACATTGGGGGGCTTCGCAGGAGAGAGCGCATTTGCGCCTGTCAACCGCGTGGATGGCTCGGTATCTGCATCTGATAACTCCAGCGACGTGGTTAAGGACCCAACTGGCAGGAAAGGACCAGAGCGCGATCTTGACGTTGATGGACTCGGCTTTGACAACATGAAGAGGCTGGTGGACGCGGGTGACTACGCATACAGAGACACTTATGTGGACTCATATGGCCGAGAAGTTCTCATCAAGAAGGATGCACCAGGAGTTGAGCGCATCAGAACCGAAGAGGATGAAGAACGACAGCGCCAGCGGGACAGAAGCAGAGAGCGCAAGGAGCGACTTCCTGCTAGACCGCCCTGGCCAATGCAGCGCACAGAGACTGTGCCGCTCGGACTACTGCCTAGATCTCAGTTACCGGAGCTGCCAGCCCTTGATGACACGGATATTGGCGGCCCTCCACTCAGGCGCGATACCTCGCAGACTTCCGGTGCCAAGAAGTTGTCCAACCACTTGGCCAATACGATCCGACAGCCGGAGATCACCGAAGACTGCATGACCGATCCACTGTCCCCTGAATTCTATCAAGAGATTTGGCACAAGTTAGCAGACAACAATACCAAGATCTACCGACAGGTTTTCAGGTGCATGCCTGACTCTGAGGTTCTGGACTGGAAGGCATACGAAAAATTCAATGCCTACAACGAAGCCTTCATGCAGTCGCAAGGTCTCGGGTCTAGCAAGCCGCCGCGTAAAGAAGGCGCGCCGAATAAGTCTGGCCCTCCTGGCGCGGGCGGCGCGGCCGTCGATGCTATTGAGCCTACAATAAGCAAGAGCAGCAGTGGATTGAGCGCATTCGTGAATAAACTGCGTCCTGGTAGTAAGAGCACCGACAGCACCTCGCATACCGACGAAGCGAATGAGAAGACTCGCACTCGAGCATCGCCCGGTTCGCCAGGATCCATGATCTCCAGCGTGCCGACTGCAGTGCCCTCGCCGAACCCAAGGCCTCTGGACGAGAAAGATGCGATGAAGAACGACGAACCGTCCGAACCACGGGAGGAGGTCGAAACTGAAGTTAGCAACACTTTGGAGGTTCCGGATCAGACGTCCAACTTCGATTCTGAGAAAGCTGCGGCGCAGGCCGATGAACCGATTAGCCGACAGCGGACTGTACAATATGTCGACAGAGAGAAACTGAACGAGACTTCGGAGACGACTGCGACACAATCCCAGACGAGCGCACAGGCCAATGCGCTGCAACACAGTGCTTCGAGAAAGGGACGGAAGCGAGGCGCTACGAAGAGCAGTGGCAGAGCCATTCCGGAAGAAGTCTTGGGTAGGGAGGAGGCTGAGGAGTTGCTGAATATCATTCAGGGCCATCTCGTTCTCTGGCCATACGACTGGTAAGTCCGACGTCTATTCTATTTGGCTTATGTCCCGTGCATTTTTACTCACTTTCTACGTACCAGGTTGGAGAAGGAAGAACGTGGTGGCAATTGGCTGTACAACATCGACCAGCTGGCTCCGCTGGAAATCTACGATTGAGCTGAGCTCTCGTCTGTCTTTGCTCTCCCCTTTGCATATGGCTGGTTTCAGGAGTTTGTTTATTTTTTGATGGGTTTCGAAGCATGGTCGGGCTTTTTTACTTGGCCTTACACTGGAGCTGACTTTTCTAAACACCACGGGCGCATCAAATTGCATTCTGTCTCGGCGCTCTTGCATTTGTGAAGATTGATAGCATTGCGGTGGGCGTCTTGGATTGGAAATGTGGACTTTGTTTTTTTGCTTGCATCGAATGTGTACAGAGGTGATCACTTACTGGGGAGGAGGAGCATAATAGTGTATACAATGGCAAATTACAAGTGTCGGAATATCCTATGCGGAAACTGAGAACTTCCCGTGCCTGACTAGAGTGAAAAAGTCATGTAGATGCCCTACTCACACGTGCCGGCGGACACCGCTTCACGCGCCGAGGAAGCCGCGACGGCGGTAGCATCTTGTTGATACTCCTGGCTTTCGTAGGCTGAAGCTTCATCTGATGCTCAATGCAAGGATCAAGTGAAGAGGAATGCTGCAGCCGTGCTCTGTAGCAGACCAAATGCTAACGATGATGCACGCTGGGCGGGAGCAGGAAGTGGAAAGACAGTAATGATACAGTATCGCACCTATCGACGTCGTTGCAATGCGCTAGCATGATTTCCCTGCAGAACCAGCACAGCACTCAATGCTTTTAAGCTGTGACAGAATTTTCCTTTCCCTCAAAACGCCTCGCTAAGTCTACAATTCTTTACAGCACAGCAGAAATATTCTGCTTGTCAATCACAGTATTCTGGTTCTCGTCACGGTAGACGCGCCAGTAGTCGTCCGTGTAATCGCCACAGTTCATCTGGGTCAAGAACTCCTCGTCGTGCGTGATGACGATGAGCTGGAAGTTGCTCTGAGCGCGGCGAATCTTGATGATTTCCGACAAGCTCTGCGCGAGAGCACGAATGTTGTCTGCATCGAGGTTCGTCGTTGGCTCGTCGAGGGCTATCATACCACACGAATGACCAAAGACGTCGGCGAGCGCGAGACGAATGATGATGGAAGCCAGCACCTTCTGGCCAGCCGAGCAACGACCGCGCATGTCCATCTCCGTGTCTTGCTTGACCATGACGACTCGATAGTTGTAAGACTTGTTGCCTCTCGTAGTGCCATCCACGTTCTCGCTGCGGATGAGCACCGTGTCGACATCAGTGCCCATATATGTTCTGCGCCACAATTCGTCGATGATACGATTGATCTCTTCCATCTTTAGCGTGTGGAACTTCATGATGGCTTTGTCCAGCGCGTTCCAGTAGAGCCCGAGGTCGTTAATGGCTGCCTTCGTCGTTTCCACCAGAATGTGAGCAGTTTGGTAGTTCTTGCCAGATTCCTTGTACTCCGAGTTGTACAGATCGGTCGCTTCCACGAGCTCGCGATCCAGTCCTTTCAATTCTCCAATAACACCCGCCTGGTCAGCAGCCAGATCATTGCGTTTGTCCTGCCATCTCCTCGCTTTGGCGTTCAGGCGCTCTGCATCTGCTTCCGCACCACGTGCCTCGAGCACCGCGATTTCTGCTTCCACAGCTTTCAGTTGTTCAAGGTCGCGGCGGAAACGCAGATTGTCAGCGATTTCGCGCTTCGAATCGGCGTAGCGTGTGGCCTGCTGCTCCAGTTCCTTGATATTCTGAGCTACTTTACGCTGCTCCGACAAAATTCGTGCCACGTCTGCCTCTGCAGCATGCTGTGCTTCTTTTGCTTGCGCGAGTTGGTCATCTCCGCCTCGGTCGTGATAAGCCTTGATGTCCTGCACAATCGCATTCAACTTGTTGACAGTAGTGTTCAATTTGTTGGCCTTTTCTTGCTGCTCTCGATCCGCCTCGTCTCCACGGCGAGTGATATCTGCGTATTTCTCCTGCTGTTGCTCAAGCTCGGACGAGCGAGCCTCTAGCTGAAGGTCAATGTCGCGAATGTTCTTTTGAGCATCTGCCTTTGATGCACGGTGTTCCTGCTCTTGTTCGTCCAGTGCTTGTTTCTGCTTCAGGTTATACTCAGCTTGACGCAATGCGCCAGTGGCTTTGCTGGCTTCGAGCTCGAGCGCATTGATGGCGGCCCTCTTTCTGTCGCGGTTGTTGGTAGCTTCCGTCTGAGCACTGAGATGTGCCTTGCGCTGGACATCGTTGCTTTTGACGTCCGATTGGATGGCCTCCAGTCCCCGAGACAAACCGGCGGATTCCTGCTTTGCGGCCAGCTCTTTGATCTGCTTCTCAAAGCTCACGATCTGCTGTGATAAGCCGACGATCCGCTCAATCGTTTTCTTGTGGCTGTTGATGTCGCGCTGCTTCGATTCCTTGTCCTTCACGATAGCCTCTTCACCATTGACCTGTTCGCTCAAATTGGCACGAGATTTCTCAGCCTGGCTGACTTGTTCCTTCAACTGCGGGATCTCTTTCTCTGTGATCCTCTCCCAGGTGTCTACAAAGCTGCTGGCCTTCTTGGCGTCTTCGAGCTCTTGTAGGCATTCCTTGAGATTCTTCTCGTTCTGCTCTGAATCCACGTACTTCTTTTGCTGGTCTTTGACGGTTTTCAGAAGTGTCTCCAGCTCGTTGGCGTCCACCGAGCGCGCACATGTACGACAGACGTGTTTCTTCTTGGCGTCAGAAATGCAACTCTGCAGATATTCTTGGACTCTTTGGAAGCTCGCCGATTCGCGCTTCAGGCTGTCACAGTCCTCCTCCAGGCCTTCCACCACTTCTAAATACTCCTGTGGGGTACAGTTTGCGAGCTGTTTAATCATCTGCTCTGCTTTCTTGATTTCATCCTGTTTCTCCTTGAGGCTGTTGTTGCGCTCGTTGAAAGTGGCGCTGATCGCGTCGTACTGTCTGACGGAAGCGTCGCGTTGGCTCTGAGCTTCCTTGACTTCCACCATGCTCTTGTCCAAAGCTCGCTGGAAGGCTGTATCGAGCGTCTTTGGCGTCCATCCCTCACCCACAACAGCATCGAGTGATTCCTGGTGAGCTTTGATGATGGTCGCGAGGCTTTGTTCGCCGCCTTTGAGTTCTTTTTGCACATAATCGAGTTGCGCCGAATCTCCTGCACGCTGGACGGCTTCGTGCTGTTCGTTGTCAAGCTTTTCGCGGGCCTCCTCCAGTCGACGGATTGCCGCAGTTGCCTGCTCGATCTCGGCATCCCAAGTAGCATTGGCCAGGTCGGACTTGGCACTCTGCAACTTTTCTTGAACGTCTCTGAGTTGCGATTCAAGCGTCACTTTTGAACCCTCGTCGGCAGGAAGGTCATTCTTCGATTGTTGAATCGAGCTGATTTTGCGGTCGTGCGATTCAACTTGTTGGCGATAAGCCGTTTTGCTTGACCGCAAACCCGAGAGCTGCTCATTCAGACTCGTCAACACTTTTTGCTGTTCCTGCACTTTTTCAACCTGTTCAGCACGATGGCGCTCGAATTCAGTCTGCTGATCTCTGGCCTTCTTCGTGATCTCTCGCATGAACGCTGCGGCAGTGGTATCGTCGACGTCTTCGAAGCCGTATATGCCATGAGTGCGAGCCGCGTCTTGGATCATGCGATTGCGGTTGTCAACCTGTCGCTCGTTGCTTGATTTCTCCGCCTCGAAGGATCCGCATTCCCGCTCGCGCAGACTTTGTTGTTTGCGCGCGGTAGTGAGCTCGTCCTCCTTTTCGCCGTAAAGCTCCTTCTTGTCGACAAGCTCTTGCTTGTATACTTCGATCCGCTCCGCATGCTCTCCAAGCATCTTCTGAAGATCTGCTTCGGACTCGTTCATCTCCACGAGATTCTCCCGAAGGATTTTGACACTCTCATCTTTGGTCTGTCGCTCGATGCGCTTGCCGGTCAGCTCTCCCACGATCAGATTGACCTGTCCAAGTTCGTTGTTGACAGCCTCCCATTGGCGCTGGGCCTCACGAATCTTCTCTTCGAATTCCGCGTTCTGTTCATGCAGTGCATTGCACTGTCTCCGTAGGCGCTCCTCTTGCTGCTTGAGCTTCTTCGCTTTCTCATTATCAGCCTTGGCGTGATCTTCGCCTTGCTTAAGCACAACCAGCTCCTGTCGCTTGTTCTTCTGCAGGATTTTGATGTTCTCAATCGCCTTGGTGTATTTGTAAGCTTCGAAAATCGTGTCGAATATGACCTTCAAGTCCTTGGGTGGAGACATGGGCCAGAGTGAACTCTCTTGGTGGCAAAAGATGACATTCTCCAGCACGGCTTTGGAGACTCCAAGCATTCGCGGCATGATTGAGTTCATCTCAAAGACACGCGAGCTGATGACATTGCGCTCGCCGCCCTTCTGCATGCGGAGACTGCCTTCGAGTGTTTTGAATGTGCGGCTATCCTTCTTCACGGTTACGGACATGCTTCGAGCACAAACCATGCGATGGCCCTCGATAGATGTAAAGAGAAGCTTAACCTGAGCCATGACTTCTTTCTCGCCGGACATCTTGGGGTCATGAACAAATGACTGTCCATTTGCACAATTGGGCGGCAGCTCGCCAGCAGTGACATACTTTAGGCACTCGATGATGGTCGTCTTGCCAGAGCCGTTGACGCCGACAATGAGGGTGAGCGGTGCCTTGAACTCGATCGCGATGGTGTTTTTGTGGTCAAAGGAGCGGATGCCGCAGATTGACAGCTTCTGTATCTTCGACATGGTGGCGGCCTGCTTGATCAGTTCAGCGGCAGGTCATCAGTGCGAAGGAGTGGTGAAGTGAAGGGCAGAAAGCCGGAAACGTGGCTTTCATGCCCTGGAGAAGATGGGAGAAGATGCGGTGATTGTCCCGAAGCGCGCATCGAGCAGCGAAACTGTTTGTCTCGAAGTGAAGTGCACGTTAGGACGGAAGACGCGGTTCGCGACAGGCAGCAATCGCGTCGACACGTGCCGCAGCCGGCAAGTCAATATTTGATTCACCTCCAACAAAACCAGTGGATCGATAATCAACAGCACTGGGACTTTTCCATGCCGCTGGTGCTACTGCATGAGACAGAGACAGAAACACACCAGTAGACGGCTGCCGGCGTGGTGGTCGATGGCACTGCAGATGAACGTCATCGCACGTGGCAATGGAACAACATTGGGGACGCCACGGGGGAAGACTATCACTCTTCCTCCTAGTTAGTGTGGGCGAATAGCGTCGTCGCGGTGCGGGCTGGTTGGTCGCAGGCAGAGAAATCACGGCCAGCGACGCTCGTTGCAGGGCATGAAACCACCCAGCAAAATTCTTGGACCACCGCGCGTACAGAGATCTTCCTTGTCCACGGGCGCCCATAGCGGCCAGCAGCTATAACGTTGCCGTCATCCATCTGCGCCCAAGCCGCTCCGCACTTGCAGGTTGCAGGCTATAGTTGCGCCAGAAACACAGCACACCTCATGCACGCTGCCGCGCAAATATTCCATCGTCCTATGGTGGAGGAGACTAGCGAGACACAGCACCCGCCAACGGCCTACCACACGGCGACGGAGAGCTCGCCGACGACTCCCCTGCAAACATCGCGAGCGCAAGCGTGGCTTGGACGCACCAGCCTCAGATTGGGATCGCACGATCGAGCCTAGAGGGCGCGGTGCCCACCTCACTGGCGCTGGAGACCGATGTACCCCGGCCAGCACCAGCAGGGCCATGCCGAGATGGCCGGCAGCGGAGCGGTGGATATGGGCATGATGACTGCTGATGCCAGCGGGTTGAATGGCCTCGACATCGACATGAGCCTGCCCATGGACTTGGACCTTGATCTGTCGGGCAACGGCGACCAGTCGTTCAATCCCATCGGCGTCTCTACGGCGCCCGCTCCGGAGACCAACTCCATCATTGCCAGTAATGGCGCGGGTGGCTACACTCCCCAAGGCCAGCACCAGCAGCAGGACAGCAACATGTCGGGTGCTGGTGCTGGGCCGCTGCCCACCGGCTTCGGAATGCCACCGCAGTCGAACCAGAGCACCTTGACCGAGTTCACGAAGCGGAGGAATTGGTCGCAAAGAATCATCGAAGAGCTGAAAGACTTCCTACATATCCTCACGCCAGATGGACGGATATTGTACGTCTCGCCATCTTGCAAGACGATCACGGGCTACGAACCGCACTCCCTTATCGGCAAATTTATTGGAGAATATGTGCACCCAGACGATAGTGGAATATTTATGAGGGAGTTCAATGAGAGTATCGCGAGTGGAAATGCGCTTCGCTTCTTCTACCGATTTAAGAAAGACGATGGGACATACATGATATTCGAGTGCGATGGGCATCCACACATATCGCCTGAGCCTGCAGGGGCAGCAACTTTTGGACAGACGCCAAATGGACAGACCTTGCCAGTAGCAGGCTTGTGCCGAGGATTCTTTATGATGGCACGGCCATATCCCACCAAAAATGCTGCTTTATTGGATTCTTTCCTCGAACATAAGATTGAGAACGAACGATTGATGAGGCGGATTATGGAGCTCAAGGAGGAGGAGAAGGAAGAGACAGCGGAGCAAGAGCGCATGTTCCGGGAGCAAACATCACAGGCTGGCGCAACACCCTCCCATTCTGGTATGGGAGCCTCACGAGAGCCCGAAAGCGGTGCTTCAGAGGTGCCTGCTAATGCCACACCCAACTATCAAGGCATGCCACCGCCTGCCAAGCCTCCTATCTCTAATACTGCGCTCACTAGGCAGAACCTGGACAGCGCGCTCTCCTCACAGAAGCCCGACAGTATTGCAGACAAAATGTCGCGATATGAAGCAAATAATACCCACTTGGAGAGCATCGAACTATTGACAGGATTACGATACCGCGATGGCGAGCGGAGTCATGGTATTAGTACTGGCGATACCTCGCCTGCTTTAATTCGTGGAGATGCCGGCATCGCGATCCTACTGGACCGGGACAGGGAAGGCTCCAAGAAGGAGAAGAAGAAAATGAAGGTTGCCGATGAGTACGTATGTGCGGACTGCGGTACATTAGACTCACCGGAATGGCGCAAAGGACCCAAGGGACCTAAAACCCTTTGCAACGCGTGCGGCTTAAGGTGGGCTAAGAAGGAGAAGAAGCGCACTGGAGACGATGGAAAGCCAAACAGTCCTGTTGCTGGAATGGCGGGACAGCCACCCATGCCTCACGGTTTGCCTATGGGCATGACGAGTGCCGGGCAACCGCCTGGTATGCCGATGCAGCACAGTAGTACCAGTTCATGAGATCTGCGCTGAGGTTTCAAATCGGGCATACGAGCATGTCCTACGTTCAACGCACAGCGTATGCAGCCGCTCGGCCATTTGCTGAGCATCTCCTTGTCGCGTCACCCATCGCCACTGCCAGGCCATTATCAGCGGGCATCGGTCGTCACACTTCACAGCGCCGGCCCCGATAGGTTCAACGTGAGCACCATCCGGACTCCTCTCGGTCGCCGATGCTCATGAGCACTCGAGAATCGGCCCTGGCGTCACGTTTACAGCCACTGCACCGGTCCGTGGCTGACGTTACGACGTGCGAGGCACAAGGGAATCGTTGTGAGCGAGGGGACATCTGGACACAGCACCCAGGAGTATGTGGCGCTTGTATAGACGGTTTGTGCGTATCGTTGCGGAAGCGCGAGACACCCCTTCCCATCATTCACGTGAATGGGAAATGATGACCAGAAATATTCTTTATAGCATTTTCGAGCGTATCGGAAGCTTAATTTTATTCAATATCAACGGCCGTATGGCTGACCATCTGCTTTCTGTCCGTGTCGTTGCACTGAACTGTACTGTGTACTGTATCATGTTAGAGACCCGCTCAGACGTTCCACCCATCCGGCATCTCGTGCCGAGGGCAGGCCGTGCCAGGGTCTGGGAGCTTTGGTGGAGAGCACATCGATGGTGTGCTTGCTTCTTCTTCTTTTCCTTCCATTAGCCGCATATGCTCAGCATGATAAGATGAGGCGGATGCTGTAGCCTCGTGCGAATCATCTCCTTGACACCTGTGACACCTGGCCCGGCCAACACGGGCAGCGTCACAGACCATGGCGGCTCCGAGACGCCTGTTGCAGCGGCAGCTGTTCAGCACGCGAATAGCTCTCGGTCGAAACAGCTGGGTCGCAGCACGCCGCGCGTATGCCACCGATGAGAAGGATCCCAACGGACGTGAATCATTCAAGGGACAACTGTACCAGAGCACGCACGAGAGAGTTTTGCGGGAAAAGGAAGAGCAGGCACGATTCGCGCAGCAGCGAGAACAGCAGAAGGCGGCAAACAGTAGTGGAGTGTGGTTCATACCCATAGTGCTTGCCGTTGGAGCTCTTGGAGGATGGCTCATGGGCAAGCAGACGCCAGCGGAGCCTGTGCCTCACTCGACGTTACCACTCTCGCAGTCGAAAGCACCGAAACACGATATCTCACCCGCAACATTGCAAGCTGCGTGGAGCGACTTCAAGGATATCGTTGGCGAGGAGAACATTTCGACGGAGCAGGCAGATCTCAAATCACACGCGGGTAGCGAGTGGAGCACGCATCATGCGTTGGACGATGATGTGCCCTTTGCGGTGGTTCGACCTGCGAGCACGGAAGAGGTTTCTGCTATCATGAAGGTCTGTCACAAGCGTCGGATACCTGTCACTGGATACAGCGGAGGCACCTCGCTGGAGGGGCATTTTGCTGCTACACGAGGTGGCATCTGCGTCGATTTCAGTCGCATGGACAAGATATTGGCACTGCACAAGGAAGACTTGGACGTGGTTGTGCAGCCGGCAGTAGGCTGGGAGAATCTCAACGAGGAACTCGGCGATCAAGGACTCTTTTTCCCACCTGATCCGGGTCCCGGTGCGATGATTGGAGGCATGGTGGGAACTGGTTGCTCAGGCACAAACGCATACAGATATGGCACGATGAAGGATTGGGTCCTCTCGCTCACCGTTGTGCTAGCTGATGGTACCATCGTCAAGACCAAGCAAAGGCCGAGAAAGAGCAGCGCGGGATATGACCTCACCCGTATGTTCATCGGATCCGAAGGCACTCTGGGTCTCGTAACAGAAGCTGTTCTGAAGGTAACTCCCAAACCGCAGAGCACCAACGTGGCGGTGTGCACATTCCCTTCCATCCGGTCTGCCGCGGACTGTGTGTTCCGAGTGGTCGGTGCTGGCGTCCCCATTGCGGCCATCGAGATCCTGGACGACGTCCAGATGTGGTGCATCAACCAGGCTGGACAGACTTCACGCCCATGGAAAGAGGTGCCGACATTGTTCTTCAAGTTCGCCGGCACTCCAACAAGCGTGAAAGAGCACATTACCATTGTCAAGGACCTGGCGAAAAAGTCTGGTAGCAAGACGTTTGAGTTCGCGAGGTCTCCAGAGGAACAAGCAGAGCTCTGGTCCGCGCGGAAAGAAGCTTTATGGAGTGTCATGGCCCAAAAGAAGAACGATGGCGATCATGTCTGGACCACCGATGTGGCAGTCCCAATTTCTCGCTTACCACAGATCATTGAAGAGACCAAAGATGACATTTCAAAGTCAGGTCTCATAGGCTCCATCGTCGGACACGTGGGTGATGGCAATTTCCACGCCATCATCTTGTACAACGACAAAGAGCACGAGATTGCAGAGGAAGTGGTCCACAAAATGGTCAAGCGTGCCATCGAGCTGGAAGGCACAGCAACAGGTGAACATGGAGTCGGGCTTGTTAAGCGCGATTACCTGCAGCATGAAATCGGAATTGAGGCTGTGGATCTGATGCGAAAGGTAGGTTGACAACTTCCCATGCGCCACCACCACTTACATGCATTACGATGCGAACCGAATAGGCATGGGCAAAGGCTAACCGTTCTACGCACCAATTACAGATGAAACAATCTTTCGATCCGCTGTGCTTGCTGAATTGTGACAAGATTGTCCGTATCCAGCAGCCAAAGGCAGGTGAGGTCGCCGAGTGGTAGAGGAAAGCGAGAGTACGCACTAGTGCGGCGTATACATATGCCGGTGTCTTGACTGGCTGACCCTCGCGCGAGTCATGCACATTGTACATGCTGTAGGCGGAGAATGTAGGAGGAGAATCTGCGGTGCCAGTGCCAAACAGAAGGTAAATTCATCATGCAGCCCTAGGGTAACACGCGCTCGATGCTTTGCTACATGAGAACGTGCGTGCAGCTGTGAGCTGTAGCTTCCGCCTTCCATGCTCGCCAGGATAGCCCATCGAACCAAGCAAGAATGCTGTCATACATTCTCATCTTCACTCCACGCTGCAATCTCCTTTGTGGCATATGCCCACCCTTCTAAGTTCTATGTATTCATTCGTATTCTCTCGGACAGCTCGCGAGTATTCTCCGCTAAATGATAAGATCGCCGGGATGTGGTGGTCGTCTTTGCCAAGAATGAATCTCACTGAATCTCACTGAGTCGAAACTTGTGCTTTCCCATCCAATCGTGCGCTGTAAAAGCCGAAAGCCGTAACGACATGCTAACGATTCTAGCAATTCTCAACACGACGAGCATTATCGTTGCAAACCAGCTCGCTGTATCGGCTTCTTCTTGTCATGCATGCTTTAAAAAGTGGATAGCGAGCGACATCGCCGCTATTTTCCCACTTTAAACTCAAAAGAAGCTGGCGGTTGTGCCACTTTTGGATTTCCGCCCAACCACAATGAATCAAGATCGGACTCGATGCCGGTTCAGCCGCGAACGCCTTTCTGTGCTCGTGCAGGTCGCAGTGACATGTCATTACGTGCGCGATTGCTGTGTCATGGTCCAGAACCACGAGGCCATCGTTGCTTGATCCTGGCAGCCGAGGAACTTCGCTGCATTCGCACCACGAGTGTTTGAAATGGCGCTGCTTGTTGTGAAGTAGGAAGACGCATGACTCCCCGCAAGACTGCACCGTGCAGTCCCTGTCCACGTCCACCGCCGGATCGACCAGGCTTCGAGCGTGCGTGTACTTCCGACCAGCATGGCGAACGCCGTAAAGGTACTTGAGAAGCTGCATAAGTAGAAAATACCGACCGACCTCCAACATCCGGGACGAAGGAAGGTCCGGTCGGCGGTGCCTGAGCTTCCCAACGCGCGCATCCAAGCTAGCTTTTACCAGCTCATGATGCTGCTGCTGCATGGCGCAGTTGCAGCGTGGTCGAAGGTCCAATGGGGTGTCGAATAACAACACTAGGATGTGCGACTAGCTCTGCGGACGACGAGCCGTATAGACGTGCCTGCAGGTTGCATCAGCTCCAAGCTTCATTTTTAAGCGCACCGGTCATTCGCGACTTACAAAGTGATGTAAAGAGGCAAGGGTTGCCCTTGCACAACCGCCAGCGCTTGAGCACAGATTTGTGCTGCTTGCTCGGGTGGCATTCCGTGATAGCGTGTGAACAGGGCCATGGTGAAGCCGGTGAAGGATTGTGAGTCCTGGTGTCCCATTGCGGTCTGATATGCATGAGCCAGCTTTCTTTCGCGCTTGTCTTTGGTGCCAGCGTTGAAGAGGGGCACCCGGACTCGTTTGTGGCTGACATCCACGAAGCCTGCGTTTTCCAGGAGATCTTCGGTGTCTTCCCGGAAGCGTAGCGATTTCCCAGCTTTGTCCGAGGCCAGTAGCATCCAATACCTGACTCGCGGGTCAGTAATCAGAGGCATGCCAGCAAAGTTTGCGTGATAGACTGAAACATTACTCACCACCAGTTCACCAGATCTGTCGCTTGTGGCGGCATTTGAGGCTCGTTAGTTCGAGGCGTCCAATCGAATTCGATGTGCTCGATCTGCCCTGTGTTGGGCCGCAGTGATCTGAAAGCCTTTGCGTACAGATCCTCCCATCTCGGCACGCACCCACACAGCTGGGCCATGTGCACTAGATCGACGGAGGCGTCCTCGATGGCCCAGGTGGGTGCTGTAAAATCCACGGGCGATCTGAATTGGCAATTGCGGTCCTGTGCAACACCTAGAGGGTTGTCGAGATCGAAGCCGATGATCTGGCAGTCCGGATAGCGTTTGCCTGCCTCGATCATCCAAAACCCGCTACCGAATCCAACGTCCAATACCCGGCGTGGCGGATTCCTGCCAAAGTCGGCGATGTGAAGCTGACCCGCCATCGCAGTGCCGTAGATCAGGTCGTGAAGGATGTCCAGGCGCTCATGCTCCGTCTGCACACTGCCATCAGTACGCGTGTCACGGGAAAAGGTAAGAAAGACTGACATCGTCGGCGGGAAACATGTACATATCCTGGCGGAATCGGTAGTAGACGCGTCCATGTTCGTGGAACTTCTCAATCGCGTACGTTTCTCGTGCGGGCTCTGGCCGACTCGATAGCAGAGCATCTATGGGCAATCCTCTATTCGCGGGTCAGAACGGGTTCCTCCAGATACGGCGGCTTAGGGGCGACTGACCTGGACATTCTCGGTGCATTGTAGGTGGTTTGCTGTGTACTGGGCTGGCGATTGACGGGCACCGGCGCGGCCTGGACGGCGGAATACATTCGACGGGCAGGCGTGGGGGGCGGAGTCAGTTGCGCCGTCATAGAGAGCGGAGGGGGGGGTGCGGGCGGCGGCGAGGAATCGACGACGATGCAAATAGAAACGCGCCTCCCAACATCCACGGCCGCATCGCAGAAAGCAGCAGGCGCAGCTGGCGATGGGCGGAGACAGAAGTACTTAATATTTCGAGAACCGCCTAGCACCCATGTCGGCGCCAGCCAGGAGGGAGAGCTTTTGCCAGGACAAGGTTGCACGCCGCAACGGGACGCAGAAGGGCTTCCCGAGAAAAGCTAAGTCCACACGACGAGTCAACCAGACGACGATGCGCCCGCTTGGCGCGGTTCGTCCGAATCTCTGCGCCTGCACTGTACCGCGCTGCCCACCCCCCCCAGCACGCCCGCTGCATGTGCACGTTCGACGGAGGCAATCTGTGCGCGCCACCGCCGCGCTGTCGGTCGAAACAGAAGCGCTGCGCGTCGAGCTCCGTCAGTCTGGTGCGTCGTCTCGCGCATCCGTCACGGCGTGATCCCAGCGGCTTTGGGTCTCTGGGTGGATTAGAGTGCAGTGGCGTCCAGGCCATTACCACTCTGCTGGGAGTACGCGCCCAAACGGACTGCTGTCAGCGACATGCTGGGCTCCAATGATGGGGGCGCCGATGACCATTTCCCGCGCCAGATGCTCCTTGCCGCCAGGCGGCACTGGCAGCGAAGGAGAGTATCCGGACGTGTGCACACCGTACATGACTGAAGCCTCTGCGGTGCGCGCTTCACCAGTGGGCGCGGTGGGTGATACAGCATGAATGGTCAGATGCGAGAACTGCCTGCAGGCTTGCTAGACCGTCGTATCGAAGTCCTACTAAGGCTGCTGTGCAACCGCTCGCCGGCCTTCAACCGTCCATATGCCGGCCAGCGCATGCAGCCTGGCCCAGTCCTTCTGTGCCATACGGGGCACGCTCTGTTCACATTTGCTAGCTTTGTTTGCTGCTCGTTTCTGAGGCACGCCAGAGAGCACCACCACCCACGCACATATCCACTTCTGCCATTCGTGCCACGGCCTTCGCCTCGCCTCCCACACCGCTCCATACCGCAGCGTCGGGCAACGACGTCCACTCTGGAGTAGCGGGTACGACGGCATCGAAATGATCACCAGTATGTGATGAGAGCACAAGAATTTCCTACGACTAAAGTTCGGGCGCGTGGGATCTAGTGAAGAAGGCGGGAGAAGCTCATTTGTCCTTTTGTCCCAGTAACCAAGCTGCTGGGACTGCGCCGATGAACGCACGGTTTGAAACCCTGAGGGCAAGAATGGCGTGGCCGCGGCCGAAGTAGTGCCCCGGCTCTGAATTTGGCCCTAGTACCAATATTGAGCTTCAGTACATAACTTTTTCGGTTGTCAATATCTACAGATACGCCTGAGCAAGCGAGACGATCGCAATATTCCAGAGATGCGAGCCTCCGAATAATACGGGCGACGTACGATACCGGAAAACGCAGGGTATAGTAGCCTTCACATACATTGATTTAGTCCTTCCTGCCTACGAACAAGCTTGAGGCGAGAGAGCCAGCCGTACCCATCGCGCGTGTTTTTTTGGGCTACGTAGATTGCAGATATAGTCTAGCGCCTTCCATGTATGGTTATCTGCGGAAGCTCGATTTAGAGCCAGGAGGTGACGTCTGCCCGCCCACCTGCATGTACGCGCCAAGGCCACACTCCAGTTTCGTCTGACAACCGCACAGTTCGCTAGGGCTCATATCGTGGTCTTGCATCCGCATTACATGATTACACGCGGAAATGGACATGCGCCGGCTGACATGGCTGCCCAGGCGACGAGCGACGTCCACTCCCACGCACCCACGGGGAAACACCATTTCCCACTCACTGCACGGTCAAACGACGATGGGGAACCACAAATTGTGTACTCCGTACCGCTTGGATCCGGTGGGAGGGTTTGCGCGGGGTCAGGCATGATCAAGGACATCTCGATTGTGGACAACTACCTGCATCCCGACAATGGTCCGACCTGGCCAACCAGGCAGCCGGCAGCCCTCTGCGGCGCCGACCTTTTCACTTCCATCTGCAGTGAGATCCGATACTGACTGCGCGCGGGCCACGAGCGAGCGCAGGTCCACCGGGACACGATGCCATGGTATCCTCGACGAGTGTCAGCCTACGGCGTGACCAGCGTGTGCTGCAGACGCGCAGTCGCCAAAACTGCGGCAGACCACCGTGGCTTGCATGCGACACGCGAGGCCTCCCGCATTCGCCGGACTGCATCATGTCGGCCTTCTCACTGCCATTCTTCCATCGCTTCTCCTGCATCGCGAGCATCAAAGTGCTCAGCGAGCGTCAATGCGCTCCCCAACTCCAGCACAGCACAGCCCCCTTGGCGGACAGGCAATCAACCCTACGCTGGCGGGCGTCGATGTTGTCACTGCATGAACTGGCCGTGTGCGCGGACAGCATTATCCTGCATCATCCAGCATAGCGACCACGGAAGCTGGCCTAGGTGAGACATACTCATACACAGCAAGCTTTTCGTATCTGTAGGTCTGTCACAATGCGCACAGTCGAGGCCTGCCTTCGGAATATGAACCTTCGACAGCTGTGCTAGCCCTCTTCCGAGCCATGCGCATGGTGAGCTTGCTCTACTATACTTAAGCGATGCCAGGCCTGCAGGCCCGGGACAGCTTTTTCCAACTGTTCGGGTTTCTTGACTCGGAAATCGGAGTGATTTCGTCTATCATCTCGTGCAGCACTCGTCCGAATCTGACACACTAGGGATACCAAAAATGTGGGCCGAGCTGTGGTTAGCGTCCACCACTCGATCTATCACAAACGTATGACAATCGTCACGTTCACGATCGGAAATTCCGTATCCTCCAGGATGCTATGTCTAGCCAGGAGGGTGCTGACAAATGCGTGCGACTTATCCTGCTCACAGACTTAGTTGACCAGGACCGCACACTTTTGATCGCAATGGACACCTCAAACTGGCAAAGAAGGCGTCACCAGCTGGCAGGATCTATAATTACAACTTCACAAGACACGCAGCAACAACAAGAATCATGATGCAGTTGAGTACCCGCACGACCCACCAGGCCCTACGAATTGGGCAGCCGAAGCGATGGGATCTGTGGGATTGTGGCTTCCACGCGAGACACGCGCTTCTCGTGCACCCAAGCGAAGAATCCACCACGTCGGAATCTGTCCTCGTTGGAGAAAAGAGCCAGAGGCAGGCGCCGCCGAATGTTCTATCAACTGCAGCCGGCCCCATTCGGCTATGCGAATCGTCGCCACACGCAGCATAGGCGAGCACGCAAGGTCCATGTACATGACACCGCCAACCGCTGTGTTGGCTCCCGTACTCGCAGGCATAGAGTATACTCCTCCGACTCAGCGTCCACAATTTGACTAACTTAAGTCTCATAAACTAAAATAAGTCCTCGCAAACTATGGCCGAAATCTGGACAGCCAATCTCCGACCCGCTAGCTGCTGCGTGTATCGCGAGGGAAGTGATCTGTGACCCAGGCAACCGGCACCCTTAGCTCTGACAGACCGCAATTGTGCACCTCCACGAGTTTACCATAAGCTCGGTCTAGACACTAGTTCCATTCGTGGACAGGCGCAAGTATCAAACTGTATTGCAAACTCATGTATGCTGCTGATCCCAGCCACCGTGCGTGGAGCTACAGAAAAACTTCATCGATTCTCATGTTACTCATCTCGAACTTTCCATTACAACGACTCTATCGCTTTTTGTCTCTGTCGCTAATTCCAGATGTCCTGTGCTATGCTGTGCTGTGCAATGCCCTAATGTAGTATTGGTAGAGTCACACTGGTATCCTCCCGGCGCATGCAAAAAGCTTCTCCCAATGCCTGTTAGGGCTGCTTAACCATTCTGCCTATTCCCCTCACGAAACAGACATCTCCGCGTTGTCGTTCAATATGCATGAGTCCTCGTTCCGAACATTGGCAGACTTAGTCCCTTGATGCTTGACTGTACTGTAATCCAGCTTTGCCTTGACCTATGCCGGTGAATCTCGTGCGCTGATCCAAGCAGTAATTGCAGACATGCCCTCGCAGATCTGACTGTTGGTCCAGCGCTTTAGTGTGTCCTCGTCATCGTCATGAATTCGTAGTCCGTGTTGGCATAGGGTATTTGACCAAGAGCTCTTCAATCTTGGGCACGAGCTCAGGGATGCGGAAGGGTTTGCTGACAACGTCATCCTGTAGAACCATATCTGTCAGCTGTCTTTGTTCTCTTGCGAGAATTGCATGGAACTAGCCAGTGCGCGCATGCATCTGTTGTGTACCACTTCCACGGCGTTCGGATACACAACAGCTGCATCATGTGGCGTCACTTACCATTCCCGCATTGAGTGCGGTCTGGATCTGCTCAGACCGCGCATTCGCCGTGACGGCTATTATAGGCACATGGCCGGTCAGTTTGCCTTGTGCCTCGAGTTCTCGAATCTTGCGTGTGCAAGTTAGTCCGTCCATGACTGGCATCTCTTGATCCATGAGGACAACGCCGAGCTCGATTCTGTCTTTTCTGTTTTGACCGTCTCGCCAGTATGTGGACTGCATCAGTTTTTCTAGCGCCTCGCCGCCATGATTCGCAACGTGGACCTCGGTACCGATGTTCTTGAGCTGTTTCTGTAAAACTTTCTGTTTGAAGCAAAGAAGTCAGCACATGACCCGAGAGCAGCGCGACTGCTTTCAACATCCGCGCCTAGTAGCGAGGTGCAGACAACTGTCAGAGCAGATTTCTAGGGTGAGTACCGACCTGGTTGACGAGGTTGTCCTCAACAATGAGCACTTTCTTCACCACAGGCTTGGTGCCATCCGCCTCGAACTCTCCCTTGCCTTCGGCGACATGGACAGGAGCTCCTTGAGGCAAAACGGCCGATGGAACAGATTTACTTCTTGGATTGTGCGCGTGACTTGGCGTTCGTTTGATACCAACAGCTCCGTCGAAATCATCCTGGGGTGGTGAGCTTCTCCGTGCTGCGACGTAGAAAGCAAATGTGGATCCACACCCAGCTTCACTTTCCACACCAATCTCGCCACCCTGGAGCTCCGTGAGTTCACGACTGATGAAGAGGCCAAGTCCAGATCCTCCGTATTGAACGTGTGTGCGCGGGGAAGCTTGTGAAAATCGCATGAAGAGGAGCTTCTTTTCCTCGGGGGAAAGACCGCGACCAGTATCACGTACAGAGAAGTGGATATACACTTTCTCGCCGTTTCCCCAATCGTTCTCCAGCAGCAGATCACGATTCTTCTTTCTGGTCGCGAAGTATTTGACTGGGGCATCTGTCCGGTCACTAGGCCGTTGTATCGACGCCCCGATCGTGACAGTGATGGTTCTGCGTTCCTCGGTTCCAGTGAACTTGATCGCGTTGGTGGTACTAAAGTGAAAGGTCAGCTGTTATTCTCCTTTGCCCATGTGCGTGGGGCCATACAGATTAATTAGTACTTGTAGCACTCCTACCCTCAAAGTTAGTTATCTCTTCGATATCCTAATCGAGGCGTGCTACCACTTACTGCTAGGATCGAAGCGAACCCAGTCTAGATTGAGCTCGCGGAACGATTGGTCGACAACGAATTTCATCTGGATATCGGCAGCCTGCAACTCGCCTTCGTGCATTTTGAGCGCTCTTTGGACCACAGTGAGCGGCTGGGCGTCTACGGGCGTGACCAGGAGGAGAGCGGAGTCCAGCTTGCTCAGGGTGAGGATGTCGTCAACGATTCTTTTTTGATGTTGGCTGCAAAGACTGATCGTCTGTGCCGCGTCTAAGCAGTTGGCCAGAAGATCATCTGGTACAACCCGCTCGCCGCTTTGGCGAAATTTCGTCAGCGAGCTTGCGATATCGTCGCTACACTGTAGGATCGCGGACAAAGGATTGCGCATCTCGTGCGAGGTTATGTCCTTGAAAAGCAAGTCAGTCTTGACACCCAGTGCGATAGCACTTTTGCTAGAGGTACGCCACAATAGCACTTTCCGGCGACGGAAGAGAAAAGTAGCCGTGATGCACTTACAATGAAGTTTTCCTGCTGCCGCTTCAGCTCCACAGCCTCTTCCATTTTTCTGGTCTGGAGACCTTCGGCCCATTTCTGTTGGGATATGTCTGTGATACTTCCGAATATACTCTTCAATTTCCCGTCTGTGTATTGTTCAGGGAAACCGCTGAAGAGCACCCAAGTATCGCCACTATTGCCGTTCCGGTTTCTCCATTGCGCCTTGAATCTGAACTCTCTGGAGACAGGTTTTACATTCGCAACTAGTTCAGTCCAGAGGTCTTTTACTGTTTGCAGATCCTCTGGCTTTACGGCATCCATCCAGGTGTCTGCCATATTGGAGTTCTTTGGTACTCGAGATATGTCGTACCACGTGTCATTGGCGAAAGTAATCTTGCCGTCGCTGTCTGCAATGAACATCCCGACAGGGGCGAACTCAGCCATTCGAGTGAATTTGGTCTCGCTCTCCATGGCCTCCATCGTCCGAGCTGCCAACTGTTCCGAGAGCTCTATGCGATCAAGCGCTGCGAGCTGAGCAGCCTTCTGCCCTCTCCTAATTTCTTCTTCGAATAGGACGACCGAGGCCAGTGAGGTACCCAATTGTCGGCTGAGCAACTGAATGAAAAGACTGTAGTCATCATCGTAAGGCCGCCTTGGATTGACACCCAGGACCAGGAACCCAAGCACGCTCTCGCCCGTTGTAGGGTGTATTGGACACACTACCACAGCAGTCACTGGATCGCCGAAACCTCGAAAATTTAGACCGCTGATCAGGCTCTCGGGCAAGTCACGACTGCCAACCTCTAGTAACAAAGGCTTGTCCGTCTTCATGACCTCGCGGAAGACCGGCCCAAAGCCTTCCATTCCAGCACGAAGGTCTATTTGGTTTGGTGTTGCCTGATGATCGTCTGGGAGACCTAGAGCACCTTCCAGGATGCATTGCCGGGATGAGAGGGCCGAGCTCGAATGCATGCTGCTGGAGTCGCTGTCGCTCTCATCTGTTACCGAATACAGCAGTAAGAAGGGGCTGTCGTGTTCGTTGAATTCGAACGATCCGAGCACTTGAGACCAGAAAGATTTGACATCTCTCGCAGTCGCAGTCCGTTCGCCAATTTCTCGGAGAGTCAACATTCGCCTTTCTGCGATCTTGCGCCTAGTTTTTTCGAATGCTGGGTTGTAAAGCCCCATCACGCTACCGTCCCGGCCTACCATGGGAATGATTGACCACGAGAAATAGCATTCCTCGAGATGGTCGCTTCTTCGAATGAATAAGCAATCATCGTCCTTCATCGTGGCTTCGCCTGTCAACTTCGCATTTGCAAAGACGTCTTTGACCTCATCCCAGATCTCTGTCCAAGCCTGGAAGCGTTCGATCCAAAGTCAGTAAAAGTGTTTCCGAGGTATCTCGATAATACATATGGTTTCGTAGTGAGAAATGTGCCCACTAGTGTGATCGAGAGGTCGAGAGGATAGGATTGGCCTTGCATTGATGAACGTGTGTACGTACCTCTCGATAGCTCATCCCCATCAAGCTGGGATGCTTTTGCCCTGCAAGCATAATGTACGCCTCGTTGTAGATTGCGATCAAATCCTCGCCCCAATACATGGCTGCCCTAGTAGTGTTCGAGATAAGGTTAGCATATATCTCAGGCAAGCCTCCGCGCTTTAATCACGCCGATAGTCGAGCTGACAAGTATAGATCTTACACTAGAATCACAGCGACCGGAAGGGAAGCATGCCTTGAGAAAATTGACTTACGGGTGGGGTGATGCCATAATCAGATTGCACATCTGGCGCAAGTCTGCACTCCAATACTCAATTGGTCCGAGGCTGGTCGAAGCCCAATCTATACTTCGAGCAAATTGAATATGGCGCGGCATTCTTTCTGAAATTGGCAATCTCGTCCAGTCAAAAAAAGGCGCGTCCGCGGCAACAACTGAGATCTGGCTATAAGCAGGAGTAGGGTCAGCGATAGTGGGCTGGCTCGCGGTGCTACACGATACCACGGGCATGGCATCAGGCGTAACGATATCGCTCCGTACGTACGTTTTCGCACTAGGGAGCAGCTCTGTAGCACCGGAAAGATCCATGGCTTCTACCGTGAAAGGTAAGGGCGAAGGTGTCAACGAAGTGGCAGCTACCTGCGATTCGATTGTTGACATCACTTCTGTTGATACTGTGCTGTTCGAGCCATCGGAATTCGATGCATGCTCAGCCCTTGCCTGACCGAAGTAGTCGGCAGGTTCACCAGGGTCTCTGTCCGGCAGCGCCTCTGTTGGAGGCACGCTCAACCTCAATGCAGCTGCTGACGTGGGCAATGGCGAATTGAAAGCACCGCTGATAAGCCTCAGTCTCTTGCGGAGAGTTGAACAGCTCCACGTCATGCTCGCAAAAGTGAACGGTGGCAGACACACATTGAGGCTTTCGCCATTCACGGCGGCACTCAGTAACCATGACTTGAACTGGAGAAAGGTTCTCGCGCCAGGAGACAGTTCCGCCGTCGCCATGCCAGAAATCAGTGCCTGTAAACCCTCGTGGGCTCTGAGAGAAGGGTTGGAAAAGAGTAGATGCAACGATCCAGTCCCGTAATTCGTGCTATCACCCAAGTCGATGATAAATGTTGGTCTTTCATCCTGCTCCAGTAATTCGACTATGCCGATGGAATTTAGCATGCCAATTGTGCCATTGTGACCTTCTCTGCCGCTATGGCTGCTGCTGTCCGGGCTGTTACTTCGCTCAGCTACGCGTTCCAGGCTTCTCCGAGTGAATGGAGCGCTGGTTGGCCCGTAACCTGCTGCAGGTGTCGTGACAGTTCCGCGAGCCAAGCTGACCGTCTTCACATGGCTTTCTTCGTTCCGCGCCTTGGACAGCATATCCATGGCTCGTGCCGCAGCCTCCCCGGATGAGAAGCGCGGGAGCAAGGGCCGTGGTCTGGGGCTGTTGCTGAAGAAGAGTGGAGACGGTGGACCAGCAGTCGAGGTGAAGTGGAGAAAGTCGAACGAGGTCCCATCAATAGGATGCTTGAACCGCGGCCGAAGCTTCGCTCGTTTATTGGAAGACTCGTGTGTTTGCCTGTTCTCCGTTGGGGCTGATCGAGGTGCTCGTTTGCGCTTCGAGCCACTCAACAGCCCTACTGCCGCTGGAGTCTGTCGCAGCGAGGGCGGCTGTTCAGCCTCTGGGGTTGTAAATGCGTTGCGTTCGCTCCCAAGCCTCACAGATGTTGCTGGTCTCCCAGCACTCGTGGCGTCTCTTTGATCAGAGAAAGAATTCCATATCGATGGCGACTCAGTTTCTCTATGCGACAATCCGCTGCCAGCACTTGTATCGCCGTCTACCTGCGCGCTCGTCGAAGGTCCTGATGCAGCGAATGACGCAGCAGCGGCGATTTCATTGCCCGGGGGCTGGACGTCGCTCAAGTCGAGATACGTAGGAGGGGTTCGCCGGCGGGAAGGTGAAGGGGCGCGGAGGTTACTCGTGAGGTTCGTCGAGGACGGTGGCTGGCTTTTCAAACTGGACTTGGAGGTGAACAGGGACGAGTTGCTCGAGTTCTTCATTCCTAGCACGAGAACATGGCGCGTTTACACTAACGCTTGGCGCTGGGGAGAGCGATCGGTGAAGGTTCGGCTCGGAGGGTGATCTCGTTCATGTTGCCATCGCGCTTCGGTAGCAAGCTCGTGGGCTGGTCCAGGGGGAAAGGGAAAGAGTGTGGTGTTGTTGCGCTGCTGGCGAGGCGCGAGACAAGCTTCGCCCGCGTTCAATGTTGTTGAGGAGGAGAATGCGGCAGAAGAAGAAAAGAGGATCTGGTGCAATGGCACGCGCAAAGCCGACCGACCTGGAGGTGGGATCCGCGAAGCCACAAGCCTAATGCGGCAAGGCGTCTCTCCGTTGCTGGCACATTATTATTAGCAGGACAGACACAGAACTGTAGCCCTTGACGGATTATGATACGATGATGGCCGAGTTTTCCTCGTTCATTGTTCGACTTCTTCACCCTCCTTCGTCTCTGCACAGCCAACAATGCCATCGTCCCGCGGCCGACTTTGGCTGTTGAGTGGGTGGGATCGACATAATCCTTGCCCATCTCCAGTTTAGCGACCGAGCCACAAGCCAAAGATGACGTTCTGGAATGTCGATTTCCGATTTGATCTTATGAACCCTGCTCGCGCGTGCGCTGTGCGACCAGCATCCCGCAGCGAGATGTCAAGCAACGATGAGACTGAAAAGGTACGAGATGCCCTCGACCACGCTTCGCTTGTCATCAGCACATGTCAGTCCTGGTGCCGAGCAGCACGGCCGACAGCACAGTAGGAGGTAACCCGGACGGTCTCAATGCCCTGCAAGGCATTCTCCACTCTGCCAAAACCAAACAAGCGCAACGGTTGAGCCCACAAGTTTGCTGTCACATTGTGCAGAAGAAGCTGGGCCCGGCAGGTGAAGTCAAATTTGAGTTACGCTCCGAGCGTGAAGACCATGTGCTGCGCCTGCCTTCTTTAGCTCATGTCAGTACTCTGCTTTCCCCGTTGCGCAGGTCGAGCCAATTGGTATCTTCAAAGCTAAGTAACACTTGGTCTTCTTCGCTGTATCCCTCGCTGGAACGGCTGTCTTGCCGTCGTTCTCGCTCTTCCTGGAGAGCCTCCTGCACACTTTTGACGTCGCGCTTGATGAAGAAGCCAACGAGCCCTCTGCCCGTTTTGACTTCGTCGTGCGTGCCGACCCAATACTTGCTCTTCAATATTCGCTGAGCCTTAAGACCGTTGTATACTCCTAGATTCAATTGCAGAGCTGTCCGGCCCCAGCTTGCCAGACGGACGTTGTGCAGTCCATGCAGGAACGCCAGTGTCGTTATCGGCGGAACAGCATTAGGCACCACCGTCAGATCTTCGCTATCGACACCATGTGGGGTGTAAATTATAGCCTCTGCATCATCTTCATCGTCACCTGTCTCGAAGACGGAGTTGCTATGCTTCCGCGTGCCATCGTCCCTTGCTGGTCCTGTACCGATGGCGTGCCCGCTGTTCCACGTAATCAGAATCGCACTGTGGTAGTATAGTGCATCGCTGGGAGACATTATTCGACTTATTCCGATCCAGGTTGGTAGAGGAGGGACGCTAAAGGTTCTCCAATCACGGTTGCCGTTCGCGCCAAACGCACTAAGTGGAATGACAGTACGAAAGTGCTTCCAGCCGTTGATCAGTTTGGCTGCCTCCACAGCAGCAAATACTGGCACATCTGTATGCAGTTCTACCAGAGTCTCTTTGTGACAATGATCTACAGAGGGTGTGCAGTGGTCAGTTACGTACAGTCGGGGACTCGACTTCGGCTAGGCACGCACTTACCCGTAAATTCATGGCTGATGGCAACAGCATCGATCAACGTTGCTTCTCTGTTCAGTGCCTCCTCAACATTCACTGCCTTGTTTCTGCCCACACGTTCGTGATAGGCCAGAAGTTCAATTTCGAAGATCACTTCTTCCAATTCTGCAATTGTCTGTACCGCACTTGGAGTCGCGTGGAATTGTTGTGAGAACCAGCTAGCAACATCGCTTTGTCCGCCTTTCAACCATGGATCAACCAGGATGTTGAAGTACGATCGCACTCCTCGCCTTACGGCAGCATCAGGTCGTGGTAGCTGAATTAACCAGCTCGAATCATCATTGAGATGATGCAGAAGTGGTCGTCGACTTGAGAGAGCGTCGCGAACAGCGCGTCGTAGATCAGCGTGTAATTGAGCTGAAGGTCCGTCCATGCTACATGTCGTCGGGATCGCGTCTATTTGTTTGATGTCGTGATGTTCTGGAAGCTCTGTGCTGATGGTGTTGATGATGTCGTTGTGCATCGAATTGCAGCGGCAACCTCGATGGGAAAGCTCCGGCATGGGTGCGCCCGCGTTGCCCACAACCTTGTAGGACAGCGTTGCGCCCCCACTACTTGACGGCATCAACCCTGAAACAGTTGGGCATCGAACTATATCAAACGACCTATATGAAATCCTGGCAAGCACCTACTTTATGCTGATACCTTCATGAGCTGTTGTGCTCTCGCCGCTCACCTAAGTCGCCGCTGGACCAAACGCGGTGTAAATCACTGGGACGACTTTTCGTACTGCGTATCTCTGGACTCGCAAAGGCCATGCTCTGAGGACAGCGACGCAGATTTGTAGGAAACGCCGAAAAGGGCTCACCGGAGAAGGCAATACCACTGTGACCACCAGGTCTGCAGGCCTAAGCACAGTACCTGGACTATTCAAACTACGCAAACAGCTCCGCCTGCTCTTGCTAATCAGAGAGGCATTTTCACAATGAGCGAGAAGAACGAATATCAACCTCCGCCTGGTCCTCCCCCAAGCTATAGGAGGACACAATCAGGATATGAAGGGCTCAATCAGCAGTCGCAAACGCAGCAGCAGCAGCAGCAACGAGATGGCATCAGTCAAGCGCAGCGATCTTCTTGGAGCATCGGCGGAGGGCCCAGCAATCAGACGCTTGCGTCCAACAATCCCTATAACAACGCGCATCTACACGTGCCTCCCACGCAACGCCCGTCTACGGTGAACGTCCCACCTACCTCTGAGCAGTTCCAACCACCTCCGGGGCCCCCACCTGGACACCAAGGATATCAAGGACATCAAAATCGCGAGAAAAGCCAAGATGTGGACACCCCGATGTCAGATGATCAATACGAGCCGCCTCAAGGTCCTCCGCCAAGTCACAGTTCGAGAGGGCCACCTTCGAGTAGTGCGACACCCAATTTGCCAACACCAAGTAGCGAACCAGATCAGCCTCCGCCTGAATACGATCCTTGGACCGGTCCTGACAACAGCTTGCAGCTTCCGCCCTCATTCGCCGCAGCCAACGCGCAGAATACACGCAGTCCTACGACCAACGCCGACTACGATGATGCTGCACGCGCACATGCCTGGTGTAGAAGTCACCCTCTGTGGCCCGCACAAGACTACGATGGCAGTGTCATAGAGCGAATACAATCTGGAGACCTGCGACTCACTTGCCCACCAAATACGACAGATGTCACACAGTATAATCCGTCCATGGGCCGCAGCTATGTTCGCACTTCGGAAGGAATAAGCGACACTATTATGCTATCGGATGTTCCAATCTACTCGGCCAACAGACAATCACCGCTCAGTACTGGACAGCCGCATACCCTCTATTTCGAACTGAAAGTCATGGCCATGGGAGATCGTTATGGTACTGGCAAGAACGTCGAATCCGGTATCGCAATAGGCTTCGCTGCTGCACCGTATCCTGCCTGGCGTCTTCCCGGCTGGCACCGAGGATCTCTCGGTGTTCACGGCGACGACGGAAGAAGGTACATCGACAATAGCTACGGAGGCATTGAATTCACCGGACCTTTCAAGAAAGATGACGTGGTTGGTATCGGCATGACTTTCAAGCCCCCTGTGCACGGAGACCGTGTGAGCATGAGGTGCGATGTCTTCTTCACGAGGAATGGAAAGCGAGAGAATGGATGGGATCTCCACGAGGAACGCCCAATCGACAACGATGCGGGCGATATCATTGGTCTCGAGGGCGAACATGATCTTCTTGCAGCTGTTGGCGTTTTTGGAAGTGTCGAATTTGAAGCTGTCTTCCGGAGTGAAGAATGGCTGTTCAAGGGCTAAATTGTTCGTTGATCAGAAGTATGCTGTCGAACATCGGCATATCGTGGCTAACGAACAGATACTTGATGGCAAGGCTGAGCCGGTTTGCATGGGATACTAAGTCTTAAGCTAGTAGATTTGTACTCTACCTGCTCTGATACTGACGCGTGAATTTCAATTCACGCTTTCCAATTCGTTTTCGACTCAGCTCATCATGTCACATTGCGCGTGCCAGATTCCAAGCCTCGCGGCTAGCCTGACATGAACATGTCATGAGATGCCTTCGAACGCGTTCGTACGTCGTTCTGCAACATGGGCACCTTCACGAGTTTGAGCTTCATGCTCTTGCGTACTGCTTTTTGCTTGTCCTTCCTTCGCGATTAGCCCCGCGTCTGTCACACTTGTAGTCTGTGCAACCGCTGCAGGAAGCGGCAAGCCACTACGTTGCGCTCCAAGGTCCTCTCTGGATCTGCGGGGGCCATTGTATAGTGCAGCATCCCTCTCTGCTGACACTGCCGGATGTCATGACTTGTTCCAGGCGTGTCGGCTCACCAATTGAGGTGAGAACAAAGTCGCTCAATTTTCGCGAGTCTCATCGGCTGTCCTGCTGTTGCATGCCTGGGGGCCCACTAGCTGCTGGCCCTCGAACGCCAGGCGGAGGATTCACCATCCCAGGCCCAGGACTGGGCCCATTCGGTTGCTGAAAGCCCGGTGGCATTTGAGGTGGCATGCCGCCATTCGGGGGCGAGAAGGGCATGTTGGCTGGAGGAGAACCGGCAAATGGTGGAGGTATACCTCCTGGAGCACCAGCTGGGCTGAACCCCGGTGGAAAGCCATTTGGCGGCGCAGGGAACCCAGGGGGGAGTGGTGGCATTCCGCGACCACCTGGTGGCATAGGAGGGAAGCCTGGAGGCAAAGGAGGCATTCCTGCGACGGATCAGTATATCACTCTTTGCTCTTGTGCATATGGGTACCTACCTGCAGGCATTGAGCCGTTGGGCGCAAACCCAGGCATGCCAGGCGGCGGAGGCCCAGAAAAGCCCGGAGGTCCAGCACCAGGTAATTGTGGTTGCATTTGCATCGGCATGCTCTGCCCTTCCGCTGCATATGAGCTCGTAATCCCGTCTATTACTGCCTGCGCCTTCTCATGCCCAATCTGTTGGTAGTAATCGACGACATTTCGTAGGTGGTTGCGGCCGCTGTTGTGCGCTTTGCGCACACTCATCGAGTCGTGCGTGAGGTAGACATCGCAGTAGTCGCAGAAGAATTTGGGCATCTTCGGTGCCTGGCGATCGCGTGCGCAAGGAATCTGTCAGGGGCTCAATTTCGTCCGGATCTCCTAGGAGCGGTTTTCGTGATGACGAGTGGTCACTGCTGTCGGTGTTGTGTTCTGGCGCGACACCGCGAGGTGAACAGGCGATTGAGCTAGAACTATCTCGTGCCCAGAAGCTGCCTCAGGCGCTTGCCAAGGCTCACTCCTTCACTTCACTGTCGCGCTCCGCGTACTTCTTCAACCACAAACGAGCAGCAACATGTGATAAAAACTAAGTCACATGCTCTCGAGGAGCAGTTGGCAAGCAACTAACGCCATGGCGAATCAAGTACCAAGCAACTCGGTCTGGTCGGCAATGTCCTACCAGCCGCCTCGTGGTGGATGCAACTACAAGACCTCCATACTCTCGAGTTGCCCTTGTCTCCGGTTCATGCTGCACCCAGTCAAGGTAACGAGAACATGTCGCCATATAGAGATGAAGCTAAGGTTTGCAGGCAGCCACAAGCTTCGACTGCGACGGTTGCGGCCATCACGCCTCATTTCACTCCCTCGAAAATGTCGCTGAAGATGCTATCCTAAAGAAGTGGACCACTGAGCAAGGATCCGCGAGGGGCGATGTTACAGCATCAGATGGCTCCAAAAAGCGACGCCGCATCGCCGAGAAACCGAACGACGATGTCCAGATTCTGGAATTGAGCGACGACGTGTTTCCCAAGACCACACCGAAGCCAGGACGCGCGCGACCTTCTCGCAAAGACCCAAGTACCACTGGATGATCGAGCTCATGCCAGTGACCACTTGTGATCGAAAATCAATTTCGTTCAGCTTGCGCGGAGCTAGACTTTTACGTGCTTCATCCTGTGTCAAACAGCTAAGCTGCTGCATTTGACACCCGAAGCATGGTGCCGCTAAGCGCGACTCGCCCAAAGCCCCACTGGCAGTAATGGAAGCCACCGCGACTATAGACACTGGCAGGCGAGTCGGACTTTCTTGTTTATGACACGCGCATTACGACGCCCATCCAGCGACACTTCTTTGCGTGGTTTAGGTCACAAGGATGCCATACTCCTACGCGCAACATTTGGGCAGCACACTTCCCATACAAGTGGCTGGTACTACAGTAGCCTCCTAGGCCACCAGACTCCTCGCATCCAGCGGAGCAGCTTGTCAGCGGAAGGCTGAGAGTTGCAGTGAATCCTGCTCAAAGCAGGCTCGTGCAAGACTTACGCCGTGGGTACCACATCCAGTGGCACGTACGATTCAGCAGCTATCATATTGCCAATGGATCTTACCAATAAGTACCTTCGTTTCGGAGGAATTAGCCTCTCCGCATCTTTCCCGGTCGCTTCCTTTCACTCACCGCACGTTTCAAATCAACGGCCATCGCGGTCGATAGTGCCGCTCGCACGCTCCTATTACAAGCATTCTCGAACGGCTGCGCACAATCCTGGTCAAGAACGCGAAGCCGCCGCATTGCTATAAACCCGTTTGGTCCGAAAGATGCAGCTGCAGGGGTCCTAGCACCTACCCCATCACTCCATCTGAGCCATCTCATGATTCGTTCGCTCTATTGGTTTACACCGACTGCCGAGTTGCAGTTCTTCTGACAGATCGAAGACAAGCTTCCAAATGAGCTTGGCTATCTTGGCAAAGCTTCTCGTTTCTATGACGTCCTCCGCTGTGATAGACAGATACATGTGCGTGTATCAACGCAACCGTGGGAATGTGTCTCTGGCATGAGCAGCTAACAGGAACATAACTAGCTACTGAAGAATTGCCACGGACGATGACGCGACAATATATGAGGAAGTGAAGATCGCCGTGTGTGCAGGCCATTTGCGCGGGTTCGACAGAAGTAAATGGTACGAACGGCCTGTCCAAACGACCTCTGCCTCTTCTTTTCCATGCGCAAGCCCGGCAGGTACCCGCCTTTTCCGATCACGGTCCGTCCGGATAAGCTACCTGCGCAGAGCTCGACTGCAACAACATCGTTCTCGCCTTCCAACATCTTTGTCATCATCAGCGAGGTGTCGCGAAGCCACTTTGGCCGGTCGTCCTGAGATCCAGCCAATGGGCTTACGGCTGATCGCATTGCTTCTTGCATCTGTTGCTGCGGCCATAAAATCTTACTTGTAGCACACAGCTTGATTAGCCAGCATGAATAACAGAGTGATCGCAAAGCCACTTCGGCCGACGATGGCACGTCCGGCAAGCGGGCAATACGCCACGATCCGCAGTAGCCGTCTCATCATGGCATGATGAGGCGTCGCTTACACATAGTCAGCATAGCTCCTCTAGTGGATACTAGACTCGCGGACCTTGGGGTAGAGACCCATCGGGTTTTGGCATCGGCGGCTCTTTCCTCGGGACATGTGCATCACCATCCTTCGAGTGGTGTGGTAGAGACCCACAACCTCAGTTGTCTGTTCGTAGTCGATGCACGAGGGCAAGATACCGCATTTCGGCAACACGATGATGCGAACACGCCACGAAGACGCGCGTAACCTGCTCGTAGCGCCGTCGAGGATATTTGATTCGCTTGAAAGAAGTGGCAATGGCTAATTACTGTAAGTCGACATGTCTCAACTAATGCGCACGCGTGACGGGACTTGAGCTAAGGAGCAAGGAAGTTGGAAGGTACGCGCACGGGACAAATACCGACGGCAGTCGATACCTGATATGGCATTGTCAACCGTTGTACCTTGCGAAGTAGCCTTACATACCACCTAGGTTTGCGATTGTGACGACACTGCACGTTCGAGATCATATATATTACACGTTGGATGTCCAGGTGAGCTGCCTCTTCCTTGTCACCAAACTTCACTCATCAATTTTCATATTGCTCAATACAATGAAACGCTTTGCGCTTCTCAGTGCAGGTTTACTTGCCCAGGCTCTCGCATTGCCCAAAGGGTTTCGAGAAGTCCACGAGCCGAATGTGTTCCACCGTGCTAAACGACAAGAGGCACAAAAAGGCTCTCCTCCCGATTTCGCCACTGTGAACACTCCAACACAGGATCCTGTCGGACCAGATGGCGCAAAGGGCTCACTTCGCGGCCCAGCGAGTCTTGCAGGCTATAACTCAGCATACCAGGTGGACACATCACTTCCTGCTACTGTGCCCGAAGATCAATACAAGCTCGCACCTGGGCAGGATCAAGACGCAGACCTTGGCCTGTATCTAGACCTGGCTTCAGTAGAAAACCCGCAGCCTATTCGAGGAGGCACCAACGCACCTACTGATCCTGGCCCACGGAATCGCCTGCTCGACCAACAGAACTCCGACCTGTACGCGCCACCTGGGACTGATTCTGGAGATGTCCCCAACGCGAAATGGCCCCTTTCACTTTCACATAATCGACATGGTCTGAATGGTGCAGGATGGGCACGCCAACAAAATGTCGATAATCTGCCAATCGCAACAGCCATGGCTGGTGTTGACATGCATCTTGAACCCAACGCGTATCGAGAACTTCACTGGCATCAAGCTGACGAGTGGAGTCTCATCCTTAACGGATCTTGCCGCATATCAGCCGTCAACGAAGCAGGAGAGACATTCGTCGACGATGTCGAAGCCGGCGATGTATGGGTAAGTTTGGTCGTTACAAGGCATCTTTAATTCGCGAAGGACTTTGTCCCACACATTATGATACCTGCCACTGACTCCTTTTGGTTCAGTTCTTCCCAGCCGGCGTTCCACATAGTATCCAAGCCTTCGGAGACGGCGTAGAGTTTCTACTCGTCTTCGACAGTGGCGAGTTCAGCGAAGATGGAACTTTCCTCGTCTCGGAACTTTTCGAACGAAATCCAAAATCTGTTTTGGCCAAAGATCTCCGAGTCGATACCTCAGCACTCGACAATATTCCAGAAGGACAATTGTACATTCTTCCAGGCACGCCAGCACCCAAGAATATCTCTGAGCAGAATGTCACCGGTCCAGCGGGCTCAATTCCAATCGAACGCACCTACTCGTATCACTTCTCCAAACAAGAGCCATACGAAGTCCCAGGCGGTAGCGTCAAGCTACTCGATTCCAACACGTTCCCTGTTGCCAAAGACTTTGCTGTTGCTCTCTTCACAATCAAGCCTGGTGCGATGAGAGAGTTGCACTGGCACACCACCTCGGATGAATGGACTTACTTCATCAGCGGACAAGGTCGGCTGACTGTCTACGCTGCTCCTGCAAGCTCAAGAACTTTCGACTTCCAAGCTGGAGACACTGGCTACGTCCCCGTCACAGCTGCACACTACCTAGAAAACACGGGAAGCGAGGATATGGTCTATCTTGGTAAGTGAAGTAGACTCTCCGAAGTTGAACAGATGCTAATCAGAAACTACAGAGGTCCTACAAGCACCTACGTACAACGATATTTCTGTCGCTCAATGGCTCGGCTTGACACCGAAGCAGGTCGTCAAAGACCACTTGGGATTCTCCGATGATACATTGAATCGCTTGCCAAAGATTAAGCCTTTCATTCTGCCTGGTGATCCTAACTTGCAGCAGACCAACTTCACAAGTGAGGCCGAGTAGAGGGAAAACTTTTGGAAGAGAGTAAGGCGCACTTGTTGTGCATCAGGAGATATCATGCCCGCTATGGCCTCTGTACATTCATAATGACATCCAATCTTCGCTTACAACATCATGTTCACTCGCACGCTTTCTGCACTCTAGCTCTCAGATCCGCTAATGCAACACTCCCGCTCTTTGTTACTACCACGCCCTGTACTTCTCCGCTCTGTACGACTTTCACAAAGGCTGGTGTTATTTCCGTCGCCATGAGCGTCAAACACCTCCAAACCTCGATGTTGCTGATCGGACTTCGAAGGCTCTGCTGCAATTGTTGCGTGATGGCCTGCATGCTGAAGCTACTTCGCTCTTTCATTCCGCACATGAGCGACAGGATTCGCGCAATGTCTTCGATGCGTTGAAGGGCTGATCTGCGCTCGAGCTCAGCTTTGGTCGGTCCTGCTGGCAATTTCGAGGCCATATTCTGCTTTGCAATGATGCGGTCCAGAAGGGCCGTGCTGCGGCTTGCGACGGACTGCGTCGATCTCTGTGCGATCGTCTCGGCTTTTGCATTTTTCGATTCGACCTTCGCCGCTTGGCCTGCCTTCAACTCTGCCAGTCGCTGCTCTCCCCGAGAGAACAGTGCCGACGCCTTTTGTGATGATTCGTTCTTGACGATGTCCAACAGTGGTAGCTGATCGATGAATCTGTTTGCTGTTCTGTTCTCTTTCGCTGTGATCGCTTGCCATTGATGCCACATTTTCTGCAGTGCGCTCTCGAATGTGTTGTTCAGGCTCTCCTCATCGATGTAGCTTGCCGCACGCTTGACGATACGCCCTCGCGACTGTACTCGCGCAAGACGAATACCACCTCTGCCACAGTCTTCGAGAGTGAATTCACGATCTTGCGCTGGCATAATCGCAAGAACCCGCTGCAAGTCGATCTGAGTGACATTGCGTTTCCGCCAGTGCTTTGTGATCATCGGTAGGAGTAGAAGAATTTGCGGTGCTGTTGATGTTCCGTTGTGCGAGTAGTGCATCGATAGAGCTGCGAGGAAAGACGCGTGAAGATCCTGAAGGTCTTCTAGTTCTGCTGGGAATGACAAATCAAGCTCTGCCTCGGTCTCCCTGGGTGGTGAATCTGGAGGTGTGTCATAGTCGAGTTGTTTCCTGGGCAGTGGAAATGGTATCGGACGCGCATTTGATTCGATGTTGAGGTTGTCAAAGAGACGCGCTGCGCTCTTGCTAGGCGTTTCGGCTGGAGTTGGAGGAGCTGCGTTTTTGACTCGCTTGTGCTGTCGAGGTTTGGCACTCTGGTTTGTCGAAGCAGCCGTCTCAGTGGATTGCACTACTGCGATTTCGTCCTCGCTGTCGCTCTCTGGCGCGGCATTCCTCTTGCGCTTTGACACAAGCTTAGGCGCATCACTGATGACCGGCGCGGGAAATGGAGGCGTTGCTTCCTTCTTGTGTGCCGTCTTCCTCTTCTTGCCCTCGTTCGCCTGGGCCACAGGCTTCGAGACGCTGCTGAAGGTGTAGATGCTTTGTTGCGCCTTGGTCGATCGTGTTTGTTTACCGGAGTGCGCCTCGTCGAGCGTGGAAGCCTTTCTCTTCGGCATTGTGACGTGATATGTATGCGGCGAGGTAAGATGGTTGGTGTGATATGGTGCGGAAAATATGCGTTGGTGTAGAGGATGCAATGTCGTCTGTCGCAAGAGAAGAAACACGTCGAGCTGGAGATCGGCGCGTGTTAGTCGCAAACGCGCCGCGTCGCGTCACATTCCCCACTTTACGCGTCGTTTCGCGTACCCGAGCACAGAAAAGCTTAACGAGATCTCTGCGTGTACTCTGGCGGGTTGACCATCACCAATCCATTTTGAAGTGCGATATTTGCATGATGCACATTCTGTTTGCATGACAGTTCATACGTTTCTATCAATGACTAACCTCAGGAATTGACCATCCGCCTTCTGAAAGCATATGCACTCGGTTCACATCTGGATGTGGTGAAACAGACTGTCCTATTGCAGAACTCGTTGCCTGGATCTGGAGATGGAAGCACTGTGCACCTGGGCATTGCGGCGTCAAAGCGTGCTTCGACCCTCGAAAGTGTGATGTTCAGAATCAGACGATGCTATGACAAAGCACCAAAGAAGCTGAATGAAGATACATCGTCGCACACGGAATCAGAAACCTTCGTGGTCCCAAAGACCGTTGAACATCGGCACGCTGGAGAAAGCGTGTTCGTCGAATTCAGGCTTGGGCTGCTCTTGACTTGGGAAGAGCTTTTGTGTGCGATGCATTCTCGTACTCGTGGAGTTCATTATCGAGCTGTACGCACCTGCTTTGCGGCCGCCGAAGCATTACATGCGATGGTCGAAACGTTGTTCCCAGTTTGGGCAGAGGCGTTGGACTAGTTTGCCTTTGCTGGAATCAGGAGTGAAGGCCGACGAATCCAGACTGTGGTGCAGTTCCTGGCGGCTCGTCCTGCTTCCCATCCAGCGTCCACAATCTGCGTCTTGTCCCAATTCGTGACAGAATCCCAATTCGTGGCAGATGCAGGGTGCGAGATTATGACTGCGAACGACGCAATCGGGAGCTCTCCAGGTATATCAACATGCAGTTGAGCATTCGCGTGGGACATATCGTTGTCACGTCATTGGATGGTATTCGGAGCTCAGACCTGTCGAACCACGTGGCACTACTTTCGGGACCGTTTCTTGACATGTCCCCGGCGGTTCGGATACGAGCCAAAGGCACCAATCCACAGCTCAGCGCTGAACGAATATCGGATGCACGGGCCCGGCATGTCAGACCGCACCAGCATGTGCAGCAAATTTGTCCATCTCAGTTCGATTGAAAACAGCGACAGAGTTATATTCCAAAATGAGCGATCGAGTAAGCTAATGACCTTGGAGAAAGTAGGTCAGCAAGGACTCGTAGCATGTAGATCGCCTGGACCGATGGAACCCGAAGATGATCTAATGTGCAAAATCTGCCCAGATCTATAAAATGGTGGCTCCCTGTGCACATGTTCAGCACGCCGTTCTGCGAGAGAAGAATCAGTATATGACTGCCGAGCAAGGGGCGCCTGCATCATCGCCGTATCCGGAGCTGTGGTCGAAGCAGATAATGTTCCAGCGAGTCGTGCCAGGAATCAAGCTCCTGCACACCCGTTTAGCCATGCCGCCGGTCAATTGGATCTCAACAGGTCGTCGAACAGGAGCTGGAAGTCATTGATCTGGACAAATTATGGCCGAGTTGTGCCAGCTGCTTGAGACAAGCATTCGCTTGCAAAGTGTTTTTGGTGAGTAATCATGTCTGTCCCTCTGACACATCAAAGCGGAAGCGTACAACCAGGACAAATATCAAAACATGGCCCTCGATGAGTTGTGTAGAAGGGGTGCCAGCGTTGCAGAGGGAAGACTGCGAAACACTGATTCTCTCTCAATGCAATGCTCTGAGAAAAGTACTGTTCCAAATTAATCTCTCTGTCCTGTCAAGTGACGTCTGATGTTCTCTTAGGGCATTCTGGGGTGGTGTGGGTTTGGACATGGGCATGAAAGGCCCGAGTCCATCTCTCCATGGATGGATTTGATGTGCGGCCACGACGTGAGATGTACGCGTCAGAGCGCATTCGATCAGGAGCGATGTCCTATCATTCCTAATAGACCTCTTCGTGGCGGGCGACATGCTTTTGTGGCGCTGCTGTTGCATCGAGAAGCTGTACCAGCCTCCAGCAGCAGGACCACGTTAAGGTTGTGCTGGTCCAACAGCTCGCCCACGGTAATCCTGGTCTGACATGTGCAAACCTTCCGCTTCTTGCTGGTCAACGTCGCGACTTCGCGTTGGCAAGTCGATGCGCGCTTCAACGGGAAGGTCGCACAGCTCCATCCTCCGCAAGCACTGTCATTTCGGCTTTACGTCGCGTCGCTGATCTATTTCATCGCGTCGGTGCGGCCACGGTCATCGTCGAGCCACGGATCCCTGATGCAATGCTGCAGATCGCGCATTTGAGACCGACTCTCCACTGTACCGGCGACCGAGTCTTGCTCGAAGGGAAGTTGCATGCAGAAACATGTTTCGAACTCAGCGCATCTCACAAGTGCGGATGAAAGCAAGCTCATATCGGACAAACATAAGCGAATCGCACAGGGCGTGCGCTGGCTCGAGCGAGATCCAAGGCTTTTTCTTCGGCCGCCGTTCCTGCGGGCGCGCTGCAGCCGCCAGGTATGTGAATGTCACCTCGACCAATAGCTCAGCGCGACAACGCACGTTGACGAGAGCAAGCTACGACCTCAGGCCTGCTGCTGGGCCGCTCGCCAAAAGTCAATGAACTGCGTGCTGGACCATGGCCACGACTGGAAGAGGAATCCAACACGAGATGAGCGCTCGGCATGATGCCTGCGCGGTGGCTGGCACTCTGTTCGCCGCGGCCTACAAGCTACTGACGCCACGCTACGATGGGTGTCCTTGGGAATGCGGTATGCCGAAAAGCTACTTCGACCGGTAGTCATCATCCTCCGTGACCTCACCTTTTCTCTGTTTCACTCCCCTCCCCGTGCGCATCACGATGCAATCTGCCTGCGGGCTATCCCACTATTACTAGGCCCGCTTCCCTAATCTTTCCGTGCGTTCTTTGCTTCCACAACACGACATGCTGTGAGGCATAGGATTCCTACAGCAGGGCACGGCCGTTGGATTTACCGGTCTGGGATCTGGCTGGGAAGAGACGTTTAGAGCCACTATCTTCACCTCGGACCATGGCACCTTCCCCCCCGTCATCGTCGACTTACGTATCCCAATCAAACGGATCGCCGCAACATAGACCAAGGAGTAGGCCACGACCGCTCCGCGTCCGAACTTATAGCGAAAGTCATAATGATACCTTGGAGCCCGCTGGGACGTTTCACAATGCGCGTCTCAGGCACAAATCAAGCACCCTTGACAACACCTCTATGAGTCCTCGAAGCCCGAGCATGCTCGAAAACATGATTGAAGAAGATGAAGTCGAGGACATCGTGCAAGAATTTAGCCCACGAAGCTCCATCGACACCACACTTTCGGATCTCTCCACCATTGCTGGCTCTCTTGAGACGCCATTGACCAACCTGTCCAGCGCAAGAACATCCTTGGAGTCTTCATTACCTGCTCTCATTCCCTTTGATTTCAGCAAGCTTGACTATGAACTGGAACGGGCGAAGCTGCTTGGAGAAGGACTCTGGAGTAGAGTCTATCTTGCTGAGCAGAAGCTCACCAAGCCGCCGTCAAGCCCCAGTCTCTCCAGGAGGCTTTTTAGAAAGCCTAGAGCACCCTCGGCACCTCTTCTATTTGCTGTCAAGACTCCCGCCCGCGCGGACGCGAAAGATGTATTCCTTCAAGAAGCACGCATTCTGTCTCGTCTACAGCGACGATCTAATTCCCGGATGTATATCGTACCTTTCTATGGCCTGGACGAACGCTGCGATGCCCTGGTATTCGAAGCCGTGATAGGAGGCTCTCTCGATGACTTGTCAAGTCGCCTGCGGCAGATGACTGAAGTCGCAAGACATCTGGAAGTCATCAATCTCTTCCCAGGAATCGCTTACGATTTAATAGCCGGCCTCGAATTTCTACACACCAGTGGGGTGATACATGCAGATATAAAATCTGCGAATGTCCTGCTAGACATCTCGCATCACACCTCCCAGCAGAAACCCGTGATCCGGGCTCGCTACATCGACTTCTCCGCCGCTTTCATGCCTGCTGAAGGAGATGCCGAGACAAACGCGGGAGGCACCTGGGATTTCATGGCGCCCGAGCAATTACGACTTCAAAAAGAATTAAACACCCCGACCCGTGCAAGTGATGTTTGGAGTTTGGGAATTACGCTCTTGAGCATCATGGTCGGCAGTTCACCCTATACTGCTGCGTGCAACGGCAACGCTTTTATGCTTCGCGAAGCTATCAAGAGCGGCGATCCTATAGGTTTTGCAAGAATGGATCCTGTGCCTCGAAAGAGATTGGCGGCATGTCAAGACTTTGTAGATTGCTGCCGACTGGCACTGAAGAAAGATCGAGAGAACCGCATCACATCAAGCGCCTGGATGGCGTGGCTTGAAGATTGCGAATGGGTGGATGGCGATGTCTGGTCGTGCGCGGGGCGCATGTGGTCGCCATGAGATATATACTTGTCAAAAAGTGGACATGAAAGGAAAGCTTACGAAGCTATGACTTTTGTAACAATAGTAGATTTAAATCATGCTACAACATGCTATCGTAATGCCCGACAGCATTGTCGTTTCTTTGGCCCCTTTGGTGCACTCAGGATTTCAGATCATGATGTAGCTCTAGAGGTAAGAGTCGTCTGGTATGGCAACCCTCACACGGAATCACTGGAGCTGGCAGATGAGACGCTTGCTGTGGATCGCGTCGCAGTGTCCAGATCCTTCTTGCCGGCAACTACGCGCGAGCACCAGGAGCACCAGCTTCGATTCGACCCGTTGTGCTCTCGCTCCAGGTATCGCTCGGTGATGCGTTCATCCTCATACTCCTTGACAATGGCACCGACTGGAACCATCTTCCTCAGCTTAGTCTTGACTTTGCCGCCGATCCCGACCATTTCCTGAGTGCTGTAGCTACTGCCATTCCAATGACGGCCCTCAGACACTGCCTTGGCCGTTTCGAGTTCCAGGGCTGCGAGCTCCTCAGCATCGCATTCGACATCTTTTTGGACCATTCTTGCGGCCAAGCAATCTTGCGTTCTGCCGCATTCGACGCCTTCGTTGCCTTCGCCAAGGCCAGCGCCGATGCCGCCGCAGTGCGAGTATCTGCCTCGCCATTTCCAGCCACGATCGTAGGTCGTATCAGTCGTGCGGATGGCGTAGCCGCAGGGGTGGCAAATCCAGACAACATCGGAACAGCTACAAGGATCGCGTGCGTAGCTCCGAATTTCGTGTACGGAAATATCCTCGGAGCTTCATATGGTCAGCAGAGAGGATTTCAACTAAGAAATAGGGGAACTTGCTCAACACGATTGCCATCCTCATCGAATGCCTGCGTGACAGTTGTCAATGCATCCAACGGCGCTTTCATGCAAGTTCGACACAATCTGCGATGGCGCAATTTCACCGCATTAGTTGGCGGGGCTTTGATCACACAGTTCTGCGATAGTGTCAGTACACGATGCTGCGAATCGGTGATCAATAGCAAGATGACCTGGCTATCACTAAGCATACTCTGCACATGAATTTGCCGCAGTTTCGGCATTCATTGACCATGTCTCTGGCACAAGCACCGACACGACCAGACGTGATACGGTCAATCTTGACGCCATGTCTGCCGTATGCAGTCCATGCATCACGGCTGGCTTTGAGAGCATCGCCCAGTCGCTGCCCAGGATCTGTACTCTCATTGTGGCATCGCAAGGTCTTGTGTATGAGCATGGTACGATACTGCAGGAGATTCGCACGGACTTGGCGACATGTTCGAGCAAGATCACTCAGAGTTGTGAGATCGATATAGCTCGCCAATGAGGCCACAATACTGCTTTGGAGTCAGATCTAGTCTCCCTTCCAGGCAAAAGGGACTTGACGATGCGGAGCAAAGAGATGGTGAATATGCCAACTTTAAAGGAGCAACAACTGCGAGACTCACGGATAGCAGGACAACGCCGAGGTGAAGGTGTTCAAGTTGGGGTTGTGTCTGCTGTCGTCACCGACCGTTACGACTACGGCGTGCTGGGGTAATGGAGGCTGAGTGTCGTTGTCGCACTCGTCGTCAAGATCCAGGATGCGCACCATTCTGCTGGCCAGCACGCCGCTGCGCGCATCGGTCCTAGGAAGAATACGATGAAGATGCTTGGAATAAGCAATAGTGGTAGGCGTGCACGAGGGTGGATGAGTTACCTGGAAACGACGATGGCGACAGCGTCGCGTGAGAAAGTGGGGATCACACTTGCCCCACCACGCGACTTCTGCCTTCCGCGGAGCCCCTCATCTGTTGGTGTATGCCTTCACAACTGCAACATTCTTTCCAATGACATTGAGACGAAGAAAGATATAGCGTGACCTTTTCTCTCCTGATTCTGAGCAGACACGGGTTACGGGTTCTTCGAGAAACAGCCAGACCCGCTACCATTTCGACTCCATATTGATGATCATCCAGCATCTCATGCAAATGACGAGATAGACGAAGATCTCGCAGCGGCACGAGGATCTAAGCGGCAATTCACAGATCGATCATGTCTGAGATGGACGGTGTACTTGTGAAGATCGTTGGTAGCAAGAAGTGAACAGGCACCGGCAAGTGCTACCCAAAATAGCTCTGAAGGATCGCAGCAAACAACGCCCGTGCACCGACGCCGCATGTGTGCATGTGAATCCTTCTCCATCGGCAACACACATTCCACAAAGCAACCAAGTCGACTTTGCTCGAGCATCGAAGTGCTTCTCGACAATGCCATGTCGGCCTCTAAACTGATCGCACTGGCCTCACTGGCTGAATATGTTCTCATCAAGCCCTACATCATCCACCCGGCACAAGATGGCACCGATTTCATTGGATATTGCCTCTGTATGGCGGTCCTAGCCTGGTTCGCACAAATCTTCACGAACAGACTTACGGACGCCGAGTGGGAGAAGGCAAAGTACAGCGGAATTTATGGCGGACTTCTTGGCTACGCTTGGCTTCTGTTCCTCGTGAAGTACGAGAATCGCCAGATCCACCACCTTCTCGTTGCGAATCTGGCGATATTAGGAGGCGTGCTACTTGGCGCCTACAGAGTGCGCAACAAGAAGGGTAGCAAGTATGGTGGAGGTCGAATGTAAGTCTGTGGTGTTCTGAGAATGTCAAGGTTCGGCAGGCGCTAATGGTGTTGTTCCAGCTCAGGTGGTGGCGGCGGCGGCGGTCGAGTGAGAACTTCGAAGGATCTTGACTCTGTCCGCTTCATGAAACCTGGCCAGGGGGGAGGATGCTGTGGAATGCAGAACGGTTTTCCAGTCGACAATTAGCAGTTTTGGGTGCAAGATCGGTTTCCGTTCGACGGCTGGAATTTTCGACGCGTATCATTGGAAGATTTGCATGCTATAAGGTCACAACACTGGCCTTATATGATACACTACATAATGATGGCATATGGGATGCCAGGAGAGCGTCTGGCGGCGCTCTGCCGCATCTGCCAGAGCATGAGCATGATAAATGCATGCCTCACCTAGAACGACATTCTACAGCACAAACAAGGGTCGAATAGCTTCCTAAAATGAGAACTCTACGTCCTCACAGATGGATCAATTAAACAATACCAGTCCGATTCTACTCTCAATATCATTTCTGATCATGTTCCCTCGTTCGAAATCCGTCTTTCCTCGGCGCCGAACTTGCTTCTGAACCCTGTCAAGTCTGCAGTAGCTCTTCCATCTCTGCTACCACGACGACCACAACCACATCATCCCACAATCACATCAGCAACCATGGCATCCAACACCGACCTCCCTCTCTCATCCGACATAAAACTCAGTCAAACTCTGAAAGAACAACAAAAAGACTACGACTGCACACCATGTCGAATAATGGGTACGCGACTACATCTCCACACCATCACACCTCCCGTCCACTTCCTATGTCATCTCTTCTCAAGCACAATTTCCATCTGACACAATGACTTTGCAGGCTCCACCGCCTTCGTCGGCCTCGGCGCCTACACCTACTACTCCGGCATGAAACAGCTCCGTGAACAAGAATCCGTCATCCTGAAATCCGGATCCCGATTCAAAATATTCCCGCGCAAAGTCGCCATTGTCGCAACGAGTGTGGTTTGTGCGGGACTGGGGATGTATAGGTTGGTGAATTAAGGAGTAAGGAAAGAGGATGGGGCTCAAAGATATGAGGAGGGACAGGAGATCGCACGTAGGATTGGAAGATTGAAGCAAGCACCACAACCGCTGCGCGACGCGTCCGACTTCACAGCTCCAGGATGGCTTGATTGGAATTGCGAGGGACGATGTCATGAAAGCAGATGAGGAAGAGCATGGATTTCAAGGTGTCGAACGCAGGAAGCAGTGGGCTGTACCTCCACCAGGCCCACGAAGAGGAGACGGCGCCAGAAGCTGGATAACAGGCTGAACATCACGAAAAGCGAAACCAGGAGAACGGAAGGCACGAAAATATGACCGCTGCATTGCTTGGTATCTTTATATGCTATCACTTCATCGGACGAGGACCAGTCGGAGCGATCTGTCTCCTCCCACCGATATTGATGCCACTCCCCACACTGGAGCCTTTATTCTGGCTGTCACCGCCCATGTATCCATACTGGTTGACGTCCCATGACTGAGCAGGCCCGCTGCCCTGGCTGGCATCTCGAGGGGCGTTCTTGGCCAACTCCTGTGCGGCTTCCCACTCGCGCTGCCGTTCTCGCTCTCGTTCCATTTCGCGTTCCAGGAGAGACTTACTCGCCCAGCCTCCAGCTTTGGTCTTCTGCTGCGAGGCAACGCGTGAGTCGCGTAGTCTCTGCTGCTCAAGCGAAGTGTCACCAGCTTCTTGTGCTGAAGAGATGCGCGGTCCTGCGGTGGTCGGTGCTGCATTGGAAGAGAGGAAGGCTTCCGTTCTATTAGGCTTGCGCTGTTCTGGCTCAAAAGGCTCGGGCTCGGGCTGCTTGGCTGGCGTCGGAAGTGGCCTGCTAAACGGTGATTTGTTAAATGGAGAGGACTGGTTTCTTGCCGGAAGCATTGGTTGTGATGCAGCAGGTGGAATGCCGGCATCTGCTGCAGGTTGAGGCAGTGGTCGTGATGGCAGACTGGGCTCTGCAGGTTTCGGGAGAGGCCGTGTCGCACCCACTTGGACTGGCCTCGAGGATGCCGTATCGTTACTCGACTGGTATTGCTTGCGCTGGAAGTCTCGCTCATCGCCAGCCCAGCTAACATCACTTTGCGATGCACTTCCCGGTCTTGCCGTCTCAGCTGTGCTTGGTCGTGACCGCTCTCCCGTCCCATCTCTCTTCAAACGCTCTTCACGTTCCGCCTGGTATTGCCGCTCGCGCTCACGAGCTTCCTCCAGCTGTTTTTCGAGCTCTCTTACCCGTTGCTGCTCGGGTGTCTCAGCAGGTTCGGAAGGCTTGCTTGCCAGCGCTGCTTGCTCTTTCTGGTACTGTGCCAATGTCTGCCCCCGTAGGATGCCAGATGAGGGCACACGAGGCTTCTCTGGTGGTCTCTTGACGCTCATCTTCGATTGCAGCTCGGCATTTTCCTGCTTCCGTATCTCCTCTTCCTCCTGCCACTTCCGCTCTTGTTGCTCCCATTCGCGTTTCTGTTGCTCAAGTCGTTGTCGTTCTTCTTCGCGATGTCGTTTCGTCTCCTCTTCCCATCGCCGCTCCTCCTCGAGCTTGACCCTTTCCTCCTCTTCTTGTACTTTTCGGGCCCTCTGCTCGCGCTCCTCCTGCGCCTGCTGCCGTTGCCGCTCTTCAGCCTCCTCCTTCTCTTGACGCTGCTTCTGTTTCTCCGCTAAGCTGGGCACTCCGGGAGCCTGACTAGTAATCTGACGCCTCGCCCCAAAGCTGATGCCTTGATTGCCTTGCGATGCACCTCCCATGTAGCCATACTGGTGAATGTTCCAAGCCGGCGCCGTGCTGCCTTCATCGCTCTTTTTGCTCCAACTACTAACAGGGCCTGTCGGTGATTTTGTGCCTCCGGCTGACTGTTGGGAGCCAGCTGATCCTCCGGTCAATGTCGGGCTCATAGCACGGTTCGTGGGAGGGATGTATGACGGGACGGCTTTCGTCGGACTGGCAGGTCTTCGGAAGCCATTGCCTGTGGTCGCGGGGGATTGTACTGAGCCAGACTTCTTGGGCCCAATCGTGTGTGGAAATCGTGATGGATTGATCTGATGCGCCTGCCTGCTGAGCGCGCCAATGGTCTGCAGGACTTGGGCGGGATCCTTCTTCTCGAACAAGTCGACAGTCAGGAAGCGATCGTGCGCGGGCATGTTCAGCGGTGGTAGCTCGCAAGCTCTCAGGAAGTGGCTGATGTTTTCCATTTGCACGAAGGGCATTGCGCTGGTCTTGAATTTGATGGCCCCGGCCTTGCCCTGTACTGCCAGATTGACCAGCTTGCAGAGCGCGACGCCATCCTTGAGCGCATCGAGCAAGTCGCCTGCTGGCAAGGACTCTCCCAAGGTGGTCTCGATCCAATGGCGGGCCTCGTTGGCTGCCTGCGGGGTGTATCGCGCGAGACGCAGGTTGCGCATGTCCTGGTCGAGGCTCGTCACGGAGGCCATGTTCGGTGGTGTGGTGCTGCTCTGTCTATCGATCGTGTTCAAATACTGTGCACATGTTATTATGTGAGTCAGTGCGAATGTGAGCGCAGGCAGAATATGTCGGCGGTTGGAGACGGCGAGGCTCAGCGCGGTGCAGGCGTTCGCTGTCCAGGCGTGCTGATGGATGACGCAAATCCCTGTTGTTTCGGGCGCAAACACTTGCGATCCCTGTTGCTACGGCTGCCCCCACCTCGCGCTCGCTCGCGCTCGTGCCGGCTGCTGTGCCAGTGTGCCTGAGGGCGAGACTTCTCCTGCGACGGATGTGGCACTTCGATTGGCTCAGCGGTGCAAGTCGTCACTACTGTCTGCGACAACACAACAAAGCCGCCTCTGCTGTCTGCGACACGCATTCAACCGTCACTGCAGACTGCGCTCGCTGCACCATACACTACATCGCAGCCGTCCGCCATTTGTAGCCGCGAGCACGTTGGGCCGCCCGTTTTGCGCGAAGATTCTTCGCTTGACGGATCCACCCCGGTCGCTAGTTATAGCGGGCGTGGGAGCAGACTGTCACAGGACTCCGTCACACCTTGTTGTCCCACCACCGCCCTCCCTCCTGCTCCTCACTCCTTTGACGCCTGACAACTACTCCGACTGCGGCTCGACAGCCATTCTGCACCCAGCAAACAATGGACTCGATGCAGAGACTGTCGACGTCTCTTCCCCGGAACCGCAGCGAAGTGCCGAACGATTTGCTTGCAGACTTCAAGGCTGCCGCTAGATCGGTTACCGACCTCTATAGAACAGCCGTCACTTCACAGAAGCAGGCTCGAACGGCAGGATACCAGGATGCCCTCGACGACCTGCTCGCCTTCCTGGACAAGGAGAACATGGGATTGATGGACGGCGAAGGCTGGCGAGTGCGTCAGTGGGCGACTGCCCGCTTGGATGGCAGTGGATTCTCGGCCGGTACAGTGGCCACCAACACAACCGAGGAGGACGATGAGGACAGATCAGTCAAGGAAGAGGAAAAGGACGATACCAGGAGCTCGAGTCCGGAACTGCAGAGACGACCAGTGTTGCCCACTGCGACCAGCGAACTCACGGTAGAGGACGATACGCCACTTCAACGACGAGTCGTCTCCGAACCGCCACAAGCTCAGCTGCCTGTACAACCGACACCACAGCAACAACTACCGCAGACCACGTTCTCATTTCAGTCCAATCACGCATATCCACATGGCAATCACGACAGAGACATGGAATTGGATGGAAACAGCACCACTTCTGTACAGGCTTACGCACCAACATCGGTTCCTTCTGCTGCAGACAATGCTGTCCGCATAATACCGCGATCTACCCGCTCGAATCGACGCTCTAACCACAACCGACGAGCAGCGAGTGACAACCGCACTCCAACTTTAAACTTCAACCTTGGATCAGCATCTGGCACGAAGCGGAAAATACCCTTCCCCGACTTCTTCGATATTTCTGGCATCAACGACAACGGAGACAGGAAAGACGATGGGAGGGACAGGGGAGGAAAGCGGAGGCATGTGTGAAGGACGTTTTACCGCGCATGACCAAGATTGTGCTTGATTGGGACGGAGCATGTCAGCATTCCGAGCTGTACTATCTCTAGTGCAAAGGAGTTTCATGTGCATGGGAAATGCTGTCATTCGAAGCGAGCGCGGAGTACAGGTTTTTTGGTCTGAGGACTGCATCTTTTTGAGGTGTTTTTGTGGAAGATGCATAGGACTGGCGATTCTATCCTTTCGAGGAGTACTGAGGAAGGATTCGAGGAGTACTGGGGAAGGAGACCTTGGAAGCATTAGGCAGAAAGGGGAACATTTTGCAGTTGCATTGTAGAGGTGGAGTCTTGTCGTTATTGTCTTTTGAAAAGATACCCAGGGATGTTACGCAGACAACGAAACCAAATGAGAATTTTATATGTTTTGAACATGCATTGCGCCTTCTCCTAGTTCTATTTCTGTTGTCGCGGTGGTAGTTCAGACGAGCTATGCTGGCTAATGAAGTTATGACAGGTCTCATTCGGCACATGCCGACCACTACAGCCAGAACTCTCACATTTCGAGTGGCAGGTGCAAACGAAAGACGCGAGACTGAATCGTACAATGTATTTCATAACAGCATAGCCATATGGCGTTTATTGATTCGCCATTCCGGATCGCTCATCGCTAATTCATCATGCCACGTAACATTTTGACTATGTTTCGTGGCCATTGCTCTCATTCGAGCAGCACAGCAGAGGAGCAGTCTCGTCTCAGACCCGCAGAGCATGACCCAAAGCATCCAAAGAACCCTCGTATCTGTACTCGTTCTCCTTTCGCGAGGAAACGCCCTCTACTTCTTCTTCGGCCCCAGCATTGGCTGGCCAATGTTATTCCCCGTCAACCGCACGTTGGCAGCTTTCTGAATCTTCAACACGGCGTCCATGGCAGGGAAGTCGGCCCCTACACGTTCCAAAGCGGCGACAACTGCCACGTCGACATTGGCTTTGCTGGCGAGATCCTTTTGGGTCATGGTCGCACCCTTTTGGTTTTTGAGCTGAGTGCGGGCTTGCTGAAGAGCTTTGGCGACATCGTCGGGGACTTTCTTCGTGGCGACAGGGCCATCGGCGCGGTCGACTTTGGTGAGGCGTTGTCCTTCGGGGTTGCCAGAGGCCTGTGGTTGAGAGTGTTAGGAATGTTGCAGGAAGGGGTGGTGGTTTGTGGAGCTTACGTTTGCGGTGGAGTACTTCTTCTCTGTGGCTAGGATGGCGCCGCTGCGCTGAGCAGCGTTGAGTGCGCTCTTGCCCTTGATGGTGGTCTCGCGCTGGGCGGTGCCTGGTCCGCGGACCTTGCTGCCAATCTTGGTGGTGGTCTCCCAGTCCGACATTGTGCTGATGGTGGGGGTTGTAGGTGTGGTGTGAGTAGTTGAGTTCGGTCGCTCGATTGCCGCGGACTGTTTGAGAGGTATATGTGGGAGGTGATTCGCTTTGTGAAAGTGTCGCGTGAGGATGTTTGTGTCGAGAATAAAGTCAGTGGTTGGCGGCAAATGATGAGTCTTGACCAGGCGAGCCCAAAAGTGAACCGCAGCTTCCATGACGTTCGATTGGCTCGCGCGTCCGTGCGCCCCTGCTTATTCACCGCCGCCGCCACCGACTGCTGAGTGCAGTTACCGCACACCACCACCATTCGGGACAGACTACGCGTGACTGTCACACGCGACCTCCACGCGGTGTCCGAGAATCTAGCCGTAAGCTGATCAAGGCAGCAGAGCGGAGCACACTCTCACGGCATCGACTCCAATGGCTTGAGATGCCAAGGATGTAGACATTGCATAGCAAGAGGCCCGGAAGGTCTCACGTTCTGCAGCAATCATCATGCTCCAAGCAATCTTCTATGCGCGCTTTCACCCTGAGCGCGGTCCCAGTGTCATCCACCAATATCCTCCGAACACAATCAAGTCCTCTGATCCCATCTCCAACCCACCTCTGATCGTTTGGAGTGAAGTGTCTTCATATATCATCGCTCCTTACGACCTCTGCAATTCCCCGCTGTCCATATGCAACAATGGTCATCGCATTCTCGGATATCCCATCAGCCTGGAACATGAAGACTACGACCGAAATCGATTCACATTCAACATCTGCCTTGTGCTAGACGAATACGAAGATGCGAAACCCTGGGAACAAATTGTTAAGAAGATTGCCAAGTTCTGCGTTGCACTAGAATGGGAAGGATGTGTCTTGCAGCATGAAGAAGACCATCCCGGTCGGAATTCGTCTGGGGAGGAGGATACTTCTGTCGAGGGCGGCGTGCAGAAAGGTAGAGTGTTCATGGTGTTGGAGAGAATCTTCGAGGATTTGAATCATTACGGGGAGACATGCACCCGAGTGGATGGCGTGAAGGGAGAAGACGGGCTGTATGTGTTAAACTTGAGGTTGGAAACGGAGAAGGACTTTGCGAAACGGACGCCAGAGAGGGTTCGGAGTTGGGATGTTCCATTGCTTGTGAGGAATCTCCCGGATCCGGGCGAGTGGACGTGGGATCTGACGCTGCAGAGGATGTATGGTTTCATCGATGGTATCAGGCACGTAAAGAAAATTGCTGAGCTAGCCGATGTGGAAATCAAGTTGGTCAAGCGAGCGGTCAAGGAGCTGGTGTATCACGGGCGAGCGGTCTTGCTGGATGTGTTCCACTTTCAAGCGATATATGCTTGCACGCCGGAAGTGGTGGATTTCTTCAATAATGAAGAACTGCAGGATGAGTGCCGGAAGTATATCGCCATTCACGTGGAGTCGGAGCCTCAGAAACAGCAAGACGGTCGCAAGTCCGAGACGAATGGCAGCGAGAGAAATATCATACCCTCCCGAGAGCATATCATTGCACTCTACGCCGACCTGCAACCTGGTCTACAACTACAAGAATACTGCCTCACCCACAAAACCCAGCTCGCCAACATCGATGTTCGCCGACTCATCACTTTCGGACTCTTGAAAGGCTTCTTACGCCGCATCCACAAATATGCCTTCTCCTCTTCACATCCCCTCCACCTTCCCCAACGCTCCCTTTCACCTGTCCTCTCCCGTCGGTCCGCCGGCACCACGCAGAAAAGTTTCCGTTCAGGACACACTGCGACGACTCGCTCCGGCGACGATGCTGTGCGAGAATTCGAGCGCGCCTGGCGTAAGGCTGCTCTGACTTCAGGCTGGGCTACACCTCCTTCGGGGCCTCATCCAAGTTCGTTGAGTAAGAGTCAGCGAAGTGCAGATCAGGTTCGGACTGAAGAAGATGAAAAGCTGAGGAGTTTCCTCGATGGAGAGCATTGCTTGGATGCGATTTGTGTTGAGATGGGGTTGAGCGAGAAGAAAGTTTTGGAGAGGTTGAGAGGGTATGGACGGAGTGGTGAGGTGGTTCTGTTCAACAAGTGAAGTCTTTGAAGCCAATGTAGAGGTATTGGATGCCACCAGACGAGATTGAGATAAGCTGCAATGTTGAGTTGAATGACAGAGCGCCGAAGTCTGAGTGGCGGCCAAGGACTGCGCCATCCAAATTCTGGCTGCAGCAATAGAAAATGCTCGGAGGCGTAGGGTCGAATGTGCAGACTGCGATTTCTCTGAGATCCTTCACTGTCACTCCAAACGCGATCGGACGAATGCAAATACACATGTACACACATCAGCATTTGCTCACAGCAACTGAAGCTGGCAGCACGGACGTGTGTGTATCAATCGTGACGGCAAGAAGATGAGCCGTGGTCCGGCATGCTTCTCTGTCTATGCCACAGAGCATCACAGCCTGAGTCGAACAAATGTACGACAGACAAACTCAAGAATGTGATGAAAAGGTAATAAATTGCATATTGTGAAAATTCGTCATATATATCGTCGATGTTCTCGAAGCTATTTTCAAACTTCACGAGACAAGCCAAAAACAGCAATCGTTCCTCCACTATTGTTTCAGCGTGGAAGCAAGAACGAGCCATGACAGCGTGGAGAACGTGACAGTCTAAAAGCATTGACATACTGACTCACGAAGGGACAACCACAATGTGTCGGAAGATTATGAAAATGTGCAATTTTTCATTTGATTTTTGGGTCTCATTAAACCATACAGCCGTAACTAATATACAAGTGTCATGTTAGAGTACAGAAAGTATCTTTTTCTTTCCTGTCCATTCCAATCCGGATTCATATCACATCAAGAAGTCCTGTGCATAACCCTCTTGATGCGCCGCGACGAGGGTTCCTGTTCCACCCCGTGACAGCAGTTTTGCTTTCTTGCTTTGATGTACCGGCGATTGCCGCCGTACTGTTCTCTCGTTCTAATCAACCAAAAAGGCACAAAGAGGTTCCGTAAGTCGCTTAGACCATACCCTCAGCCTTTTGGCGCTCAAGGCGGTTCTGTACCATCTTGTGTGGGGTGAACAGTTGCTTGAGGCCGAACCATGGAGTGTTGACTGGGGTCTCGCCAGTGTAGACAAATGCATCGTAGAGGAAGCCACCGACGGGGCAGCCAACGAATGGAGCGACGATTGGAATCCAGAAGTAGTAGTCTCCCGCACTCCAGACATCGCGACCGTAGCCGACAGCTGCGGTGAGGAGACGTGGGCCCAAGTCACGGGCTGGGTTGATGGCGAAACCGGTCTGAGCACCGAATGCGATACCAATACCAGTCTGAAAGATTGTCAGTATTTGTGCGGCAGTGTGGCAGGCAAGCTCATGAAACTTACCAGGGTGAAGAAGAGACAGAGTGGGAACCATGCACCAGAAGCCACAAACTTGCCCTTGTTCGAATCATCCTGAAGGGCGAAGATGATGAAAACCAAGAGTGCAGAGCCGATGAATTGATCGAAAAACGCGCTCGTTGTGCTAATGCTTGGACTTGGGTAGGTGGCGAAGATTCCGGCGGTGGCAGTCTCAGATGGAGCGACGCTGCGGGCACCGCTCTCGTAGGCGTTGATCAAGCCGATGTAGTTGCCATAGACGACGGCGGCAGCGGCGAAGGCACCGCTAAACTCAGCTAACCAGTACATGGGCAGACGTCGCCATGGGAGCTTGCGGAACATGCAAGAAGCGAGGCAGACGGCAGGGTTCAGGAAAGCGCCAGAGTCACCGGCGATGTAAATACCCAACATCAAACCAATACCCCAGCCCCAAGTGATGGTCACCCAGGAACCAAATCCGTCGGCACCGGGAGCGGATGTGTCGTTTGCGGTGAGCAGTGTCTGCGCGATTGAACCAGTACCTGTATTGGTTAGCGGATAGATTGAACGAAACAGCAAAGTGGTATTTACCAAACAGGACGAGGACGAAAGTGCCCCAGAACTCGGCGAAAGGCTCCTTGAAGGCGATCTTGACCTTTGACCAGAAGAAGTGGTTGTGCTCAGCGTGGTCGAGCTCCTCATCGACAGTCGCCATCGGGGCAAGACCCATCCAGGCACGTGGAGTTTGCAAAGTTGATGATGCAGGTTGTTCCATTCTGGCGGACGAGCCAATGGACTCTGATCGATTCAATTCGTGATGTGGTGGCATGCCCGGAGAGGACATGCTGTCCTTGCCGTCCTTGTCTGACCATTCTCCTGAGCTGGAGTGGTTCAGAACACCACGTGGTGTCTGCTGCTGGTCACGGACGGCAGCATTGCGCAGAGCGTCGAGGTCCTGCTGCTGCTTTGTCGCGGTTGCCATGTTGTTGAGTTGAGTGCCTGCTGGTGAGGGAGGTATGGATACTGGCTCCAACATACAAGGCGGATGGGTCCCTGGGGTGGAAAAAGAAACAACCTCGCCGCGGCGAAGGAGTTATGAACAAGGTATACTGCTAAGGGAGAGATAGAGAAGGAAGGCTTGTTTGAAAGGACCTGCCTTTAATATCTAAAGAGCTCCCTGTTGGCTGCTTTGCTTCTCCAGCCTCTCGGGTCATGGCTAATGAAGCTATCAACCACAGATCTGGTGATTTGTAGATCCATTGCCATACAAACCTGAGGGTCGAGTCAGCTCGAGGACGAGGTGAATGCGAGCTGGTCGTAGAGATCGGTGCTAAAAAGCGTCATCGGTCGATAGAGATCGGGAGCAGTGCTGCAGGTACAAGCGGCGCACACTGTCAGATCAGAGCAGACAAGCGCCGCTGACGGGAGGTGGCAGGAGCATAGGGACGACCACATCCAGGAACGAGTCGCTGGCGTAGAAAACAGAGCGTAGCTGCTCAATGGGGTCGCGCGAAACCAACCACGAACGACAGAGCGTGCCATTAGCTTTAGCCTCCCGCACGGGGACGCGGGGACGAGCGACCAGAAGAGGTGATCTGTGAGTCGTGACTTGCATAGAGGTGCGCACTGGTCTGCATGTGCCCGGGCTGGATGAGCTGATGCTCCTCTGCGCAGCATAAGTGCTTGGGCACCCACGCACCGCACTGATGCCATTGACGAGAGCTGGACAGCATTGGCGTGCGAAGGCTGAAGTCTGCAGAGTCAGCACTTCGATGCGATGGAAGAGGTGAGGTCAGCGGGCGAGCTTGGGTATCCTAGCTTGCGCGCCGCCCATTCTCCTCGACGACCGGGAACGTGCACTTGGCGGCGTCGTGAACATGTTTGACACGCTGTTGCACGCAATGCGATGCCATGCAGCAGCAGACTGAGCACTTCTCTGCTGCTGCGCGCCGCGCTGCTGTCTGGCGTCGTCATGGCTGGCGGTAGGAAGCGCGAGGACGTCAAGATCGCCGCGGCCGCTGGGTGTACGAGTCGTGTCCACGAGCAACCTCTTCATCGGCATCGTGACATCAGTCTGGCTTGTGAGAGCCGCTGCCCGCCGACGTTCTCGGCAGAGATGCCGCGCCGTGTCATGTACGAGCTGGCCGAGGGCGATGCCGATGCGGCGGGGCGTGTTGCGATGTGGTATGTCTTGTGAAAGAGCTGAAGTCGTGAGGTGAAACGTTGCTGGGTGTGGGTGCCTGAGGAACATGGGATCGGGATCGGTGACTTCATCCCGTCTGGGTCTGGGTTGGAGCGCGGCGCGTCTGGAGGCACGTCGCGTGTGTGGGACTCTGAACAACAGCACTCAGCAATCTGTCAATGCACCACAGCACCACCAACACCACCAAACACCGCTGCCACCACCTGCCCAGCAGACATCTTGCCCACGTCAGTACAACTACACTGGACTGTCGAGGATCTATATATCGCATACACGCCTCGTGCAATTGAGCTGCCACGACCGTCAACCCGACGCGTCCATATACACTTCGCTATAGATCACGACGGCAACACCGCCAATGCCTGGACGAAAACGCGACACTCGGAACGTCCGGTAGCCAGCCCATACAGTCTGGCCTGCGCGTTGTAGCCGATCATGTATCTCCCACGAACCGACATCACGCGCCTTTACAGCAACCTTCTCAAGACCACCCATCCTTCCTCGTCTCCCGTACAGATCCTGACTGCACTTTCCGTCGATAGCATATGTGCCACACGAATCCTCGTTAGTCTCTTCAAACGCGACTTCATACCGCACAAGATCCAGCCTGTTTCTGGATATGCCGATTTGCAAAAGTTTGGGCAGGACCTCGTGCTACCACTAACGCGACAACGGGGCGGTGATGGCGGGACAGTGGTATGCCTCGGCCTGGGAGGTGCTGTGGCTCTAGAGGAACTCTTGGGGCTCGATGGCCGGACCGAGAATGGTGATATCGTCGAGGGTGGCATGCAGAATCATGGCGTCGAGATCTGGGTCGTTGATTCTCATCGGCCGTGGAATCTGGAGAACGTGTTTGGTGTGTCTTCCGCAGTCCCCGAAGTCGACGGCGTTACTGTGCAGCGGCCAGGTGTGCAGCAAGGTCGAATCAGTCCAAGCTACAAACCCGGCATGGGGGGCGTGATCGTCTTCGATGATGGCGATCTTGAGGAGCTATTACAGGCTGAGAAGGAAGCATACTTCGCGTTACAAGAAATGCCCGAGATAACGGAGGATGACATCGCCCTTGTGGCCGACGATGAGGATGACGACGACGAGGAACAGCAGGACGAAGAGGGAGATTCGAGCACGGGCCAGAAGCGAAAGCGTGGATCCGACTCCGAGGACGAGGATGACTACCTCTCAGATACTGATGGCGAAGATGGACGACCGCGACGCCGACGACGAAGCAACTCGAGTACATCCATACCAATACCATCGTCACCCGGCGGCAATCCACTTTCAGGTCAGCTAGACATTGCGTCCACCCCCCAGAACATGCCGTCTTCTCCACCCAAGTCGAAAGAGCCGAATGAGAAGCAGAAGATGAAACAATTGCTTCGGTTGAGACGAAAGCACGAGGGTACACTTGACAGGTACTACGATATAGGCACGAGTGGAGCCGAACCTGTGAGCAGCATCATGTATTCTCTCGCATCGGAGCTCGGCCGAGAAGAGAATGAGTTGCTCTGGTTGGCAATCGTTGGCATTAGTGCCATGCTTCTGTCACCATCCGGAGCCGGACCTCGAATCAATTATATGCGCATAGTCCTTCAAGACGAAGCGCGGCGTCTCAATCCTATCCCGGAGTCAGAGCTTCTCAAATCGCAAAGCGCGGAGGCCACCATTCCCACGACGGCACGCAGTCCTACCGACAACAGCATTCGTCTCTCGCCCGAACCGCGCTTTCTCCTCATTCGCCACTGGAGTTTATATGATGCCATGCGTCACTCCCCCTACCTTGCTACCCGTCTGCACCTGTGGAGCGATCAAGGGATGAAGCGCTTGCACAAACTGTTAGCCAAGATGGGCATCAGCCTAGCCGAGGCAGGACAAGGCTACCTCCATATGAATACGGATGTCAAGCAGACGCTTCGCAAACGCATTCTCAGGTGGGCCGCACAATACAACCTGGAAGGTCTTGTCCCTGGTGATGACGGTCCTCGCGGTATGGAGAACTGGGGTTTCGTTCGATCGTGGGGGTGGGCAGGCACGCTGTCAGCAGAAGACGTTGCGATTGTGGTTGGCGCGATACTTGAGGTCGGCACCGATCACTCGATCTTCCCAGACCTGAAATTCGACAACAGGCCCAGCACGGACTTCAACTACAATGCTCGAATGCGCAACTTACCTACGCCTCCGCACAGCTCAGACGACGGCATGGACTCGTCCTTTCACGATTCCTCGGATGTGCCTGACTACGTCAGCCAACGCTTCTATCGCGCCTACGATGCTCTAGAGCCACGCGTCGGACTTAAGACCTTGCAAAAGAGCATACCCGCTGCGCAGGATCTGTACAGAGCTATACTTCGCGTCGGGTCCTACCTCATCAGCAAGAAAGTCCTCCGGCATCTCCGCTCCTTCCGTATCGGCGTCGTTCGTGAAGGATCAGACTTGCATGTATTCACCCATCCCGGCGCTCTCGTGCGACTGGCAAGTTGGGTTGCCGAGGCCGTTGCTGTACTCGAAGCCGAAGCCGGAAAGAAAGCTCGCAAGGGAAAGGACGAAGCACTTGTGCTTGGTGCTCTTGACGAGAGCCGATCCGTTTACGTTGTAGTCGGAATCGGCGGTGGACCGGGTTGGAACGGCAGCGGCAAGAAGATCCGATCAAAAGCCGAGATCAAAGAACGCGAAGAGAAGAAGAAGCGAAAAGAGGCTGAGCGGGTGGCAAAGCGTGCGGAAGCCGCGAGGAAGCGGGAGGAGCGTAGGCATCTGCGACGAGAGCGCAATGCCGCCAACGGTCTGGATTCAGATGATGAGGAGGACTCTGAGAGCGAGCCCGAGACTGAAGACGAGGACTCTGACTCTGACGCTGACTCCGATGACGAAGAAGTCTCAGCGGGTCGAAAGAAGACCGGGCCTACCAATCGTTTTGGTCAAGCCTTCCAAGAAGTGGTCGAGCAAACAGGCGCCAGAGTCCGAATCGATTCTTTCGAGCACAGCGTCGTGGAGGTGAAGAAGGAGGATTTTTCAGGCTTTCTGGAAGCTCTGAGTTCAAAGACTGTGGTCTCATGAAGAACCTGGACTGCTGGGTCTGCTGCTGGGGTTCAATGATAGCGTTTCACGACAATTGGATGCACAGCTTCTGTTTGAGATTTTGCATAGGGCATCGCATGGCGGGCGAAGGGCGTTCTGGAAGCGCGGTATGAAGACTCCTGAGATACACAGCTGGTTCCTATTAGTACCATGATGACGGTCCGCGCTACAGGGAGAGAAAAGCATAGATATGAAGAAAGCTTGTGGAAGCATCTTTTCGGCCTTCTCGTCTCACCTGCTCGCGCCTACTGAGAACGCTGCACCACTTCGCTACGCTGATGAAGAATAAGTGGTTTCAGCACAAGTTCAGCACAACTGACAATAGCGGATAGATCCCATCGACGAGTGTCAACACCCTCGGTCTCGCTATCGCCGCGAATGATTTGATTTGGACCTCGTACAACCTGGAGAGAAATACGAAGTGTGCATTAGACTTGACGGAATGCCTGGAGAAAGTTCGCGTGGCACTATCCCTTCTTGGTTTGGAGTGATGGAAGGTGCCAGCGGGCTAGCATCGGATATCGTAAAAGATCTACCTCTACTATTATGCTCTCTCAAGGGGAAATTCGAAGAAGATGTGGACGGCCGACTGGAGAATGTGTAAAGTGACAGAAGAAACCCTGTTGGTCCTTTCTGACGATAAGTAGCAGCGCGATCACAACGAAGTCCGGACTGGAGAGTTTTTGCGACATGTTCACATCGTCTGTCGTCGGTGGCACCCACATCGTGATGCTTGGCTAGCGGGTAAGGCGCTGCACTATTGCTTCAATTGGCTCCTTCGGCAAGAGATCAGCGCTCCTTCCCTGCCTATTCTTTGGCGTCCGAGGCACTTTTGCTCACTACGGACAAGACATAATAGCAGTAGCGATGCGCCGTTCTTGCAAAATGGCCAGCTCAACTGTTATCCGAATTCCAACATGCGTTTCGGTACTGGTCTCGCTGCCCTTGGGCTGTCCATCGTCGCAGTGAACGCATCACCGATTGTTGGCAATGTTCTATTTCCACCCACAAGGCCAAGGACAACAGGTATGTAACTTGCTGTCGTAGAGTTCAATAAGAGATATACTGATATCGACACAGTCTCACAATCTCTATATGACACCCTCATCTTCTACGGCCGCTACGCTTCGACATACACAACAGCACCATGCAAGAATCCACCCGAGGGAACAGTCGTCCAAGGCTTCGCCAACGCAGACCCAACGACCGAAATGACTCTCTTCCGCGATGATGCCAGAAAGCAACTCATCATGGCTTTTCCCGGCACTGCATCTCTCCAAGATTTCGTCACCGACCTCTCGGCACAACAAGTCCCAGCCACAATCGCAGGAGTCAATTGTCCCGAGTGTAAAGTCCACCAAGGAGTTTTGAAATCCTGGAATGCTATTCAACCTGAAGCTCAAAGAGTCTTGGACGAAGCTCTCACTGCGTATCCTAACTATGAACTTTTCCTCGTGGGTCATTCTCTCGGCGGAGCTTTGACAAAATTCGCGTATGCGAGCTTGAAGAGTCAGGGATACGATATCTCTGCTGCGTATTCGTACGGAGAATTCAGAACAGGAAACCAGGCTTGGGCGGATTATGTTGACGGACTTTCCGGGAATACTGACGACAATCAAGGACCATATTATCGTGTGACGCACGCTGATGATGGCGTGCCGCAAGTTCTCGGTCCTCTGCAAGGCTACAGGCACTCAAGGAGTGAGTATTGGTTCCAGAAGGGAGCTGATGGTCCTGCGACGACTTTCCGATGCTACGGACAGGAGCCGAGCGATTGTGAGTGATTGGATTAAACTCTAGTGTCGAATGCTGTGGTACTGACTTGTTTCCAGGCAACAACTCGCAACTTGGAATCGGAGTTGCTGGTATCAACGCTGCTCATATCTTCTACCCTGGTATCAATGTTGTAGGCTGTGGCCTCTAAAGTGATAGTTCTTCGTTCATGTAAGCCTCGTATGAGAGTTTCAAATGCATTGACATGCTATCAAATTTATGAATTTTTTATCGATGCCTCTCCGTCCCCAGAACTCAAGCTCGTCGAGCAAAGATGTCAGCCAGATCGTGATGAGCGAAGCCGACGCGGTAGTTCTCCGGCGATGGCAAGTGATGGAGGTCTTTCCACGATGTAGCTAAGGTCTGAGGCTGGTTTCCTTCGTAGGCGTTGGCTTCGTAATTATTTGCCGACATCAGCTCTGCGAGTCCAGATCGCAGCTCTCTTGGCCCAATACGTTCAGTTGGCAATTTCTGAATACATGCCTCAATGAGCTTGATGAGCCCTTTGCTGTAGCACTCGTGATAGGATTTTATTTTGCGTTGGCTGCAAGGTGTCAGCTGAGGAGTGTGAGATGCTTCGCTCTTGACTTACTCGTCTGGACCATCGAACGGACAATGTCTGAGATCCATGCCAGTCTTTCGGACCAGCCAATACATGGTCATTCCAATACCTGCTCACTAATTAGCAAAATGTCACCGACTTCCAGCTATGCGGACTCACCGTAGATATTTGACCGACTCAAGATCTGTTCGTCATTGCCTACTTCCCATTTTTGATACTTTGTGGGCGAATCGATGAGAACTGTGCTGTTGATTTGTTCCGGGGCACGGAACCATGGTGTTCCTGCATGCTGCTCTGCGAACAGGAAAGGATCATCTTGAGCGTCCTTTGAAGTCCCGATGGCAAGCCCAAAGTCAGCCTTGGCCAAGTTAGTAAGTAGCTTCAACAGGCTCTTAGGACATACAGACGATTCGGGGCAGAGGATATGCAGGGAACCTGCCCGAGGTGTTTGGCTCGAGGAAGATGTTGGCTGCATCAATCTGTCAGCGGTACATACAGCTGTCGATGAAGTTCTACGAACCTGGTTTGATGTCTCGACTAGCAAAAAGGTCAGTACATAGCGAGAAAAAGAGGTTTGTTCTGCTACTCACTGCACAACCTCTTCAGGCCAGTCATCGTCTATAGGGCCTTCTTCCATGATGATGCAGGCCTCGGCGAGTTGTAGGAATAGATATCTCAACCAAGACTCGGGCATTGGAAGCCAAGTTTCCTGATGCTTCTTGCATAGGCCATGCAAATCGCCCAGGCCGCAGTAGTGGCTGCCAAAATAGTCAGTGAAAGAATGCAAGTATGCATGCTAGCCACCACACTTACGTGTAAATGTTGATCTCGCGGAACTTTTCGTCGATATTCCACTCTCGGAGACGAACAAAATAAACAGATGGTTCTGCCTCGCCACACTTTTTAGTGAAATATGCTTCGTTTGAAACCTGTTCGACCTCTCCATTATTATTCACGGCGTTATGCCACCATTTGTCGTCATCCCACGCTGTCTGCGTTTTGTACTCGACTTTTCGGACGACGCGCTGTACCAATGTAAGCAACTCGATTTGGCCTGACAGCTCTGCAGTACTCACATCTACGATCATGTTAGTAGGAGTATGTCGGACCCAGAGACCTGTTGTATTAATCCCGCTGGTGAAAACTTGTACGCAACTCCACTGTCCGTCGGGAAATAACTCTTCGTTAATTTTATCCTTCCTGAATTCATCCCGCAAGCTATCAACAATTGTCGTGAGCGTCTTTTGAGCCTCTTTGAGTGTGTTCTCGGCAGTGAGCCGCGTCCTAGTGATCCAGAGGTCGAAATGCGCGTTCAAAACATGGTTTGCGAGGCAAATTCGCAGTCTCTCCACAGAATCGATGAGGGCATTCTGACTTGAGATGACTTTGCGACAATGTTTATGATGGTCCCTGAACAACTCACGCACATGTGCATCGGTCACAGTGCCATTTGCAGCTGCTGTTTCGGTCCTACCACAACCATTTGGGTCAGCGCATAGTATTTGAGAGATAAGCTCCTCCCAGCTTCAAGCTATTCCGCAGCAACCTCACTTACGCATGGTTCTCCCGTGCCACGTTGTCACTTTCAGCTTTCCCACGAACTCGCTCGTACGTTTGGATGGCGTTCAAAGCGTCGTGCCCCGCCCTGCGACCAGCCAACCGAGTATTCCAGAAATTGATCCATGTCGCCATTGCCACCGGAAAAATGTCTTGAAGCGGTCAGGATGGGTCTCAAGTATCCGCCCCCATTGTACTTACAGTTTTGGTTTTGCCATTCAAAGCCTCGTTGCTCAATGGCTGCCATGAAGTGGGCAAAACTTTGTGCTCCAAAAGTGGCCATTTCGTTGAGCTAAGGTACTCGTGCGGTGTACTTTGCAAGCGTGAGTGCTGAGCTTGAGTACTGCGGTCTCATCATGGGGTTAACGAGTGCCGAATCCGGACGATCTTGTTCTGCTTCTCTCATTGTTCCTTTGTCATGTTCCGAAGAATGCGTGTTCATCGTAGCGACAGAATCCGACGATATGGGCACGTGCTCGATGTTGCTGTACTGGCGACAGGTTACATGTTGGAGGCTGAAGAGCAGCGGGGAAATGCCACTGTCAAGTTGACTAGCGAGATGAGCTCGCAATTTGCCAAGACATTCGTCCATCATTATTACATGCACGAATCGCTGTTCAACACTACAACCGGTGCACAGTGGCTCATGGATGCAGGATTGTCGGTTCACTGATCGCCCTGGCTCGAGCCTGGGCACGTTGCCTTTGAAGCTCTCGCTGCCTTTCACGCTCAACTTGAGTTTGTTTTGCTAGTAACCCGTAGATTGGATCCTTGGAGGCGTCCTGCCATATGGGCCTGGGCCCCTGGGGTCCGGGTCTGTCTCTTGCCCTGATTGAGCTGTATTCCATTTTTCAACTCTTCGACTCCGCTCCAAAGCATCCGCGAACGATTCCCTGTCCGCTTCTTGAACCTGTTGTGGTGTCGGGAGGCCTTGCCGGCCCGAGTTTTGTTGCGAGTATGGTCGCTCGTTGAGAAGGTCCTTTTGATATGAATTGATCGCCTACGATTGTGACCGTGCTTGTTGTGCTATGTTACGAACGCCATTAGGAGGCACACGCAATTCAGTGAAAGACTCCTGGTCAAATAGGTCTCTCCTTTCCAAGCTCCTTTCCACTGATGACGCACGCGAGGGAGGCGCGAAGTCAATATTGATCTCGGGTGGACT